AAATGTTTTGTACTAACGGACACGCATCCCGTGCAGGAGCCACAGTGGGGTGGGCGGTGAACGAATTGAGTTGAGCAGCGAGCAGCTCAAACCCACAGCTGCGTAACTGGTTTGGCAGCAGCGTCGGGTTGATGCAACCGCCAACATCCTCTGCCTTTCCCCCCCCTCCGTCGATCAAGTCTCTTCGACTCCTGTCCTTCGCCCAGTTGTATCATTATTACACACAGCCCGTCGTTTGCATCCTACCCGATCTCCCCATCGACAATACCTACAACTACTTTGCAGGCGCGCCAGTTCCCGCCCTGCCGCTGCGTACCGGTACGTAGCAGCTTCGCCCCTTGGCCGCCCAAGATGTCTGCCCCGCAGGGTCCATGCAAGCTGTAGTGGTGGTCATTGCGATACCTGGAACGGTTGGGTGGTGACGGAGATGGGAGCTCGCCCACGCTCGTGACCCCCCTGATGCGATGCGAGCCCGGGTAGCCTGTACTTTACATTCCTGTTTGCTGACTTCTCCAGACCGGCCATCGGTGTCACCTCCAGAGCCCTGACAGTTATTTATCATCCCCCGGGACTGTTGGAACAGAGCTGCTGCGGTTCTCCGGCCTCTTCTTCTACTGGTCCATCACGACACCGCCACCGCCGTACGAGTAATTGATACCCTCCGATAGCTTCCATCATCACGGCCAAGCCAAGCCAATCCATCCGACTCGATAACGTTTCCCATATGCAAGGCACTTCCGGCCACCGCTCTCGCGGTTCTGAGGAGTACGGGGTGTACGATGATGCAAAGACGTACTACGCTTCCGAGGAGCGTCACAGTAACCGCTATGGAGTCCGAACTCGAACGTACTCGCAGGTAGGTGCTTAATCGATGAGAGGGGAGAAATACGACGATACTAATGGGACTTGCTTTAGAATAGCTTGGTGAAGCAGTTGGAGAGAATGGGGGCACAGGAGCCGTTCAGACGCGGAAGCCACGGTTAGTTCTCTCCTCCAATCTCAATAGAGAGGCGGAACATGCAAGATTTTAACCATGGCTATGTAGACGAGAGCACCATGGAAACGGGCCGCCGGTTTCTTGTTCAAGTTGATGCCACATTGGAAATCCTCAAGAACCAGGAGGACACTGACGGAAACATGCAAATCACGATTGAGGATAATGGCCCCAAAGTCATTTCTCTGAGAACAGCTGCCTCTGCTGGCCACAACCGATTCGAAGTCCGAGGAACTTACATGCTGTCCAATCTCCTGCAGGAGTTGACATTGGCCAAGGAGTATGGCCGCAAGCAAATCATTCTTGATGAAGGTCGTTTGAACGAGAACCCTGTTGATCGTTTGTCCCGCTTGATCCGAGATCATTTCTGGGACGGTCTTACAAGACGGATTGACGCATCTAGTATTGAGATTGCGGCTCGTGACCCCAAGGACTGGACAGACGACCCTCGTCCGAGAATCTATGTCCCAATTGGAGCTCCGGAACAGTATGAGTATTATCAAAAGGTTGCTGCCGACAGACCAGAGCTCCGTCTGGACGTCCAGCAACTGCCGGAGAAGATCACGCCAGAGTTGATTCGCGACATGAACGACAAGCCGGGTCTGCTGGCCGTGGCCGTGGAGAAGGTAGAAGAGGAAGATGAACTAGGCAACAAGACGACAAGCTTGAAGGGGCTTCCCTTTGTCGTCCCCGGTGGCCGCTTCAACGAGCTTTACGGCTGGGATAGCTACATGGAGTCTCTCGGCCTGTTGATCCATGAAAGGGTCGACCTAGCCAAGTCCATGGTGCTCAACTTTTGCTTCTGCATCGAGCACTATGGCAAGATTCTCAACGCCACTCGGTCTTACTATCTTGGCCGATCTCAGCCTCCCTTCCTGACGGACATGGCTCTTCGAGTATATGAGAAGATTAAGCATGAGCCGGATTCAAAGGAGTTTTTGAGACGAGCTATCCTCGCCGCCATCAAGGAGTATCACAGTGTCTGGACCAGCGAGCCTCGGCTAGACCCGGTGACGGGCCTCTCGAGGTACCGACCAGAGGGTCTAGGAGTGCCTCCCGAGACGGAGGCCACCCACTTCGTGCACATCTTGAAGCCCTACATTGAGAAGCACAAGATGGAGTTTGAGGAGTTTGTCCGAGCCTACAACTATGGCGAGATCAAAGAGCCTGAGCTTGACGAGTACTTTTTGCACGATCGTGCAGTCCGCGAATCTGGTCACGACACATCGTACCGTCTCGAGGGCATCTGTGCCGATCTTGCCACTATCGACCTCAACTCTCTATTGTTCAAGTATGAAACAGATATCGGACGGACCATTCGAAGCCTCTTTGGCGACAAGTTGGTCATTCCAGCTGAGTTCTGCCAGGGAACGCCATACCAGCCCGGCGAGTCCGTGTCTTCGGCGGTCTGGGACCGCCGTGCCAAGCGGAGAAAGTTGACAATGGACAAGCTGATGTGGAACGAAGAGGAGGGCATGTTCTTTGACTACGATACAGCCAAGAGACAGAGGTGCACGTATGAGACTGCCACGACCTTGTGGGCGCTCTGGGCTGGAATTGCAACGCCCAAGCAGGCGGCCGATTTGGTGAAGAAGGGCCTGCCTAGGTTCGAGATGTTTGGTGGAGTGGTGGCTGGAACGGAGAAGTCTCGAGGCGAAATTGGATTGGAACGCCCCAACCGGCAGTGGGATTACCCATACGGCTGGGCTCCGCAGCAGATGCTGGCCTGGACTGGCCTGCTTCGGTACAGCTTCACCGAGGAAGCTGAGCGCCTCGCCTATAAATGGCTCTTCATGATCACCAAGGCGTTTGTCGACTTCAACGGAGTAGTGGTTGAAAAGTACGACGTCACACGTCCGGTTGACCCTCATCGTGTTGACGCCGAGTATGGAAACCAAGGCCTGGACTTCAAGGGCGTTGCGAAGGAAGGGTAAGTCTCGTGCAACCCCTGCCGCTGTGTTGGCACAGCATGGATGCCATTGTGGGATGCTAACGTAAAGGCGCAATAGGTTCGGATGGGTCAATGCCAGTTACGTTTACGGACTCCAGATTGTGAATGCGCATATGCGACGAGCACTGGGAACGTTGACCCCGTACGAAACGTTTATCAGGGCCATTGAGCTGAACAACGAACGAGCCTTGGCCGGCCTGACTCTGACGTGACATTGTTGATTCGGAGACCAATACCGAAGCGGCGGCTGTCCCGAGACGATACGATGAGCGGCTAGAAGAATGTCACCAGTACGCCGCCAAGGCTGAAAGGGGAATATGAAGAAACTGGAGACAGGTCGACTTAGAAATGTCGTGAGAACGGCCCTGGCAGCCCATGGGTCAACAGAAACACATAAGACAGTAAAACAGAAAGCAAGCAATAAAATGACGTTGTTTGAAACGCCTTTGTCCGACCAACCTTGTAGATACTCGTTGATAGTAGCTAATTATCCCTATAGAAATCAAAGAACACCTCATGAGGGGGGCCATCATGCAGCTGATTCGCGGGCGTATTAATGCAATCAATCCCATGTGATATGAGCTTGATGGGTTCTCGCAGTAGGATGGATAGATGATATCTCGGCTGTGTAAACTCGAGGGGCAGGAGCCATATTCGCCATGAATTGCACCAGCCTGTGGGTTGCTGCTGTACGACTAGCCCGGTGATGTTGCGGTTGATCATTTTACCGAGCCAGCTCCGAGTCTTTTCTACTGCTGCATGACCATATCGCCATACAATGCAGATGCAGTTACCATGCCTAAACTTGGAGCCACTCAGCTAAGAACACGCGATCAAACATTCACACGTACTATCCACGGATGAAGAATAGTTTTACCATTTATCGATTTTGTTCAACTGAGAACCAGATGCGCATAGTATTTGCCTTTGGCCCTCTCTCTTCTACTGCACGCCTCTTTACACGGATAAGCCCTTATCAGCTGGAGCATTTCACTTGGATGTACAGTAGAATCTAGATGCGTCACTTCACATGCAAAACGAGTTCCGGTGGGCCGTGGGGAAAGTGGATTGGCTGGCGTATTGCCGATTTGAGCGTGCTGTGGAGTGGTTCGCCACTTAAAACCGGAAAGAAGGTACGCCTGGACGGCCGCAGGTTTGAGCAGGAGAGGATGTTGTTGAGAGGGAAGGTAAGAAGGGAAGGACCGGGAAGGGAAAGAAGGAGAAGAAAAGGGCAAGAGATAGAATATTTGTATCAAATGGTGATTTTTCTTCTTCTTCTTCTTCTTCTCTGCATTCCCTAGACTTCTCAAACTCGTAGCACCGGCTGGAACTACTCAGCTGTTATACGCCAGACTAACGGACACATGGAGGCCACACTCGACAACGCGGGGCCGACGGCTGACTTCGTCGGCATCTCGGCCAATGGCGGCTAACCCACACCATCGATATTGAAGCTCCCTTTGAGCCGAGCTGGAGCCGCACCGCATCTGAACTCTTGCCAGCGCCTGTGGCGTTTCCGCCTGACAGCAGTGAAGCTCGGTCACGTCACGCTGTCTAAGCTGCAAAGGGGGGCCGGAGGGCTGGCATATGCGTCGTAGCCCTCTCGACTGCCGAGCTTCAAGTCTCCAAACCTCGTCTAAGTGGCTGGGGCCTCGCTGAGGTGTCGGGCCATTCCGGCGCTCAGAGGGCGAGTGGAGTGGCAGCCGTGGGAGTCAGACTCCAAGATCCGAGGTGATACTGCAAGGGGGGAAAGGGAGAGACAGCTGCTGTTGTGGCTGGACTCGGAGCCATGACTAGACGCCGCGTTTGATGGGTTGTGTGAGAGAGCACGGGTCGAGGCCTATGACTCGGCTCAAACTTTAACTTCTTCCAGTCCCTCCTCCTCTTTTGTCCTTCTTCTACATCATTTTTCCTCATTTTTCCTCATTGTTCCTCATCTGAAGCAACTTTGGTTGTGTGCTTTGTCTTCTGGATCTCCTTGTTTTCCTCATCTTCTATTCAATTGACTTGATTCATTCCTTGTTTAACAAGCAGTAACCACTTGCATCATTCATCATGGCTTCCAACAACATGGTGACGCTGGCTGTGAATCCAGACAAGGAAGATGATCTCTTCCTCGCAGAAGTCCAGCAGGTCAAAGATTGGTGGCGCGATTCACGATGGAGGCACACCAAGCGTCCCTTCACCGCCGAGCAGATCGTCTCTAAGAGAGGGCATCTGAAAATTGAGTATCCCAGTAATGCCCAGGCCAAGAAGCTATGGAATATCCTGGAGAACCGTTTCCAGGTGAGTCATTGAAGTCATTTTCGCCATGACGATGTCTCCAAGGCGGTCTGCTAACAGGAAGATGTAGAACAAAGATGCTAGCTATACCTATGGCTGCTTAGAACCTACAATGGTCACTCAGATGGCCAAGTACCTCGACACCGTCTACGTCTCTGGCTGGCAATCATCTTCAACTGCCTCTGCGTCAGATGAGCCCGGCCCTGACTTGGCAGACTACCCATACGTAAGACTCTCGATCATTGGACATGTACACAAGAACCATCTTGGCTGATTTCCTTCCTTTTAGACCACTGTGCCCAACAAGGTTGGTCATCTCTTCACGGCCCAGCTCTTCCATGATCGAAAGCAACGTCAGGAACGCTTGAGTATCCCTAAGGCTCAGCGTGCCAACGTGGCCAACATTGACTATCTACGACCCATCATCGCCGATGCCGATACTGGCCATGGTGGTTTGACTGCCGTCATGAAGCTCACCAAGCTCTTTGTCGAGAAGGGTGCTGCCGGTATCCATATTGAAGACCAGGCTCCCGGCACTAAGAAGTGTGGCCACATGGCCGGCAAGGTTCTCGTCCCCATTAGTGAACACATCAATCGTCTAGTTGCCATTCGTGCTCAAGCCGATATCATGGGCTCCGACCTCATTGCCGTCGCCCGTACCGATGCCGAGGCTGCAACTCTCATCACCACCACCATTGATCCTCGTGACCATGCCTTCATCCTTGGCTCTACCAACTCCAACTTGCAACCTTTGAACGACCTTATGATTGCCGCCGAGCAGAGCGGAAAGACTGGTGATGAGCTGCAGCGCATCGAGGACGAATGGGTTGCCTCTGCTGGCCTAAAACGATTTGATGACGCTGTTGTTGCCGCTATTGAGGCCAGCTCTGTCCCCAACGCAGCCAATGTCAAGAGTGACTACCTTGCTCGCGCCAAGGGCAAGAGTAACGCCGAGTCTCGTGCTCTCGCCAAGAGTATACTTGGCCAGGATGTCTTCTTCGACTGGGATGCTCCTCGTACCCGAGAGGGCTACTACCGCCTGAAGGGTGGCTGTGACTGCGCCATCAACCGTGCCATTGCTTATGGTCCCTTCTGTGACGCTGTCTGGATGGAGAGCAAGCTTCCCGATTATGCTCAAGCCAAGGAGTTTGCCGACGGTGTCCACGCTGTTTGGCCTGAGAAGAAGTAAATCTACCCTCTCCCCTCTCCCCCTTTGCTATAATTCTATGTTGTTTATCTAACGAATATGTAAATAGGCTCGCGTACAACCTCTCGCCCTCTTTCAACTGGAAGACTGCCATGCCTCGTGACGAGCAGGAGACTTACATCCGTCGACTTGCAAGCTTGGGCTACTGCTGGCAGTTTATCACTCTTGCTGGTCTACACACAACCGCCCTCATCAGTGACCAGTTCGCCCGCGCATACGCCTCTCACGGCATGCGCGCGTATGGTGAGCTTGTCCAGGAGCCCGAGATGGAGCAGGGCGTCGACGTTGTCAAGCACCAGAAGTGGAGCGGAGCCAACTACGTCGATGAGCTGCAAAAGATGGTGACTGGCGGAGTGAGCTCCACGGCGGCCATGGGTCAAGGAGTTACTGAGGACCAATTCCATTAAGGGGACATTCATTGTCTCTCGTCTCATTCCCTCAAAACCCTTTCCGCCAATCTTTATACCCTGTTCCAGAGCATGAGAGGAGTACATTGGTTTTAGTTTCTTGGATATTACGCAACGTCATTTGATTTGGGATTAAAAGATTGACCGCCGCCGGAACAGAAATGAAAGAGAAAAAAAATGTTACACATTAAAATATGTACTTGTAGTTGATACTGTTTCCCATAGATTCAGCAATGCAAACGGCCCCGGAAAAAAAAAAGACCCTGAACCGCACTCAGCATGCTATTGGCGTTGAACGTTGATTCATCATCGTCGAAACACCAGCTACCACCGTTCCCGCCCTCGCTCCCTGTTGGCGCGGACAATAAATGCTGCGCACCCCAGTCTAACCATTGACGCCCACCCAGAATATCACGGACGTTGAAGCAAAAACCAAGAAGAACAAAAGTGTTTAGCAAACAAGAGGCGTCTCGTCTGTACAGAGCATCAATGTGTGATTCCTAAAAGTCGCATATTCCCCCTAGAAAAACGTTGTCCCCCGAGAAGAAGAAGAAAAAGAAAGCAGTCAAAAGGAAAAAAGCTCAGCAGCATAGGATAAAAAGGGGGGGAGCAACGAGCATTTCTGGAGGCCACGCGCGCGACTGTTATCCTCTCCACTCTCTTTGGAACACGGCCAAAGCACCCCTCAAGACGCCAGTCAGCCAGGCAATACTCCACGAACAAAAGTCGTTCAGAAACGCAGCGATCCTGGGCCGAGCCTAGTCAGCCTCAGCTAACTGCATAATCAACTTGGCGGCCTTGTCCAAGAAGGGGAACGGGCTGGTGACCTCCTTCTCCTCAAGCAGCCTTCCGTCCTGGGTCTCGTAGCCCGAGCACTTGAAGTCCACAAGATAGACTCCCTGTTCCATCTCATAGATTTGAATGTCCATGTGCAGGGCCACAAAGTCTTTGCGCGAAGTCGGGTCTTCGGGAGAGTAGACGTGGAAGCTGTCTGGCGACCCGCCCTTGCTCTCGGGGCCTTCTTGGCGTTCTGCCTCTCTTTGAATGTCTAATCATTGGTTCCGATTCGTTAGAATTACAGATTCTTCAAGATTGCGTTGCATGGCGAGTTGAAAGTTCACTCAAAAGACTTACCTGACGATGGCCATCTGACTTGGATATGCCACGGATCCGCAGGTAGTTTATACCTCTTGGTAGGATCAGTGTCATTAGACTTGCGTGCCAAAGGAACGCCGTTTGCAAAGTTGCTATCACGGCTTGTAGCGTCATCGCCCCCTCTGCCGTGTGCCTCGTCGTAGCCCTCATCGCGGAGATGGGACGCACCGAGTTTATGGAGCGCTTTGTGAATACAGAGGAGGGCCTCCCACGGCGCATTGCGAGACCGGATGCCAAATTGCCAGCGCACGGGCTTGGGCTTTTTGGCGGGTGTACTGATTGGTGTCATTCCTTGTGGACGTTTACTAGATTCGTCCATGCGTAGAGCATTGCGTGCGTGAGGATTTAGACGACGTGCCGCCTCTTCCTTCTCGGCCTCCGTTCGAGTAGCGGGCAGCTCATCGTTAATAGCTATAGCTGGGGGTAGAGGGTCGTGATCGGTTCCGTTCTTTTCCCTCTCCATGTAATCTTTGTGATAGGCGGGGAGACTGCTGGGCAGGATGCCGACCTTGTTGACGTATGGGCGAGGAGATGTGCCTCCGGGTGAGATGGCGGATCGGGTGGAAGATATGCTCATCATAGGACTGCCTTCCTCACCAGTGAGGCCAGATTCTGGATCTGGAAGGCAGTTAGTATCCAGCTGGCTTGGTTACAAACAAGCGGCATGTTAGTGGGGGACGAAGGATATGGACTCACTATTTGCTAGCATGAGTTTGTTTTCTCGGACAATCATGTAGGCATCCTTGATTGCTGAGGGTTCCTCGGATTGGAGAGCCTCTTCGACATCGTCCTTGCCGTAACCCATGGTCTTGCTAATCTTTTCTGTAACCTCATTGTGGAGCTTCTCTTGCACCTTTTCGGGAGCATTGGGCGCAATATCGCTCTTCTGGATTGCCTTGTTAGGATCAACCCCAGTATGGAAGAACTCCTCGACGGGAGGCTGCAAATACGTGGGCAAGTCGGTGTTGAACCACGGGTCAGCCCTGATCTCGTCAATGGTCATTCGCTGGACGGGATTGACAACCAACATGCCCTTGATCAAGGCGGCCGCACCCGCCGGCATCCATTGGGGCATGCTATAGGTACCCCTTGCGATTTTGGCAAAGAGGCTGGGGATGTGCTCATCGTCAAAGGGCAACCTGCCGACAAGCAGGACGTAGAGAATAACACCGCAGCTCCACACGTCCACTTCGGAGCCGGCATAGAGTTTTCCACCGATGACCTCAGGGGCAGCATAGTTGGGGCTGCCACAGCTCGTCTTGAGGAAGTTGCCGTCGGTCATGATGTTGCTGAGACCAAAATCGGCAATCTTGACATTGAGATTCTCATCCAGTAACAGGTTTTCGGGCTTAAGATCTCGGTGGACGATCTTGTGGCGATGGCAGTACTCGACAGCACATATCATCTGCTGGAAGAAACGGCGTGCCTCTGCCTCCTTCATGCGGCCGTTCTGGACAATGTAATCAAACAGCTCGCCACCGGCGTACTCAAGCACCATGATGATTTCGGCCGGGGTCTTAATGACGGTATACCTAGTCGAGAGGAGCACGCAGGTTAGCAAGAATTGTGGCAAGAATTGAAGGGCCGGGAGGAGGGAGTGGAAGTGGCATACAGCTTGATGATGTGCGGGTGGCGGAGCAGCTGGAGATACTCAATCTCCCGCTCGACTCGGCCGGCCATGTCGCGGCTGATGAGCTTCTTGCGGGTGATGATCTTGAGAGCAACCTGCTGGCCGGTGCCATTGTGGATGGCCAGGCGAACCTTGCCAAAGGAGCCCTCGCCCAGCGTGCGGACGACGGTGTAGGCGCCGATGCGCTGCTCGGCCCGCGACTTCTTCTCCTGCGGCTGCTGATCGGCCCGGGCGATGTTCTTGGGCGCCGTCGCGACATCTTCCTGCTGCGGCTGCGGCTGGTGCCGGCGGACGTGGGTGGACGACATGGAGATGGTCAGCTCCTCATCCTCGAAGCCTCGGGGGGCCATGGCGGGCGGCGGGACGAGGAGGAGGCTGGGCGCTCGCTGGAGGGGGGGTTTATTTATATGCGCTGGTCAAGGGTACGGTAAGGATGATGGATATTTGTGTTTCTCAGATGCGCGGTCAATCAGATCAATCAATCAAAGCCAGGCGTGGAGAATGACTGGCGCTGGCTTTGGCAATGGTGGAGCGAGAGTTAGTTGTGCGTAGAGTCTGCCCGGTCGAGATGGAGGGGTAACGTCACTACCAAGTCCGGAAAATTACAGGTCGCAGGCCAGCCGTGGGACAGGCGCTAGGGGGGTGTGAGGGCTCCACCGCGAGGAGAATTAGCGGACAAAAGCTGCCACGGTTGGAGCAGTTACAGGGCACCGTTTTAGAGGCTTCGGGGCTGCTCGCTTCAAGCTGGAGTGCTAAATGGTGGGTTGAGCGCTGTCGACACGCCGCCACCGTGGCCGGGCTGAGGAACTGCTAAACTTACAGCGGATTATGCGCCAGGATTCTCAGCTGGGCAGAGCAGAGCTGCATTAGTACTAACTACATGAATGGATTGAATCATTGAACCCAGTGGAATGCCGCAGTGTTCCAGCTCAGATCAGAGCTGCAGGTTTTGGAAGCAGAGTATCAGTACTGTGGGAACTTGAGACGAGATGGAAGCAGAGAGCCCATTTACACGGCTGAGGTACTCGTACATGCCTGGTACTTGCTCATACCCGGTAATTATATGGCGCAGAGGTGAAGCAACACATCAAACCGCAATCGGCACAAGACAAGAACAAAATCGAGCCATTGAAACATGACTGAACGGTGGCTGTTCCGTCTAGTCGGCCCCCATCACATTCACATGCTGTCAATGCCATTTTGCCATTTATTCGTAACGGCAGCCTCGCCCGCTGACAGCTTCCATCAGCCATTAGCCTGAGACCTGCATGAGATGTATCGCATTCCTGCCACTGCCATGCGCTCTGATTGGGCTGTCTATGGCGAGCCGAGACGGATGAGTTCACGTCTGGTCTGGTCTGGTCTCTGATAACTCCATCATCATGGCGTTGCCACTCAGCAATTGTCATACGACTTGGCGGCATTCCGATACGCGCCGTCGGGTGTTTTTTTTTTTTTCTTTGATTCGAGACTTGCAACACCGGTGCCAAAAGCCGTTTTGCCCTGCCACAACGTGCCGTCCCGTTTTTGACTTTTGCTCGCTCCTCGCCACGATGGCTCCAAAGGAACTTGGCCATTAAACCTAGACAGGTTGAATTTGAGGCGAGATGAGGCTATGGGCAGTTTAGATGAAGAAAAATAACTGCATCGTTAGCGAGGTTGAAAAAAAAAAGTTGGTTACATTAAAAAAGAGCAAAAATATGAGGTTCCTGCGTGAATCGAACACGCGACCTAGAGATGACTGCGCGAAACTGCAATCTCTCGCTCTAAACCACTGAGCTAAGGAACCGTTCGGAAGCCGGTTGATCCGGTGTGGCCAGGGGAGATTTATTTTATCTTATAAGGGATTTCTGATCTTTCCAACGATGCCGTTCTGTGATCCACACACCAATGCCAGTGACGGCTGCAAGCTTTACCCTGAAGCAAATAATGTTTTGTACATGGTTACCAAATTTCAGAATAATTCATAGCAAATGGCTTGGCAAAAAAGAAATTCAAGTACATATTGGTAAATGCCTAGTATGAATAGACACAAAATAAGAACACAAGTATATATGCAGCTTGACGATGTATCAAGCTGTTGAGAGGTACTATGTTGCGTGGGTGACTATAATAAGCAAATACTCCATCATTACCTTCACCTTTGCACCTCCCTTATCATGCGCGAAAAATGTTCCGAGTGATAACACATACGAAGATCTTGATGTGAGAATTGTTATGCCAGTTGACAGATCCAAAGTGAAAGCTCAAGATCAACATCGCCATACAACCGCGACTTCAAATTCAGCGAACCGGGCCACCTCGGGTCTGAATCCGCTTTCCTGAATCGGGGCGGACTTTGATCCGAGATGATTTGGTGGCTCCAGCCCTCCGCAGCGTCAGTGACATTCTATTAATCACTTCAACCATCCCAGCACTTATTCGTTATGATTCCTCGAGAAAAAATATTTTTGGCTCATCTATTCACAAAAGGAAAAAACAAAGACTTGTTACCATATGTTGCCTGTGGAGGGAAATATTTCTGGCCATGACTTCTCTGGATTGAGAAACTGAAACTTTTCTTCTTCTTTCTTCGCATAACGTTTCGCGACGACCTACCCGGCAATGGCAGACGCGAACAAGAGGCAATCTTCTGAGACATCCTTCCTTGCGCTCACTAATCTCATCTCAACGTGATATTAGTCTTGAAACTTCTTTGTTTCACGCCTAATCAAAACGGTCAACAATGAGCGAGTCTGTTGAAAATGTAGACTCTCCGCGTGGTGGTCTTGCATGTCAAAACTGCAGACGGAGGAAGAGAAAGGTTGGTTATTCTTCAACTTATCCACCCATCTCTATATCATTGAGAACTAATGCGTTGTAGTGCGACCGCCAAGTCCCTCGTTGCGGTTCGTGCATAAGACGAGGTCTGGACTGCGTCATGCAAGTCATCAAGAGCATCGATGGACAAGAAGGGTCAGTATCACGTCTCGCCATCAGCTTACCGCAATGCCCTAATTCCATCATGCAGAGCTGTCCAGAGTCTTGAAAAGGAAATCTCGAATCTTGAGGCTCAGTTATCACGTCTACAGACCACTACAACAGCGCTCCATCCAACCCCCGCCGTCCTTCAACAGCAGGTTGACCCAACTCCCGTGCCGTTTGAAGCCTCCATCTCATCGATAGCTTCAAGGGAGCAATCCATGGACACTGTTGATTTGGATGTTCTCAGAGAAGTTGAGACTGTGTCTCTTTACCGCGGCGAACTTTACAGCCTGCAGAAGATGACTCGCAGGGCACTCCGACTAGCAAATTGTGATCCTCGTGGTATACTAGATCTCACCCCGAAGAAGAGCTTATTAGCATCATATGACGCCTCTATTTACTCAAAACCCAATGGGACGGGCGACTATCTGGACTATGATATTGCAGTCTATTATGCCAGCAAATACTTCTCTTACATCCATCCGACTTTCCCGATTGTCTCTGAAGCTGTAGTTCAGAGCGTACTAAACAAAGTCACGGTCGGCAGTCAAAGTACAAATCTCGGGGACCGCGTCATGTTCCATCTCATCATTTCAATTGGGGCCATTCTTCCAATAGAGTCGTCAGCTGCCTTTGACACACGCAACTCGGCCGATTATTTTATACGCGCCATGGAAATCCAATATTCTTACGACGAATCTGCTACCACTGCGCAGATTCTCCTCCTCCTCGCCATTTATTCACTCTTTGATCCCGGCACAGGCAGCTCGTGGCACCTGATGGATCTTGTCACGCAAGCTTGCATTGTTATGGGATATCATCAGCTCCAGCCTGAATCAAGAGGAACCGCAGCGGCAGATGGAGATGGAGCGAAGCTATTCCAGGCATCTTACGTACTTGACTTGTGAGAAATTCGCGTCCAATGTGCGGTATCAAGACTAATCATATCTCAGCTGTGTTAGCTCCGCATTGGGATTGCCAATGAGCATCCAAAATCGCGACATTTCCTCCGACTGGGAGACATGCATAGTGAAACCTCCGAATATCTGTACCTCCGAGTCCGAAGGATTAACTCTGGTGGAGATGTTCAGCTGGGCATATGAGCTCTGCGGCAGCTTCCAGAACGATGGTGCGGGCTACCTATCGTACTATAACGAATACCTGCGTCGCAGAATATTGAACCATAAAGGGGAGATATCGTATCTATCAAAGATATTCGGGCTCCATCTCGCAACTCAGAGTATAAATAGGTCGGCTGGAGCCAGATCTGCACTTGAAGACAGGGGCAAATTGGTACAAGACCATCTGGCCGTCCTTCAAAATTCAGTTTCCACGTGGTTCGCCTTGCCATGGATCACGGGATACAGCATATTCCAGCTTGGGCTGTTACAACTCTTGTTTTGCGGCGGGCTACCTCAAAAACAGAGGATAAGCCAGATTTCTCAGACTTTGTCCTTGGCTGAGATGATTTTATCCGTTATCAGCACTAGATTTCCGGGTTTATACCCGCACAAAGCGCTTGTGAACAAGGTGCTCACGCAGATGGCGACTTCTGACGTCGATTCTCGGCATAATATCGACTTCCTCGATGGCAGTGATCTGTACGAATTCTGCAGGAATGCCCTGATGTCTGTTGGCATGGGTATTTCCCATTAAGGGGATTCTCTCAAATACACACAAAAGTTTTATCCACTACATTGTCCATCCTTGACAGTGGTGACACTGCTTTCTTTCAAGCCAGACAACCTGAGATGCTCAACTACATGCTCTTAGGTAGCATTTCAAAACAGGACAGGGACCAAAAAGGAAGAAACACAGGCAAAAAATTATTATAATGCGTAATCTGGGAATCGAACCCAGGGCTCCCCGACGTTGCTCGGATGGCAACGGAGAATTTTACCACTAAACCAATTACGCTTGTTTTTCGTTGTGGTGCTGAGTCAAGTTTATACTATAAACCTATCACCATCAGGAAACTCTACTCTTTCATGTAACAGCCGCAATTGATTCCTTCAAGAAGTCGCAAATTACGACTCTTCAAAGACATTATGTTTTACACTTTCCTGAACCCTTTTGTTCCATCGTCGTGTCTCTTCAGGATCCTCAAGATCGGACGCTGTGCGGATTCAACTCCACCAAGGTTTCCTAAATAGGCAAGTCTCGGAAACCTGTCCGCCAGCAGCGATTTTCAAGCGGACGCAGCTCCGGGAGTTGCTCCATAATAGTCCCAGCTGGATCTCGGGAATCTACGGATTAGCTGTGCTGGTTTAATGGTTGGATGGATGGCCATGGTCATGGTTGAATGGAGAAGCTCCAGCCACCCCAATTGAAAAGGAAGTAATAAGGATAAAGCAAACTCCAGAAACGAGAAGCAGACAACCCCGGACTCTTTGTATGTTTGTCAAGCCCTCTGCAAGACGCAAGGCTGTAAGTAGATATGGCCAAAAAAAAAGATGAAACACGCAAAAAGAAATGTCTTGACGAGAGTGGGACTCGAACCCACGCGGATTGCTCCACCAGGAATTGCTGTTAAGGTAGCCTTAACCTGACGCCATAACCAACTCGGCCATCTCGCCAGATGCTGTGATGTGATGGATTCTGCCTTTGTTTGGAGGCATGTTTCTGGCACAACCTCGTCGTCAAACTGTTCACTCCCAGCTTTCGCTTTTCTTCTCCAAAGTGCTGCCGGGAACGGGGGCGTTTGGACAAGGACAAGGACAAGGACAAGACGCCACCCGCCACTGATGCCAGGCTTATCATGTTATGGGTGCCCTTGTCATTTTAGTGGCTTGAAGTGATTAAGCTCGAGGGTCAGCTGCAGCGGCGTATGTCGGAGCAGCCTCGCCAACATCCGCTTCGAACATCTCGCTGAAAGGGGATTCTGCTTGATCCGAATTGTGCATTGGAGATGCGAGATCCTAATACTGTCGGCATCTTGTGAGCATGCCTCGTCAGATTACCAACTTTTCTGGCGCGTGCGCGCGTTGTCGTGCTAAGAAGCTCAAGGTAATGAACGAATGGAATGAGCCAACAAAGCAATGCACTCAGCTTCTTTTCTCCGTTTCACTCTTTCGGATTCGAAGTTGACATTCTAACTAATAACATCACTCTCAAGTGCGATAAAGATGCTCGAGTCTGCTCCAACTGTCACCGCGCAAAGACTTCCTGCATCGAGATTGATCCGGTCTCGGGGGAGCAATACGAGAGAGGGTGAGCTGGCATCTCGCAGCACATCATGCCATGTAAAAAAACCGGTGATTGCTCATGGATTCTTAGATACATCGAAGACTTAAAGGCGCGAGCAGCCTATCTTCGAGCCGCCTATCTTGAAGCTCAAGGCAACAGACCATTTGCGCAGGCCGTACGCACCAATGACTCGACTCCTCTTGAGCTTCAAGGGCACGGCATCTCGCCAAACGTCAGATCTATTGCCGGGTCTTCATCCAAAGCTACAGGAACTCCCAAATTCACCGACGGCAGTATATTTAGGTGAGCCAGCTTCTTATCAAATATCGAATGCCCTTTAGACTGATAGGCTTCAAGCCTTGGACACCTAGTAGCAGCCGCGCTGTCCACGCACTTTTCCCAGGGAACTGGATTCCAAGCAGGGTCACTGCTGCAGCCTCAAACTGATGGCATTGAAATCTCGTTGAGTGACGAGGACAACCTACCACCTCTCTCGGAGGCCTGTGATCTGACTGATGCCTAGTGAGTTTTTGACATATCATTCTATTAAATGAGACACGGTCAATCCGCTAATACATAGTTCTCAGTTTTGAGATTGGCTTCCACAGGGTCTCTCCTTTTATGAGTAAAAGTCGGGCATACGAGCAGATTGAACGCTTGTATGACAATCGCTCTGCCTCGAGTTCCCCCTTGGAAAGAAAAAATGACTTGTACCAGCTATTCATGATTTTTGCTGTTGGGCTACCATTTTCGAGACGACCATCATCAAGTAAATCTCCAATCCATTACTATGCTTCCGCCATGCAATATGCCGAAGAGGTCTTGTCACTCACAGATGGCGAGACACAAATACAAAACACTCTGCTACTCCTTGTTTTCGCTCACCAGCACGCTACTGGGAGTAAGTGACCCAGCTAGAAAATCGTGGAAAGCTATATTGACTCATATTCTTCATCTAGTCGGTAGCAGATGGAAACTCGCGAGACAGGCCATGAGGACGTGTATTCAGCTCGGATACCATAGGGCTCCCTCCAACCCGCTAGATGCGGTAACCGAACAAAGGCGCAGACGGCTGTTTTGGTGCTGCTACGTCCAGGAGCGATTTGCTGCATGCGGTTTGGGACGGCCTATAGCAATTGCGGATCATGATATTACCGTTGAGGTGGGTATGCTCGGAGATTGGCGGCGTTGTATTTGCTTGCGTGCAAAACTGATGAGTTTAGATGCCCGACTACGTCTGTCTAGATGACCTGGAAAAGGGGCTTGACACAAGTATACCTAATGGAGCCGAGGTTGCTGTACTCATCCGACAATCTCAACTGCGAAGAATCTCGACAAAGGTCCGCGAACAGCTCTACGCAAGACGTACAAACGACAGCTTCCAAGCCAAGGCAGAGGCCGCTACTCTCCTCTATGCAGAGCTCGAACAGTGGCGCCTTTTACACGAAGAAACAAGCACCATCTCTCATTCTCCATGTATCTTTCTGACAAAAGAGTACATGGAAGTCAACTTTCATCGAGAGAAGCTCTTTATTTTCTCTACATTAGTCGTGCCTACCGGGCAGGAGGCGCATTTGTTTAAGCCTGATGTGACATATCTCAGGCATTGCTTAGACCCAGCCGTTCAAATTATCTTCCTTTACCAAACTCTGTTGGCTAAGGGTGTCAAGATGACATTATGGTATGTGACGAACGATTCAAGCATGCTCTAAATTGATGAATCAACTAATGGACCTCTGTAGGACATGGATACAAGATATACTACGCTCAGGGTTCATGATTCTATACTGTGGAATCCACACATCAAACATTCTCAGCGGCCAAAACGAAGCCGCTGCTTCTTCCATAGCCACAAACCAGATCCCGGAACCTCAATCAATCATAAAAGCCCTCGACGACTGTCGACAGATGCTAAAAGACATTTCTCTAAAGTGGTCGGCAGTGACTCCACACTGGGTGGCATTTGACCGGCTGTCCTGCGACGTGAGGAAATTAATCGAGAATAGCTCATCCCCGGGAGCGATTCTGGGTGGACAAGGTGCGGGGAGCAACGATATGTCTGTGAACCAGACGATGAACCAGGGCCTTTGGGATGTGCCGATGGATATGTCGTACTGGGATGATTTGTTGGATGGGGACATGAATATGAACGAGGTGTTTGGGTTTGATATGAACACCTTTGCGTGATGGACGGATTGAGATACTCGGCGAATTGTTAAATGATGAAACGGCCCATGGAGGTTGAGACATGTTGGTTGCGGAGGACCACATAAATTACCATTAAATATACCTGTTATTAATATACATAAGGGTGTGGCGATGGCCTCGTCGTGAAAACCCATAGAGATGTCGATCATCTGACGCTTTCGGAAGTAGATGGAGACAAATGTAGTAGATGAGGATAGATCTAGTAGACGGAGACAGATCTAGTAGATGAAGATCTGGTAGATGACGGCTACTTAAACATCATTCAATCCACTGGATTTCATCGTGACGGGTCCTAAGCCAAGGAACATAGCATGCTCACGTTGTTGAGTTGATTGGTCCCGTATACTCGTCATCCGAAATACACATTAGCTTTTTTTTTGTTCCTATTCTACATCCGAGCCGTGTCTCTAAGCAATATGGACATTAAGATCCTCTCTCCTTAGCCTCCTCCTTACGGAGCCTATCTATCAGCTTGCCTCTCAGGAACGGGCTCAGTCCAAGGCTTGGAACAACAAAGTTAGCTCATAGAGAGAAAGGGGGAAGATGGAAAACAGCTGGATTTGCCCAAAACTTACATTCCTTCATTCGTCACGATTCGGTACGTCCCGCTTGGCTGAAGCTTTCCGACAACTTCTCCAGACTCGTCCACTTCAACGCTCCCCAAGATATCTTCCGGCCAGGCAATCCGGCCAAAGTCAGGCGGATTCCTGCGATCGCTCAGATGAACGAACCCGCCTCGGCCTGCGCCGCCTGGTCCGCCCTGCGCACTCGCTCCTCCGGCTCCGTCCCCTCCAGCTCCGCCGCCGCCTCCCTGCTTCCGGGAAGATCCTCGATGACGCTCTTGGTGCTGGCCGGGGAAGAATGAGCCACCGGACCCGAGATTGAATCCTCCTGGGCTGGCAAAGGCTTTCGCCTGCACGACCACATCTTCGTCTTGGTGGCCGTATTCAGAAACGACCTCGTTAAGAATCGATACAAACTTTGGGTTCTGTGTAAATGAATGAGGCGTCGGGGGAACGGCTGTGGTAACGCCAATTGCAAGCGTTTGAGAGGGAGGATTTGAGTCTAGATAGGTGAGGATATGTGACGACGGTGCTGCAGCATTGTCAAAGACTTTCTGATGTGGATTTGGTAAGCTCATCGGTTCTCGGTGTAAAAGGGCTTTGCTTTGCGACTGACGATGTATGAGTTGTTCTTCAGCGTAGACACTGCTCTGAGAAACACTCTTGAGCTTTGGTGAGCTATTCGAAATTTGGCTGATATCATGTTTGCGATTTTACAAGTCCCAATCGGATTTGAATTGGGGGAGAAGTACATGAAAAAAAAAATATAGCCCAGCAAGTTAATCGCCAATGAGGTCATTCAGAGCTTGAGCTTCCGGCAAGCTCAGACTTTACCCCACGCTCCCCGGTATGCGCATTTATGCATCTATGCGAAATCAATTAGACGCGTCGACGCGATTCCCCCTCCAAAAGTCCAAAAGTTCGCGATAGATGAGCTCAGATGGGCTATCGCTATCACTATCAGCTTAAAGCCCGGGCAATTGCTGTCTCGACCATTCTATCCCGTCTCTGATGCGATGCCGGCTTCGACCTCGTAATCTCGACAGCAGCAAACCATGGACAAAACACCGGCCCCCATCTTCCGCAAGCAGCGTCCACTGATTCCATCGTCGTCCGTGGCGCCCTCGTCGTCGCCGGCATTCGGAACTCCAGTCCATCCTCCGAAGCCATTCAGCATCAATGCCCCCAAAGCCGCGATCCTCCCCATCATCCTCCCGCCGGCGACTCTCCGACCGCTCGCCTTCCGCACATTCACAAAGAAGCACTCGCTGACGCTCACTTCGTCTGCGCTGCAGGAGCTTGCGTCCTTCATCGGGCGACACTGCGGCTCGGGATGGCGTGAGGAGGGCTTGGCAGAAAGAGTGCTGGAGGAGGTGGCGAGAAGCTGGAAGAATCGCAATGGCGGCGTCATGGTGGAGGGGGCGAGCAAGGAGCTGCAAGACATCCTCAAGACGCTGGAGGGGAATATGAGTGGCGGCAAGATCATGGGCCAGGGCAGAGGGCTTCCGCGGGGGGACAGCATGCTGGAGATCAACGACAGCGATACAATCAACACCAGACTCGGCATCAGGCCAACGGCACTCCCTCGGCAGGACAGCAACGTCAGCTTTGGCATGTCTGGATTGGGGGTGCAAGAGGAGGCAGACGAGGACGAGGACGCCAGCGATGCCCGCGCCTGGCTCAAGGTCATTGACGCCTATGATCAGCCGCGGCTCCTTTACAACGTGGATAAGAAACACTTTGAAAGGTGAGACAGGCCACATTGCCCTCTGCCAATCCTTCATCACAATTCAAACTAACACGTAGAATACAGAGATACGGCCAAGCCCTCATTACTACCTCCAGCTTCTCACAAAACCATCGTCTTCCGAAACCGCTACCACGTCATTCACCAACGTCTCCTCCGAAACGAATCCTTCCAGACCTCTTCCGTCACTTCATCCCGTAAACATACTCTGCAACGCTCGCTCTCCAACCAACAATCTCTCAGAATCACGCCCATCGCCAATTTGCTCGGTCGGCACGGGAGCAATCACATGCTCCTAGGCCAGCTGAATATCCTGCCAACGGGAGACCTCGCCATAAGTGACCTGACAGGCACCATTGCCCTTGATGTTTCACAGGCGGTTGCCATTCCGGATGATTCAGCATGGTTTTGCCCAGGAATGATGGTCCTTGTAGATGGCGTGTACGAGGAGGAGGAGGAATCAGTTGGTAAAGGCCTGAGCGGCAGCAGCGGCGTTGGAGGCACTCTTGGTGGCCGATTCCAGGGATTCTTCATCGGACAGCCCCCTTGCGAGAAGCGTAAGTCGACTCTCGGCATCAGTGGGCTCGATGGGACCGATCATGACCAGACCATCGGGGGAGGCTTCGGCTGGATCGACTTCCTCGGCGTTGGTAGTGAGCGTGCGGTCGGATCCAAAATGCGAAGACTGGAGAGAAGGCTGCTACAGCCGGCCCCTGAAGAAGACATGCCCTCGCGGAATCGCGTCGTCATCATTGGTGAAATCAACCTGGACCAGCCGCGAGCCCTCCAAGCCCTCCGCAAGATCCTGTCATTATACGCCGCCGAGCCCGAAGGCACATCGCCCCTCACGTTTGTCCTGGCCGGCAACTTCACGCAACACGCCGTCATGGCCCGAGGTGGCAGCGGCGGCAGCATTGAGTACAAAGAGTACTTTGACGCCCTTGCCTCTACCTTTTCCGACTTCCCCACGCTTCTCCAGTCCTCCACCTTTGTCTTCGTTCCCGGCGACAACGATGGCTGGGTCTCCTCCTTCACAGGCGGCGCCTCCGTGCCGCTGCCCCGGAAACCTGTTCCTGAAATGTTCACCTCGCGCATCCGTCGCGCTTTTGCCACGGCCAACGCCGAAGCCGGCAACACGGGCATTCAGGGCTCTGCTGTATGGGCGAGCAATCCAAGCAGAATGTCGCTTTTCGGGCCAAACCACGAACTTGTCTTGTTCAGGGACGATATATCCGCCAGACTGAGACGTACATCGGTAACTCTCAAGCGCAAGCCCGCCGCCGAAACACATGATGCACCAGTAGAAGACGATGCCTCTCTCGATGGTCCAAAAGATTTCCCATCAGCGTCACCTGCTGCCGAGGACGACGCCATGGATCTTGACTCGGCCGCCGCTGACAAGCCCTCAGCTGGTACCTCCTCCTCTTCTCTTCCTCTCGACGTAAAAACGGCCCAGAAGCTCGTCAAGACGATACTCGACCAGGGCTACCTCTCTCCCTTTCGCCAGTCTACCCGCCCCGTGCACTGGGATTACGCTTCCGCGCTGCATTTATACCCCTTGCCCACTGCCATGGCGCTCATCGATACGACGGCGCCGCCGTTTTGCATCACGTATGAAGGGTGTCACGTCATGAACCCGGGGAGCATCCTCGTGCCTGGGCGGAAGGGCGTTGGAAGATGGGTCGAGTATGAGATTGGGCGGCTGGGGAAGCTGAGGGAGTGTACTTTGTAATCATGTAGGCAACAATCATAATATTACGCGAGTAGAGGGAAATCAAGGGCTTGTCGATATAAGGGAAGGAAAAAGAAATCATCTTTGCTTGGTGGGTTATGGAATTAGATGTAGCATCAACGTAACGCATGGAATAACTAGTCAGGGGAGACTAGACAATGGATATGAGAACACATTATGATGAGGATTGATCAAACTGAGACACGATAATGCCCATGTTATTCATCTAGATATTCAAGAAATCAAAAGCCGTGCGCCATCATAATTCGCTTCATATGCTTCCTTTTCATCATGAATATCCTATCCTAACCCATATTATTTTACCCCAAAAAAATCGTGTGCTTGGGTATCTAAAAAAAAAACACCTTTTCACCAATCAGCCAAAAGAAGACAAAACCCCGTCCTGCTTCTTCTCGCATATTACTCCAACAGCAGTTCATCCTGATGCAAGACTCCATACAACCCCTCAATCTCCTTCTTGATCTTCTTCAACTCGGCAGCCACCTGCGCCGTGACAAGGGTATACGCATAAAGCAAAGCATAGTCTTTCTCCTCCGTCATGGCCTGGACGGCATCGTCCTCGCCGTTTCTCAAGCTCATCTCCATATGATCCTTGCGGTAGTGATAGATTTTGTTCAAGAGGCGGTCTCTGGTACGGTCAATGGTAGGAATGGCGTCCGTAAGAGGATACTCCAGCATGACACACGACGCGAGGACCTGAAAAACGTGGCATAGGCGTTCGCACAGCTGTACCCTTTCAGCAGCCGTAATTTCCAGCAGGGCACTCTCGCCCTCGGAGAGCGTGTCTCGACGCTGTGTGATGAGACGCATGGCGTAGAGGCCGTCTAGTATGTGCTTCGTAGAGCGCATCATTCGGCCATAGGCAGCTTCAGGGAACGGCCCGCGAAGTTCAAACTCAGATTTGGCAGAATCTCGCAGCGACTCCAGTTTGAAGACTGTATATAGAGATATCACTAATTAGCAAGAGCAATCAGAGCCGCAAGGGGGGATTCACCATACCATATCGCCGAAGGGCTATCTGTTCGCCCTCCTTCATAAAATCCGGACCATCATCACCCCCCTCTAGCAAAGCAGCCAGAGGTCCGCGCTTCCAAATGAGTCCAAGCTGCAGATACAGCACCGAGAGTCCTTCTCTGAACTTCTTCCTCCCAGAGATTGGCCACAGCAATCGACAGACGAGAATACCCCACAAGATCCCCAACGTAACCGCCACTACACGATGGTACGTAATCTCAAAAATGAGAGGATCTATTCCACCCTCATCGTCGTCGTCGTCGTCAACATCTTGCGTCAAGCTGTAGGCATACAGCACAATGACGTTGTATGCCAGAAGCGAAATTCTCCCCAGGGGAGCCTTCTTCATGACCAGAATCACATAAAAGTTTCCCAGCGCTACAATGACGGTGCAGAGCTCGAGGAGCCAGGGATTGGCCAGGCTCACCGACCATGCGAAGCAAGCACAGGCTCCCCCTATCAGGGTTCCAATGAAGCGGGAGCTACCCGTTGTGTTGGAGGCCCCGGTTGTCATTCCGACAACAATCATATAGGACAAAAGACCCCATTCGCCTCTCCAGTGTTGATATACTGGCCTCGTAGCAGGGATGAAAGCAAGCATGGCCCATAAGACGGCACCGATACCCACTTTGATTCCAAACATGACGTCCTCGCGCGTTAGGAACCGAAGAAACTTTAGTAAAGCCTGGGAGCATGTGCGAGCAAAGGAATTGGACTTTTGCGGTGAGGCATCCCAATGAAACGAGTCTCTCTTCTTCAGCATGGCCTTGGGTAAACCCTGAGGGGTAGGTGACTTGATTCGGGCCCTCGGCTTTCTGACCAAGAGGGGTTCGTGTTCTGCATCGCGGTCCCTGTGGCGTTGAAACAGCTTCCAGTGCCTCCAGAACTTGAGCCACCTCCAGCTGCGATCTCGGTGTACCAACGGATTTTGCAATGATTCAAGCACGTCGAGGTACGCATCCATCTCCTCTGCCACCGCCTGCAAACTGAAGGAAAAGTGGCCACAAGCAGCGGCAACCTCCTCTATATCAGCTTGAATATTTTCGGTTCGCGATCTTCCCAGCTCGATGCTTCGATATAATTCCCGAAGGGCCTTGCCCCTAGCATTGTTGTACAGATTCACCGCATCCCGGAGGCTGGCACGCAGATGCACATTGACAGCCACCTGGTCTTCGGGGTGTTTGCCAAAGGGATTCTCCTTCAGCGTTTCCGATAGAGTGTATGCCAAAGACTTCATGGAAGGCCCCAGCAGTGCCAAAAAGAGCGCGAATATATCGGATGGCACACGAAAGATGGGCGACTTATCGAGTGTTGGGTCCGAGTGGCTGTTGAGGGCCGACCGACGTTCGAATTCGTCTTCTTCAATGACGGATAGGCGATCCCTGGCATCGTCAGAAAAGTATGAAACACTTCGACTCATTCCGGATGCTGGCTCAGGAGAGAATAAGTGTGATTGCGGCGGCACAATGGAGTTGGGTCCCTCCTTCAGAAGCGTCAGCTGGGTCTGGAGCGCACTACGCAGACCCCCAGTCGCCTGTGACAGCGTTTCCAGCGACTTGATGAGACGTTTATCCAACCGGTATACGTCCTCCCTCCCGAGAAAGTATTGCTCAATTTTAGACTCTCGGAGGGTTGTCATGATCTGAGCGTACGCTGAATTATACTGAGCGGAGGCCTGGGCATACTCGAGAGAGTTGACCTCGTCCTCCGATCCGTTTAAAAACCCACTGGTGATGAAGGACAAGCGATCACTCAGCGCCACCGCCGCAGTAAGGATAGACTGGCGCAAGACTTTTCTTGCCGACACGCGCCATAACAGGAGGTTGACAGCCACGGTAAAGGTGATTCCAAGCAATAACAGCTTGAACATCTGTATGATCTTATCCACGGAGAAGTAGCCATTATTGACGGATTCCTCTTTGGTAATGATGGATATAATGGCCATTGATGCCAAGGTAGAGGCGGTGTTGACAAGGGGCTGGTTCAATCGCTGCTTAGTCCAGCCGACCAAGCCAAGACCGCCTCCGATGCATACAATTAGGACGACGGCATGTGCGGGAGCGGCAGATCCAGAGAGGGCACGAGAGGCAATGGCTATCCCCATCGACAGCATACAGACCAGTTCGGCATATACCACGGCCACAATGGCAATCACAACAGCCTCCAGCATCGACCCAGCCGTCCGGGCCGGGTGGAAGTACACTGTCAACGTCGCCGCAATGTGTTTGCCATCTCTACGACCCAGGAAGTTAGACAGCGGCGGCCAAAACGTTGCCGTGGTACCCAAGAGATATGCCAGCGCGCACTTGAGCACCTGCCGGCCCTCGTCGGTCTGCACCCATCGCCAGGCGGCCAGCGACTTGGTCCGCACAGCTCTCGAAGCTGCCTGGAGATGCTGACCAACCGAGGTCACCGAAGCTGTTGGCGGACGACGCTCGGATCCATTGCAGTGCGACCGGGTCCTGGGAGTGCGGAGGGTGAATTGGCGCCGGGAGCGCTCGCCAGTGGCAGGGATGACGAAGGTGCCATTGCGCATTTTCTATTGATAGGAGGCGACCGAGTTTAGCAAAGCGCCTCATGCAGAGTAATCTGGAAGGGGGAAGACCAGTTCACGTACACTCCTCTTGGAGGGACGCGCGGGCGGCAATGCGGCCGTCGTCGAGGACGAGGAGCTGTCTCTGTCTCTGGCCCCGTTGGAGCTGGAGCTGCTCATGGCTGGAAGCGTCGGCCGCGTCTGCTGCGGGACAGAACGAGCATATGTTTGATTCTCATGGGCTCGAGAAAGGCCCCTGGCCGTCTCTCCAGGTCAGCCCGCGATCCGGCTGCTGGAGGCGATGCTGCTGGCGTCTGTGGTGGCGGTGATGATGGATGACTAGGGCAGGGTTGGGCTGCTATCGTGGAAGCTCAGGTACTAATGGAAGCTTAGAGGTACTAAGCCAGAGAGAGAGTTGGAGGTTTGAAAATCGAATCGGGGCGGGTGCACGTACCTCTCCGTACTGTGACTGTAAACGTCCATGCGCCGCACTGCACCTAGCGGGACCGAATGCCGGGAGCTTATGGCATCCATCCATCCATTGATCCGTTGATGGGGCGCAGCGGTCGTGGGCGGCCCTGAGCGTGCTGGAGCGCCTGGGCTGGGCTGTTCAGGTACCGGCACTCGTTGGAACTCGACACTTTTGCGGCGGGGCCAGCGGTGGGCCAGCTGTATGTACTCCGGGCCTTGGGGCAAGCTCCAGCTGTCAATTTGCAATTACCGCCAGATCGTGAGCCGTCCATCAAATGGAGCCCCTTGAACCCTTGGCGATCTCTTTGGGCCACCTCCAATCGGCCGTCGCCATCCATGCACCAACGGCAATGCTAGTGCCGAGCAAACAAACTGACGGCACAGCAGCAGCACTCCAATGGCTAGCGGGTTGAGTTGATTCGATCAGTGATTGATTGCTTGATTGATTGGGTTTTGGGCGCTTGTGCACGTCCAACAGCGCATGGAGCTTGAGCTTGTTCTCGGGCTGCGCCACCACCGCCCACTAGCCACGACTTGATTTGATGCCCGCCTTATCAAGCGCTGCTGCTGTGCTCCTAAACTCGGGGCCTTGCTCCAGTGCCGTTCGCCTGTTTGAGCCTGTTGCATATGTCCAGACGCAACGGATCTTGACTCTAACGCTTGGCGCCGTGCACATTCATGGAGCCCAAAACAAGTGCCATTGTGCTATTATCTGACCTGCTGGTTAGAAAATCACGATAAGCCTGCTCCTCACGCCGTTTCCGCGCCGCTTCTTCCTTCTCCCACCCATTCCCGTCTTGCAGTCTCCCAGGCGCGCCGTCTGCTCGTCTCACTTAGACAGACGCCCCTCTGCTTCTGCCTCTGCCTCGGTGTCTCGCTTCCCTTCGTCTTTCATCAACATACTTGACGCCAAATCGCCCACGCTGGCCACCTTCTCCTTCATCCGACGACGGCTCATGTCCGCCATGGCTGCTCCGAGGCCTAGAAGGTTCGCCCCCTTGCGAGCAGCAGCAGGCCTGTCACCATTCCACAGCGATCCGATACTGAGGGGCGTCATATTTGACATGGACGGCACCTTGTGGTATGTATGAAACGCCCTACAGCCAGCTAATGATTGAGCTGTCTTACCTAATCCCCCCTGTCTTTTCTTTACTTCAACTCTCTCTCTTCTCTTCTCACAGCCATTCTGGCATAAGGATCCTTTAATCTTTTTTCCTTCTTATGTGATATATCAGGTTTGATTGCTCTGTTGTTCTAGGGGCAAGATGAAGTGATTTATCCTTCATATTGTCGGGTGGCATTTAGGCAATGGCAAGTTTTGCTCGACAGCCTTGTCATGGCAGGGCCTGACTCATTTTGCTTACCTGCTTTATGTGCCCCTCATCCGGACACGGAACAAGATGAATGAAAGAGAACAGCAGAGATGAAGAGAAGAAGACGAGAAAAGAAGAGAAACGAAGAGTCTCAAAAGAGAAAACATGGTCTTCAGAAATTGGCATTGCCTCTAACATCCCTCGATAGTGAGCCTCAAACATACATGTTCAGGGAAATGCGCTCCGTCCTCGGCATCCCCCAGTCCGTGGACATTCTCGAACACATCGACAAGCTCCCCCCTCACCAGCAGCCGCCCGCCCACGAGGCCATCCGCGCCATCGAGCGCAAGGCCATGGCCTCGCAAACGCCCCAACCCGGTCTCCAAGACCTCATGTCCTACCTCGAGGCCTACCAGGTGCCCAAGGCCATCTGCACCCGCAACTTCGACATCCCCGTCCAGCACCTCATCTCAAAGTTCCTGCCCGCCTCCCAGTTCTATCCCGTCATCACCCGCGACTTTCGCCCTCCTAAGCCCCATCCGGCAGGTATCATGCACATCGCCCAGAGCTGGGGATTGGTCGACGGCTCCGGCGCCGTCGACACCAGCGGCGTGATCATGGTGGGCGATTCCCTCGATGATCTGACCGCGGGGAGGCTGGCCGGCGCTGCCACCGTGCTGCTGCTCAACGACGTGAACAAGGAGCTGGCCACCCATGAGCATACCGACTTGGTAATCCACAAGCTGGACGACTTAATCCGGGTCCTGGAAAATGGATTTCAGGGGAGAGTGATAGAACCAGGGCGTTTACCATTGTGATTTTCGCATATATCCAAACGTTAGATTTTAGGCGCTTCTCAGCATTAAACACAATACACACGTGCTCAAGTCCACCAACACTACATTGGACACAGGCGTATATATTAAATATACTCTTTTGTATACCGGGGGGGAAATGGCAGATACAAAATTTCAAATTAATGCTCAATTTGCAAAAGCCACTTTCTTTTCTCTTCTCTTTCATCTCATCTGTTATTTTCTCAGCTTAGGCAGCCGGGTTGCTAGATCCAAACGCCCTGCGTTTGCTACATAGCTAGGTATACATCACACTAGAACATAACACACGATCCAAGCGGTTTCATTGCGTTCAAGTGTACCAAAAAAAACAAAAAGAGTTTTTTCTTTTTCATGTGCAACTTATAGCTGGTTTCACAGCTCATTTCCGAATATCGTTCCAGAGATTTTCTTCTTTCGCTATCAATTTTGTTTGGCGCCTCTAATTAGAACAGACGTGAGGAGAAAGCACATGTCCATCAAAAAAAGAAATTGCGCCGAGGTGATGCTAAGGCAGAGAGAGAGAGAGAGAGAGTTGACGAGAGGATGTACGATACGAGTTAGGTCAGAGGGGTCAATAGTATGGTGGCGGCGGATCCTATACGCCGTATGAAGGGTTCGGGGGCAGCCCGTAGGTTTTGACCTGCCTCCGGCCCTGACCTCGTGCCTCGTCTGACGCCGATTTTTGCTGTCCTCCTTGCGCAAAAGCACTTGTTGGTGGTGCTGGTCGGACTGGGAGGTTGAAGGTGTTGGGGGAAGAGTGATGGGAACCATCTGAATAGCCGGAAGACGAGTTTGTGGGGATCCGTTGCCCGAGGCCCGGATGAGCGGGCCGGCTCGCGCCAACGCCATTTCGCGATGGTGATCGATTTTGCGTAGGCAGCTGATCTCGTGGTGACAGGATGCCAGCTCCAGCAATGGGGATGTCTCCGAATTGGGGTGTATCGAGCGGCAGCTCCTCAGTTCGCGACTGCGGCGATGAGTCGCTTGATCGAAGCAGTTCGTGGGTGCCGCTGGGCGAAAGCTGGGGAACCAGATGAGACTTGCGGTTGTCCCTCTCCATGAGGCTAAAAGCCCACTCCTTAAGGTCTACCGGTGTTCTCTTGGCAGCTTGCACAAAAGGATCACGCTCCTAGAAATATTGTCTCAGTCACCATTCGACAAGCTGAGGGTCAAGGGGGAGGATATCAACTTACGAATAATTCTTGTGGGGTAGGCCGCTTCTCCGGCTCTTTAAACAGGCACTTCTGTACCATGTCCTCCAGGATGCTGGGGAAAGCGTCGCTCTTGGGAAGCTTCGGGGCCGGCTCGTTGACAATCTGCTGCAGCAGATCCAAAATTCCAGCGGGGCCCGAGTCATCTTCGTCAATGTGCTCGCTTGCAAAGGGGAATTTGCCAATGGCAAGCTCCATAATGGTCAAGCCAAAACTCCAGACATCCGACTTGACTGTGTACTTCTCGCCTTGAATACGCTCAGGGGCCATGTACGTGGACGTGCCGACAAAGGTATCGGCAATGGAGTTGACCAGCTCTCCGGACACTCCAAAGTCGCATAGTTTGATGGAACCACGAGAGTTGATGAGGATATTTGACGGCTTAATGTCTCGGTGCATGATATGGTGCTTGATGTAGAGGTAGGTCAGACCGCCCAGAGTGGCCTCTGCAATCTTGCCCAAAACATCCACGCGGATTGGGCCAAAGACTCTCGAAACTCTGTCGAGCGCACTGTTCGGGTATCAGAGTTAGCCGCATTCAACACAGCTGATTCAATCTCGCATCCCGGATATACGTGATGAAACTTACCCAACATCCATATACTCCATACACATAATGACATCGTTGTTGTGATTCAGAAAGGCACCATAAAATGTAACAATGTAGTCGGAGTGGCATCCGTGCATAATTTGAAGCTCTCGAACAATTCGCCTTCGCATCTCTTTCTTGGCTTCGACGTGTATAATCTAGGTACCCAGCATTAGCTCAGAGGCTCCATCAGGGACACCAGGGGTTGGGCAGGAGGGGACAGTACCTTGCGAGCCATGACGGTCCCCGTCGTCAAATGTCTGACTTTGCTAACAGTACCGCCATTGCCAGATCCCAGTTCTTTTATGACTTCAAGCTCCTCTGGTCTCAGGTCGAGCTTGTACTCGATGCCAATTTCCAGCTGCTCCTCCTTGCCGGCTTCGTCTTTGTTAACCTCTGAAGGCCGTCTGCCATTTTCGGCCGGTGGCGGAGGTCGTGGCGCTGCCGGCGTCAGGGCAAGTCCCTTGACGTTCTTGCGCTTCATCGTGCGCGGTGCGAAAGCGTCAGCCATGTTGGGCAAAAGTCTGATGATGTTGAATGGGAGAAGAAGTGGTGAATTGGTGATGCTAGGCACACCAAGGCGCGGGGCGAGGCGTTATGTCGATTAGGGGCTCAAGTCCAAATCACTTGGGCAAGGCTCGCCAGAGTCAGGGCAAAAGACAAGCTAAGCCTCACTAGCCCAGCAGACAGTGCTCTTGGAGGAAGGCTGCGGGCGAAAGTCCAAAGCCTCGGCGTGTAGGGGAGAGGAGTGATGTGTCGTCGCTGCTCGGAATAGCGCAGATTCTTCGTCAAGTCGCTGGCGGTCGGTGTCGAACAGGTTCAGGCTGTGCTGGCCCTGCGCAGATGAATATACTCGTACACAGCCACGGAGAGATGAAGAGAAGCAAGCGAGTATCACGTCGAAAATGCCTCTGGTGGTCGTTTCGCTTCTCCGCAGAATAGAGGACACCCCTCGAAGTCGGGAGCCGTGGGGGATATTTACGGGCGGTTCTCCGTCCTCCGTGCACGAAATAGTCGAGGCTACAGTACGGGCTGGACGTTAATTAGTGGTCCAGTGCCTTGTAGCGCTGCAGCGGTCCAGTGTGGGGTCCTGCAGAGATAACGTGATCCTGGTCGGTTTGGGGTTCTGGAGCGATTGAAAGCTATTGACAGCACGGTACAAAGGCTCAGGGCAGTCAGAACAAAGAAAGGGCCGTGGATCAACTGAATGGACTCTGGTGGAAGCTTTAAATATCTCCGGACGGGCTGCAAAGGGATTCCCAGCAATGCACCAACGCCAGGACATGAGATGAAATCCCGCGTCAGGAGAATTTCTCCAATCATGCTGTCCCGAAGTTCTATTTTTATAGCCAGCAGCCACCCAAGAGAATCGTGGATGAATGCACGTTGCCTGTTTGGGCGACCCCAAGAGCCACCACCAGCCCCTAAGTCGCTGGCCTTGTTTAGGCGCCCAAGCCTGGCTCCCCCTATCATAGCTTTGGAGGCGCACTGATCATATCAGCACAACTCCGTGCTCCGTGCTTGTTGTACCTGATTCACCATCACCAAAATCAATGCTCACATGAGTCGCGGGTACAGGTAGTAGCCGGGCTCATCAGCGGGGGCCCGGGCCATTCCCGCGCATCTTAGCGAAGAGCCGGCACGTTTGGACATGTTTTGAAAGATGGGGATGCCTCATGTATACGAAGCACAGAAGGGATGAAACCCGGCTAACATGTTAAACGCTCCTGGGCGCGCTTGACCCTCACCAATCATGCATACAGGTGCCCAGATCTGGCATTGACCCCTAAAGGCGCATACATGTAGTACGAGTGTTTAGTAGTTTGACTGTAGAGGCTGCAATGGAACACACGCATGGCATTGATCGGACTAGCGCGTCTGGCTGCGGGACGATTCAGGTGAAAGAGCCTGCCAACTCCTTTCTCAAGGGCCATTCAAACGAGTCCCTTTGATGCCAGTCCAGGCGCACCTTTGCCGTCTCATCTTCCATGAGCGTTGCCTTGTTTGGACGTCGACCCATTGTTCCCCATGACGTAGTGTTACGAAAGGTTGTTTCAGTGCATCTACATGTGTCCCTGGGATGAAGTGGCCTGCCTATTGCGATGTTTCCCCATAGCGACGACTCACCGGCGCAGCTTTACCTTTTTCTGGATTTTGTCTATCATCTAGGGAGGGAGTAGGCTAAATGTCATTGGCCATCGTTGTAAGCTTGACTGGTTATGATACAACAACATCCGATTTCAGCAGTCAAGTTTTCCTTCCAGGGTATCATGGACATCTACAGTAAAGCTCTTGTTCACTTGGCATTGCAACAAAGAGGCTCTTGGCGGTTTAATCGATAGTAGATGTGGCCAGTTCATATGGCGACATCTCAATCTCCTGACCTGATATAATCCAGCTCGCCATTTCTACTGGCCGACGACTGAACCAATACGAATCACCTCGCAGCACTGCTTCACCAAGCTCTCAAGCTCCCTCTCTTTCGATACCATTAGCTGGCTGTCGATGTGGGGTCCTCAATCCGTCTTCTAATTTAAGTCTCCGGACTGCCACAGCCTGCGGGGCTAGCTTTCGCCATGCTCGTCGATACACGCTGGTATGAGGCCTGCGACTCCACACGCTGGTTGTACTGTAGCAATCCAGAGCTGAGGCCCGATCTTGAAACTAGAGCCAGCTGCAGTATTTGCCGTTTGCCGAATATTTGGAGGTGGGGGAGCGTATCGTGTGTGTCGACTGGGCTGCATACTAGCACGTCAAATTGCTGCTAGCCATCTTCAAGAGTAGATAATTCTCCTTATTCCCGGCCGTGTTGAAACTATTCACACATAGTCTCTGCTCAAGTATGGGATGTGTGATAATGGCATGGAAGGGAGATGGTGGAAAGTAAAATGAACAGAGTTGCTTAGCCACTTTTGCAGAAAAATTTTCATTGTACATGTATTGCCCATTTACTGGAAGACTTTAGGTGCACAAAGGTACTAACTTTTCTCTCATTTTCAGCTACTTGAGAAATCAAACCCTATTGTGGTCAATTGTGTGAATTGCTCGATAGGCTTCGGAGGATTTGATGGCGGAGCATGCAGCGCGAGGAAGTTACATAAGCATTCTCGAAAGCGGATAAATATAGTTCCGCTCACCCCCTGCCACACGCGACACGAGGCTGAAGGTGGTCGCCGAGACTGCTCAAAAATTCATGTAGGCTTGTCAGGAGAGAAGTTCAGCTGGCCTCATCGAGCTCTTTGACAGTTTTCGCCGGGATCGAGGCCTTCTGCCAGTCTTCATCGTAAATCTATCCGGCCATCAGCTGAATTGCGTTATCCGCGCCCAATTCGGACGCGAGTCCTTCGACCAACCTTGTGACATCCTCCCAACGCGATAGCGCCAGGCACCGACAAGATGAGCTCCGCCATGCGCGACCTGATTTCGGGAGAGGCCGAGTTGGATGACGAGGAAGATGACGAATCTTTTGACGAAGATACTGGCGCGGAGCGTCGAAGGAAGCCGGCCGCCCGTGTCGACGACTCCAGCGAAGAAGAAGAAGACGATGACGACGAAGAGGAGGCTCGCAAGGTAACACTGAAGCGCTGTTGACTGCTGACACGATCACCCACTAACGCGACTGCTTGCCCTAGATCCGCGAGGGCTTCATTGTCGATGAGGACGAAGAGGAAGAAGAACCCGAGTCCGACGTCGACAGCCGGCCGATAAAGAGAAAGCGAGAGCATCGGAATCGCGAAGAGGAAGAAGCACTCGACGAGGAAGATTTGGAACTCATTGGCGAGCAGTTTGGGGAGCAGCCAAAGCCCCAGGCACCAGTTAGTCTCTTACTGCTCGCCTGACCGTTTTTCTTTGTTAACACCTCATGTTTAGTCAAAGTTCAAACGCCTCAAACGTGGCCACCGAGACGAGGACGATTCAGCCCACGAAAAGCGAGGCTTGGAAGAGATCTTCGCAGACGATGACGAGGACGCCGCCGAGCAACGTAGCTACGGTAGACCTGGCTTCCGTTCCCAAGTCGACGAGTTCGACGACTTCATCGAGGAAGACTACCCCGAAGATGAGGATGAGCGCATACGCCAACAGGAAGACGCCGAAGTCGCCCGCCCTAGGGATCGCGGTGTCGGTGGCGTCGTCGATACCACAGGCCTGGACAAGGATGCGCTGGATGATATGGAGGCCATCTTTGGCAACGGCGAAGACTACGACTGGGCACTCCAGATGGAAGAAGAGGAGGAGGACCGAGAGAGAGAGGAGCAGGGCATCGAGCTCAAGGACGTCTTTGAGCCTTCACAGCTCAAGGAAAAATTGCTCACCGACGAGGATAACGAAATTCGATTTACAGACGAGCCCGAACGCTTCCAACTCGACCGCAAATCGTTCAAGAACCTGCAGCTCACTCCCGATCAGTTCAAGGAGGAGGCCCGGTGGATTACCAACCAGCTATGGCCGAAGAAGGGTTTGGCTCAGGAACTCCAAGCCCCTTTTGGCAAGGCAGTTGGTAAAGTACTCGAGTTCTTCATCGTCGACGAGGTCGAGGTTCCATTTGTGTTTCAGCACCGAAAGGATTACCTCCTTCACTCCAAGAAAATTCGCAAGTCCACAAGGGATGATCCCGACGGCCCTGATTATACGATTCAGTCAGACAAGCTGCTGAACCAGGATGATCTGTGGAGAATTCTCGAGCTGGATATCAAATTCCGCTCATTCGTGGAAAAGAGGAATTCGCTTGAAAAGTCGTTTGACAATCTCAAATCCATGGATGTCCAAGACGGCATGGTCGAGGAGATGATTCCCGAGGCCACCACCATGGAAGAGATTCAGGACCTACAGGATTATTTGCAATTCCAGTACGCCAACAAACTGAAGGACCTCGCGACTCTATCCGGTAGCGTATCGCAAACGAAACGCCCCGGTTCAAAATCTTCACTGTTTGACCGTGTTCGCAATGGAAAAGCCTACTACTTTGTCAAAGCCTATGGCATAACTGCCGACCAGCTAGCGAAGAATGCCCTTCGTCAAGGTAGAAAAGTCGCTCCGGATGACCACGAGCAGTATCCGATGGATCTGGCAGACAGCCTGCTTGATGAAAGCTTCAACACCGGTGACCAAGTCATTAACGCTGCTCGTCAAATGTATGCTGAAGAACTGTTTGCCAGTCCCCGGATGCGCAAGTACTTGAGAGCTTCCTTTTACCAGGCAGCTGAAATTAGCTGTCGTCGAACTGACAAGGGCCTGCGAAAGATTGACGACACCCACCCGTACTACGAAATCAAGTACATCCAAAACCAGGCCATTGCGGATCTGGTACACCAACCTGAAGTGTTCCTTAAGATGATGCGCGCTGAGGAAGAGGGCCTCGTGGAGATTAAGCTCGAGATGCCTCCGCGATACGATTTCCGGAGGCAACTCTATCAAGAGTTCGAGTCAGAGAACTTCAGTGATCGAGCGGAGCAGTGGCGGGAGGAACGCAAAAAGGTGTTGGATCTTGCCTATCCTAAGCTGGAAAAGATTGTGGCCAAGAACATCAAGGAAGTCATTCGGACTTTCTGTCAGGACGAAGTTCTCAAGATGTGTCGACAAGAGTTCTACCGCAAGCTTGATCAAGCTCCCTACAAGCCCAAGGGGATGATCTTGGGTACAACACCACGAGTGCTCGTTCTGTCCAACGGAGGTGGCGACCCTACTCGCGACCCTGTGTGCTGGGCTTGGGTGGAGGAAGAAGGCAGGGTGCTCGAACAAGGCAAGTTTGGCAACCTCGGCAGAGACGAGACTCAGCGGGAGAACTTTGTCGAGCTTGTGCGGCGGCGGCGGCCTGATGTCATTGGTGTCAGCGGCTGGTCATCGGATACGCAAAAGCTGGTACGCGACTTGGAGGGCCTTGTGAGCGAAAAGAGCCTCATGGGAGCAGAGTTCGAGGACCCCGAGACGAACGACTACCGAACCGAGCTGCTTGAGGTCATCGTCGTCGAGGATGAAGTCGCACGCCTTTACAAAGACAGCCCCCGTGCCATGGCTGAACACCCCTCTCTCAACCCCATCACAAGATACTGCATCGCCTTGGCGCGGTATTTGCAGAACCCTATGAAGGAATACGCTGCGCTTGGCAAAGATGTATCGTCTCTTTCATTCCATCCATGCCAAAGCTTGCTGCCTCCGGATAAGCTGATGAAATATCTGGAATCCGCCATGGTTGATACTGTCAACATGGTCGGAGTCAACATCAACGATGCCATGACGGACACTTACACGGCCAACCTTTTACCTTTCGTCGCAGGATTGGGACCGCGAAAGGCTACCAGCGTAATCAAGACCATCAACGCAAACGGAGGCGTAGTCAACACAAGAGACGAGCTTGTCGGCGACCCAGACAGCGGAAAGCTACCGGTTGTTGGACCCCGTGTCTGGAACAACTGTGCCAGTTTTCTGTATATCGAGTACGACGCAACGAACCCCTCATCGGATCCTCTCGACAACACTCGTGTTCACCCTGAAGACTACGAATTGGGCCGCAAGATGGCGGCAGATGCGCTTGAATTGGACGAAGAGGATGTCAAAGCGGAGACGGACGAGAACGGACCTGGTGCCATTGTGCGAAAGCTCTTCAAACAGGACGAACAAGAGAGGGTCAACGAGCTGGTGCTTGATGAATACGCCGACCAGCTGCAGAGGAATTTCAGCCAACGCAAGCGAGCTACTCTCGAGGCCATCAGTGCCGAGCTGCAAGCGCCCTACGAAGAGTTGCGCAGGAGCTTTGCGCTCCTCACGCCGTCTGACATCTTCACCATGTTTACGGGTGAAACCAAGTTTACCCTCTGCGAGGGCATGATTGTTCCAGTCAACGTGCGCATGGTCAGAGACGACTTTGCCATTGTGAAGCTGGACTGCGGCATCGAAGGCAGGATAGAAGGCCACGAAGTATCGAACCGGGCTTCTGTCAAGGACGTCCTCAGCTCAGGGCAAACGGTGCAAGCCAAGATCCTTGAAATGAACTACAAGGATTTCATGGCCAAGCTTTCCATGCGGGAAGAGTCTCTGCGCATCCCCTACAAGGCCCCCATCAACTTTGGCCGCGACGGTTGGGACTATGCCCTTGAGGCCGCTGACAAGGAGGAGCTTCGTGAGAAAGACAAGACTACGGGCAGGACGCAGCGTGTGGTCAAGCATCCCAACTTCAAACCCTACAACTCAATTCAGGCGGAAGAGTACCTTGGATCTCAGCCTCCCGGCGAGGTCATTATTCGACCCTCTTCAAAGGGTAATGACCACCTGGCTATTACCTGGAAGGTCGCCGATGGCGTTTACCAACACATTGACGTCCTGGAAATGCAAAAGGACACGGAGTTTTCGGTTGGCAAGCTCCTCCGGATAGGTGGCAAATACACCTACAGCGATCTTGACGAACTGATCGTGGATCATGTTAAGGCCATGGCCAGAAAGGTCGAAGAGATGATGAGAAACGACAAGTACCAAAACAGGTCACGCAACGAGACTGGTAAGTCACATTTACCCTACTTGTCACCCGAATCCCTAGATGAACACGATTCTAACATGAAGCAGAGAAATGGCTCATCACTTATGTGGATGCCAACCCCAACCGATCTGCATATGCATTTTGCATCGACACCAAGCATCCAGGATACTTTTGGCTATGCTTCAAGGCGAGCAAGACGGCACGCGTCATCGGCCTTCCGGTGCGAACCATTCCGCAAGGATTTGAGCTCAGGGGATATCAGTATCCCGACATGCGTGCCCTGTGTAACGGTTTCAAGCTGCGGTTCCAGAATGAGTTTTCCAAGATGGGGGCGCGCTAAGAAGAGAGAATAATGATTGACCTAGACGTGGCCTGGAGGCGGACATGGAAAAAGCGAAAATCTAGGGTTACAGATTTAATGACTTCGTGTGTGTTGATTATTTAGTATCATTGTGTAGAAAGTCGGGATTCAACTGGCTCGAGAGGAAACTCGATAGCAGTCCTTGGGAGCGAAAAAAAAAACTTTTTTCTCCTCCTCATTGTTCATTATTTTTCAGAGAAAGACAGATTGGGGTTAAGGGAGACGGCATGGATGAGAAGCAATATTCATGGAACAAATAAAAGACTAGAATAATAGGTTACTTGTTTTTTGAGGGGGAGAAAGGCTAGTTGAGTTGACGTCGTTTCAACTGACTAGGAACAAACAAAGCCTGCTCTTGAATCGATGCAGCTAGATTGGTACAGTAAATACAGATTACGTTCAGATGGATTTAAGGGCTATTCGTGATGATTTGATTCCCATGTGTTTGACCAACGATGAACGGCCGCCGTCATGCTCGGTGGTTTGCTGATATAGAGAGGGCTCATTAATAATGAACAGCTTAATGGAAGCAAAAATGAAGAAGAAACCAGGAGACTGCTTACTTATTAACCACCACCAGTAAAGAAGTATTCTGTCTGCCTTATGGTTGTTCAGGATATTCAGGAGGATGTGAGGGCAAAAAAAGAATTGAGCGACACCTGCAGGATTCGAACCTGCGCGTGCGAACACAATGCCTATGATACCTGACAGATAGCAGGGCATCGCCTTAACCACTCGGCCAAAGTGTCTTATCATCTGTTATCGAGTTAGGCTGGCAATTGTCATTATATACCTAGTCACGTTTGCACCGCCGCAGTAGCGTCGTGATGCCATCCGCTTTTGCTGTTGCATTAGCTTGATCATATGGATTTTGAACAGACCAGGTATAGACCAATCAGAAGACACTTTGGCCGAGTGGTTAAGGCGATGCCCTGCTATCTATCAGGTATCATAGGCATTGTGTTCGCACGCGCAGGTTCGAATCCTGCAGGTGTCGTTTCTTTTTTTGCGTCTGCTGCGGTGGTGGTTCCTTTTTATTGCTCACGTATTTTATTTACATCAGTAGCAAGAGACCATTTCATGGGCGGTTCATTCTTCTTCGCGGCAGAGTGATGTTCTGTTTCCTGGCAACTGAAAGTTATATGCTACGTATGAACTGCATCGCTTGTGCGTCTAACCAACACGCAAAGAGTATCGGGCTGTGAAGACAAATCAACAATGACAAAATGAGATGCTTCTCCTCCATCTTTGTGTAACAGAGAGAAGGAAATCTTGAGAGAATGTGTGCTCCGCGCCAGATGGGATACGTCAAGTGAGAAGAAGCCTTGCCACATATCTTGCATGGCAGCAATAGACAGAGCTCGATGGAAAAAAGTACGGTCCAAGAGCAGTGCAGGTAATGAATGGCCTTCCTCCTGCATCCCTCAAACCGAGCATCGTCAGCAAGTGTTTAGGCCGAGCTCGTCACATGGGTGATTTCGATTTCATCCTTTGCAAATGTCAGTAACAAAGACACTCCGCCGTAGACCGAAAACTCCTTTCTTACCTCGAGATCTCCAGGCTGAATCAATCCCACCACTGCGGTGCTCTGCAGCCTCTGGTGGTCTCTGACATACTTGCGATACTCAGGGGCCCCCGGCTTCACCACGTTGTCGGCCGCAATCACCGCGCCCTGCTGCAAGAGCCCCAGTTCCTCGCAGACCTTGAAATCAGAGACGTACAGGTCCTCGACATGGTCCAAGAACAAAAAGTCAATCTTGTTCAGGTCGCCCTTTTCATGCAGCTTCCGCAGCGACTGTTCCGCCGGGCCGGTGACGACCTTGACGATGTCGGAGAGCCCTGCAAGCATAACCAGCTCTCTGGCAATGGCTGAGAATTCGCTGCTCATCTCGAGACTCAGCACGCGGGGCTGCTGCTGCTCCAGCTTGCTGTTGCGGCGCATGGTGTCTGCGAAGAGAATGGCCGAGTATCCCAGATAGCCGCCCAGTTCGACGAGAGTCTGGGGGTTTTCTTTGGCGACCAGGTCGGACATGATCTTGGCCTTGTGGCCGCCGATGCTGATGAGGAAGTCATGCTTGGCCGAGTATTCGTCCATGACGGAGAGAAGCTTGGCGGGATTTCCCCTCATGTCCTGCAAATGGGGGTGAGAGAGGATGAAGGCGAGCAGTCGCTCTTCGCGGCCATCGTGAGACTAGAATAAAGGGGAAGCTTAGCGACGGTTCTGATGATGCCTTTTTTGCGCAGAGTTTTCTTTCAATGTCAACAGTGTTGTTGGAATAGTAATTACCTCGACGCCGGTCTCGATCGGCCCCCTCAATGAGGGATATTTCTCAAGCAGCGCAACGATTTCTGGTGGGTGGTCCATTTTGGAAGGGGGCTCGTAGTTTTGCCACGCGATGGAGGGGGGAAGAATGTATGACGATGGTATAAGCTCACAGCTTATGGAGAAAAGCTCAAAGGCAGATTGTGGTTATTTTGGCCCTTGGTTCTTCCGCCGAATTCACCACGTTAGCTTCAGTGCGACATAATACAAAGGAAAAAGAAAAGGGGAGTTTTAAGTTGATCCGAGAAGCTGTGCGTGTTATTTATAAGAGTTGACGAAGGATTCGAGGTCCCCGCCGTGTGCATGTGCTAGTACCCTTTGAAGAAGCTCCCGATTAACAGCTGGAACTGCGATTCACGGGGTTAAATGACTAAAAAAGCGAGGGTTGTCATGGTGAATTGTAATAAATGGCTAAACGCTGAATATTGTTTTTGTATTACATTGCGTGGGTTGTAAGAGGTATTCGCTGGCTTGGTAGAACAGCCTCCATCATGGATGCGTGTTAGGGAGCGCCGTATTCGCACTTGACTACCCCTGAATCTGAATCTCAATCTGCCAGGCCAGGAGTCAAGGAGTTGAAATTCTGCGCAAGAGGTGAATTGCGCTTCTGCGGCCAATTTCCTCCTTGTGTGACTCTTGCCGATAAGAAAGCCCGCGATCAGATCGGGTCTGTGGAATGCCGGAATCGAAATGGACAAACATTGTGATTCGGGTATCACGTAGGACCAATCTGTGATTGTGATGGCCGAGGGTGTCTTTTTTTTCTTCCTCTGTTGGCTGCCTCGGTACGAGCAGCACGCTTTGATGTAGATGCCAGAGGAAGTAGGGCCTGGCATGTGTACGTGTGGCAAATGGGATTATCAAGAACTTCCCGACACTCAACGATTTCTTGTTGGAAAGGATTCACATGCCAGTAAAAGCTTGTACAAAATTATCCACACAGAGGTTTTAAACAGGGTGTTTACATGCGGGAGATGGCGGGTGGTCTATTGAAAAATACTGGCTCATGTTGCCCTCCCCGTCTCTATTCTCGCCACGAAATTCCGCACTTGGACCTACATTTCGGACAACAGGAGGTAGCAAATAAATCTCTGTAAACATGGCGAGAAAAAGCTTTTACGCAAATAATTGCTTCTCGGCATTGTTAGAGGTGGCTACTCTACAGCGTTAAATAAGTGAACTAGGCTGTTGAAAGATCCCCTTCCGCGACTGGCGAGTATAATGGGTTAAGAGGGCATCACCAAGCATACTATCGGATTTTTTCACCAATTCCTAGACAAATCTTGCCGTCTCTGGCCTGATGACGCAGCATTTCGCCAGTCATCATGACCAGTTAGCCTCTATCTATATATGCTTTGCGTCAAAGTATCTCAGCTTCTTAACTGGGTTGCCGGTCAGTCGTGCTCAAAGTAACATGCAAGAGCTTGACCCCTACAAATCCTATGCGAGAATGTTGAAGAGAGTGTCTGAACCATTTACATCATATATCCAGATAAACAAGGCTTATCTGTATGACATTTAATATCTACACAACATGAGTCATTCCCAGTGTAAAACAGCTCTGATCGCTGTACAAAATACTTGACACACATCATTACCTACTTTCCATTACCCCTTGCATGCTATCCAAGACAATGTGTTCAAAACAACGCAATACTGGTGGATGCCCAACTGAATTCAAGACACGTACCGGCCGAGTTGTGTCTCACATCACGTCAACGACGGCAGCCTGGCCGAGACATTGGACCCTTAATTCCCGGCATCAGCTGAAGACGTCATGTGCCTTGTGGACGCCGTTAACCGCGCAGATTCGAGCTCGTTTCTCCATGCAAGTATCCGTAATTGCATCGGAGCTGTCAATATATTGCAAATGGATTCGGATGACTCCGAGAACTCGCATCGCCACCTGCCCATCGACTTGCCCGCATTGCCTCCCTGCAGCGAGAGCGGACAACAGCTATCCATACCAAACCGGTCTGTTCAAACAAACGTGGCCTTTTCTCCAAATCATGGCCGAGAATGACTCCTAAAGCGAGAGACCGGTGGAGTCTTGAATTAGCCCACGTTTAGCTGTTTTGCGTTGCTTTTGCTCGCCCGGACACGGAAGCACTCGGCTGCGACTTTGCCACGGCGTCTCCACAGCCGGGGCTCCGTGCAGAGAGGCGAAACGCTACAGTAGGTACTTGGGAAGAGGCTGAATGATGAAACTAAAGATACCGCCGAGGCACCGACAGGGAGTGAGTTTATCTCGGCCGGTTTCAGCGGGAAATTTTCAATTGGAAGCGACTGTTTGTTTGCTTGTTTGCTTATAGTTGAGATGACGCAAAATGCTCCCAAGTTGACTCGTACTACTAGTACTCGCACTTTGTAGCTTGTACTCCGTTGAACGGAGCAGACGATGGCGCCTGCACTACTACAGGTAGGTTAGTACTACCTAGTAAGGTAAGACAGAGCCAGCACGGAGCATTTACGGCCTCTGCATGTACACCGTACCCCGCCGGGCTGCGGCTGGCTCACCGGGCTGACCGTACCCAGTACCTGCGACGAGTACCGAAGCACAAGTCCACTTTCCACCTTGCCAACGTCACTAAAGTCTGGGGAAACGGGGCTCCAGGGGTCCAGAACAAGGCAGCAGGTGCCGCAAGCGGGCGGGTTGCGTGACTGCAGCAAAGCGTCAGGCCAATTGGAAAGTCAATTGATCAAGGGAGGCAAGCAATTGGGAGAGAGAAATTGAAGCAAAAGCGATGGATTGGGATTGGGGAGACACAAAAGGAAGAGCTGCACTGCACTGCACTGTGCAATCCCAATGCCAATGCGACGCAACTCGCTGGAACCAATTCAATTTGCAGCGGGCAGGGAGGCCCAAAAGGAGGCGAAGGGTGCATGCAGCGCTTGTTGCGTCAGGTCACGCGATATATGGTCCAATGCTATTGAGCCACTCGTCGTTCTGGGCAAGAACGCACGCGGCAGAAAAAGCAGGAAAGCACGCACGGAGCACTCGTACACACGAGTAACGCGGTCGCGGCCAGGTAGAGTCACCCGTTGGCTCGCCGCTTGCGTGGGTTGATTTCGGTGGGCTCCGCGGCCGATCGGTACATGCTCAGTACCTGACCTGACGCCATTGAACTGCCCACGCTCACCCCCTCCCTCCCTCAGCGATTGCTTCATCAATTCAGGTTCCTTCTCTTACCCAAGTCAATTGAGCAATCCCGCCCAATTCACCCTCGTCGAGCCTCGTCATTGGTCCATCTTCCTTCTCCTCGTTCTGTTGGCGCCACCCCCGAGACGTCTCGCGTGACACCTTGTGATAGCAATGCTGCATCCATTCACCTTGACATACAAAAGCCCAAACTGCCCAGCTTCCTCAAATCTCTCTCTTCCTTGTTCATCTCATCTCATCTAATCCTCAATCTCTCCATCTCTCTCTCTCTCACATATAACAAGCACAACAACCAACAACCAACATACTCTCCAATCCCAATTCATCAACCCTCAACTTCTCCATCCACCGCCTCCCATAAACGGCACCAAAAGAACCATCTGCCACCCATTTCCGGCACAACGCCTCCTCACCATTACTCCAACTTTGTCTCCCTCTACCATCTCTCTCCGGCCAATTCGTCGCCATTGATCCCCCCCGCTCTGCCTCCGTCTTACCCCTTCTGCGCCTAGCTCTCATTTTGTCGCCTCTCGCCATCCATCCATCAAAAGTAAGTTTCCAGCTGCAGTTACGCACCCCCGCATCCGTATCACGTCTCCCTGTCCTATTGCTGTTACGCTGCGACGTTTCTCCTTTTGCACCATCCCGCTCGCCCCCCTCTCACACCACATAGCATCTACAATTACATCTACATACGCATCAGAGGCCAACTGTCTGGGCCTCTTTCCATCAAATCCTGATTAACCATACACACATCACCCAAACAGTCAGCCTAGAGCCTATTCCCAATGATACCCATCTTGCCAAGATCAACATGCTAACCTGGTCGTCTTGTCACAGTGACTCGTTCTCACAAGTACAACGACCGTGACCACAAGGGCATTGCCGATGGCAGTGTCTCCCCAACAGAAAACCTGCCTCGCTTCTTTGCAAAGAGCGGCTACGTTGATGTCGACCCCAAGAAGATCAAGAAGGACGGTTGTGGTAAAGGCAACTGGTATGTCATTACACTGTTTGATCCTGTTCCACCGCATGATTCACTCTGCTAACAACGGACTCCATCACAGGGGAAGTGCCGGCGGAGAAGTCGTGGATGAGGGTTTCCGCTTCACCAATGCTCGCCGCCGCTCCAACAGCTTTTCCCACCAACATCTCTCGGACTTCAAGACCAAGTTCGAGGTGAATGAGGCTGACCCTCTCTTCGAGGAGCATCTCCACGGACCTCTTGACGAGGAGAACGGCGATGACCTCTCCAAGACGGACTCGGCCGAGAGTGTCCACTCCGTCTAAGACGAGACAAGTCGTCTCGCATGCCCCAGAGAGCGCTGCTATTAGTCGTGCCTATCCTGGATTTGTCTGGATGCCCGCCCACATTACATCATGATTCATATTTACTATAGCTTTTTTTTATTCTTCTCTTTTTTTTAATCGGGAAGGAATGATACAGTGGGATATGACAGCCACGGAACCGGACATGACGGCACTCATCTGAGGCCAAACTCATGATACATACCCGCCGTGACGTTGCTTTGCCGGCGGGATGACATGTATTACTGTATAATACGCTTTTCTTTTCTGTTTTTTTACCAACGATATGAAGGCTCGGGCTCTCTGATAGAACCAATCAAAGCCGTGTAACATTTTATGACAGATTGCGCTCATTCGTGAGGAGTGGTTCACTGTTTGCATTGCCATGAAAGCCATTGCCGTGAAAGCCACCGGGATGCTTATCTGCTCCACGTCAACGGCTGCGATGCCAGCTGCGATTTGCCCGAGCCATTAACCAATGCCCCCCAGACGACACGTAAGGCCTTACTTGAACCAGATAAGACCGTGCCCCGACTGGCAGCAAGCGTCCCAGACTCACCGTGTCGGTGGTCGCCGATACGACAGCGTACCCCGCTCGGGGTAAATGCAAAGTTGAATAGCCCAAGGAGAGGCTGCAGATCGATGGGTGAATGGGGGAATGTATCGGCAGTCGGATATTACGCTCGACACACTGCATATGAGAAGTAACGCACACCTGACACTTTTGGCAGCAAGATGTGCTGCAGTGATGCCCAGTAATGTGTGTGTCGTGATGGGGACAGACAGCCACCCTTTGAGAATGATGGGAAACGACACAAAGAGTTGAGCCAAACAAAACAGGCTGTTATATCGACTTGTTTCTACTTGGGCTTCTCGACTAATGCAATCCTCTCGCCCCCTGTATGATTATACTACCTAGTACTACTATCGTATCGATATGATTATGCAAATCCCCCATCGTCCTTCCTCTTCAAGCGTCATCGTTGTCCTTCTTCGCAAGGTTCTTTTTTCTCCTCTCCGTCACCCCCGGACGCCAGCTCTCCACTTTTACCGCGTGCTGGTCCGTGCACCGGCGACACACATCGACGCCAAAACGTTCCCATTTTGCAGAACCGGGGATGGATTACGTAAGCCAGGGAGAGAGCGCTTCAGCCTTGCGTCGCGGAAAACACGTGCTGGTTGGTCCAAAGCTGGGCCTTTGCTGCGTCGGCGCATCTTTTTCTGCATCATCTTTTTTTTTTTTCATCTATTGAATTGATTCCGTTCGACATCCCCCTTTTTATCGAGATATTGAAAGAGAGGAAAAAAGGCCACAGCTTGTGAGGTGTGATTAATATCGATTCATTGTTCTGGAAACCGCTCTGTTCTGTGTTTTTGCGCACTACCGGTTGAGCAATCTCGAAACAGCGGAAAAAAAGAGACGTCGCAATCGCGAGATTCTTCAGCCTTGCGACACCACGACGACTTTCCCTCCAACCCAGTCAACCAATTCACCAGCCAACAACGGCCCTTTACACCAACAATCACTTCACCACGCAATCATCCCGCCAAAAGGCAAACCCAATAAACAAAATGGCCGTCCCACCAGCGTACCACGAATCCCTCCCATGTACGTTCCCTCCTCTCCCATTCCCAAAACACCAAAAATATCAAAGCACCAACTAACCCTCCCTCCCTCCTCACAGACATCGACCCCGAACCCTCCCCAGAAGCCCTCACCGCCGCCCGCGCCCTCATCGCCGCCGAGCAATCCACCTTCTCCCCTCCACCATCCTCTTCCTCCTCCACTTTGCCAGAACCAACCTTCTCGCCCGCCATCGCCGCCGAACTCGCCCGCATCGCATCCTCCCAACCCTCCCAACCCCTCGACCTCTCCCGCTACGAAGCTCAAGAACTCCCTCCCCCTCCTCCCAAAAAATCAACGCGCTCCAAAAAGTCAAAAACCTCATCATCCTCCTCCTCCGCAGCAGCAGTAGAAGCATCAAGGCAACCCCTCTCAAACGCCTTCATCTCCTCCTCCTACCTCTTCTCCCGCGCCCAAAACCTGTCCCTCCTCGACTCCCACGGCAAAAACGCCTGGCTCCTCGGAAACTACCACCTCGAGGCCGAGCTCCGCAGCCTCGAGCGCGACCTCGCCGCCACAAAACGCGACATGGACCTCCTCAACGCCGCCCGCGCGTCCCGCCAGAACGACGTCAAAGGCGAGATGCAAGGCCTGGAGCAAAACTGGCGCGAGGCCGTCGGCAGGGTTCTCGAGACGGAAATCGCCGTCCAGGAGCTCAGGGAGCAGATACGACAGGAGCTGAGGAGCAGGGCTTCCGCTGCTGAGCATGCTACTGCCTAATAGCGACACCAAAGAGATAGACAGGGCTCTGGTTTTTTTTACTTTTCTTGACTTTTCTTTTCTTCCTTTTGTACTCCTTTCTTCTTGCTCAAATTCTCTTTATAATTTCACTTTTTTTTTTTTTGAACTTTCATATCCCCAACAGGAAAGGGTTAATGGATAGTTATGGGCATACAATTTACAAGGCATACGGAAAGCACTGCTGGCGTCAAAACGACCTTGATTAGGTAGCTACAACATGAAATAAAACTACACAGACATCTTGATATGAGGTACAATATATTCTTTTCCTGTAACAAACAAATAACGAAAGTAGGTCGGGTAAGGAGAATTACGGTAAGATCAGAATGACCAATCACCCCAAGTCAGCCCTCAAAGAGATATCAGTCGCATTGATAACGGTATCAAACAAGGTATCTGCTCAAATAGACAATGTCTCAAAGGGAGGGATAATAACGAGGGTGGAGATGTTAGGGGGGGAAATGTTGACCAAAGGAAAAAAAAAAAGCAAAACAAAAGAGTATCCCGAAAACGCCGGTAAGCCGTGCCCGTTACATAGGGCCTCCGATAAAGCGAGCAGTCGTTTGCACGAATTCGCAATCGGCCATGTAAAAATGCAACCCTTTTGCCAATGCCCCAGCCCGCTCCCGTCACTCCCGTAGAACCGATCTGAGGAGCCCATCTATGCTCGGTACCCTTTTCATGTCCAGAAAATCCTGCCTCTTAAACTGCTAGCGTCATCACCACACCTGTAACTTATACCCGTGCAGACATTATACACCTTGAAAGCGATACAAACGCACACGTGAGGATGCTCGCTCGTTCGTTTCTTGCTTGGCAGCTTACTGCTGTAGGGGGTCCATGTCTTCCACGCCCGTCTTGACGCCCCGATACCTTGTCCTTCGCAGGAGACCCTCGACAGGGCCCAAGAGCCGTTGGAATGCGTTCTTGCCCAGCGTGGCCACCTTGACGTCCGTCGAAGCCACGACACTAGCGGCTCGCGGAGCGTCGTTAAGCAGCGCCAGCTCGCCAAAGAAGTCGCCCTTCTTGTATGACAGCACCTTTTTGCCTCCCTTGAACGCGTCTGCCTCGCCGTGCTCGAGGAGGTAGAAGGAGTGGCCAGGGTCGCCTTCGTGGATGATGACGTCTCCTGGAGCAAACTTTTGTGTTTCGAGGGCATCTGCAATCTTGGATCGTTCGTAGGGGGTAAGCGAAGACAGGATGGGCACTTCCTCCAAGAAGCTCTCGTACATCCGTCTCCGAGCAAAGGTAGACTCCATGAGGATACGACGGAATGTCACTCGGTCCAAAGCCCACAGGGTGCAGCTTCCCTCGGCAGAGATGATGGTTGCCGCACGGGGAGCGTTGTACATGAGAGCAAGCTCGCCAAAGGAGCCTCCGGCCTGGACGCTGCTGACCTTGTTGCCCAGTCCATCCGGGCCAGGCTCAATAAAGCCGCAGGGGTTGACATAGACATCAAACGAGCCTCGCTCAACTACGTAGAAATAGTCACCAGCATCTCCCTGGCTGATTACCTGTTTGTCGTGCCCGTTAGCATAATGAAAAGAAAGAATACGCGTCTTTTCTTATTGCGTTGCGCTTACCTTGATGCCCCTGGCAGGAATGGGCTTCTCCACAAGAGCGCCCAGAATCTGCGCGCTCTGCTCGTCGTCCAAGTGGTTGAAGAGGAAATTTCCCTCGATGGCATGCTTGAGTCGCTCAACCTGCTCGGGGGTCTTTTCGGTGAAGGGAGGGGTCCAGTTGTCGTAGCTGTCGGCGCTCGGCTTGAGCGACTCTGCTGAAACGGACGTCCGACGTCCAAAGTTGTACTGTGCCGGATAGCTATCGGTGGTAGGGGGGGCCCTCAGGGTCGGTGGAGCCTCGGTAGATGCGTCGCCCCCAAAAGCTCCTGAGAACAAGGGGGCGCCGGGGGCCAGATGATCGGTCTCGTCCTCCTCAACGACGCGGTGCATCGCGTTGGATGCCATGGGCGACGTGCTGCCGCCAAAGGGGTTGGCGTTGGCCCCAAAAGGGCTCGAGAATTGGCTAGACATCATAGCAAAGTGGCTGGTGGGCGACGGAGAGAATCTTGGCGAGGGGGTGCCTCGGTCGCGGAAGATGGAAATGCTCGCCGCTCGTTCGGATGCTAGTCGCGAGTTGAAGAAGTCGGCGCAGAACTGGAGGATATCGGAAGGACAGGTCTGCAGAACCTGCCGGTTGAGAGCTTGGATCTCATGTTGGTAAGCTTCTGGTAGAGACATGACCAGTGAAGGGTGTTTGGGTGACGGCTAAGTATTAAACAGATAATGACGTAAAACTCGACAAGAAACAAGAAGCAACTCGGAGAAGGAGCGTATTTGAAAGGTACAGGTAAAAGAATGACCGGAGTGAGTTGGACCTACAGCTTGCGCGGGAGGCGGGTCTGGGATGTAGAGCCGTTTTGTATGCGCGAAGCTGCGCGACGAGAATTAGCAGCACGCTACCAGGCGGCCGGGGTGCAGAACCGGGTGGCCCGCCATCGCAGACAAGAGGACGGGAAATTCAAACAGAGGGGCCAATCGACAAGGGCCGCAAGTCGTGGGCATTTTGGCACGCCCCCCAGGCCAGGCCTGAGGGACGGCGTCGTTACCGGGGAGGCCGAGATGCGAACGACTAGAGGGAAGAGCAAGGACAAGGGCTCGCTAGCACCCGATCGGGCGGCATGGCCAATGGGCTGGGCAGGCATGACAGGAAGAAAATGAAGGCAGAGAGAGACGAGGGCAAACGGGCGAGACTGAGACTGGGGGCTGCAGGACGGCGGCAGACGAGGCACAAACGCTGCGAGTTGACAGCCAAGAAAAATGAAGGTGTGGCGGCCGAAACGTCAACCCAGCGCGCCACCTGCTTGCGTCTGGAGCCGAGGAAGCAGGACAGAAGGGGAGACGTAGGCGAGAAAAAGAGAGCTTGTGACCTACCAGCAGTAGCGGGTGCAGCGGGCGAAGGATACGAAGACGAGGCTGCGGCGGCACGGCGAGATTAGATGAGGAGCTGAGAGAGAGAGGCGCGAAGAGGACAAGGACGAAGACGAAGTCGAAAGGTGAAGACGAGACGAGGGGACGGAGGAGGGGTCGTGCGACAGGATCAAGCGTTTGGATCGACCGAAGGACGGGCAAACGAAGGGAGAAGAGGGGCCGAGCCTAGAAGGGCGAAGCGGAAGACGGCGTGGGGAAGAAAAAAAAAGATGACGAGCCAAAAGGTGACGGACGCTGCGAACGAGGTTTGGTGGGCCTTGCCCGGGGGGGATGGGATGATGGGAATGCTTCAATGATGCTCGCGGTGGCGATGCTTGTTGCGGTGGGATTGGATTGAGCTGAAGGGATGATGCGAGGAGGAGTTTCCGGGAAGAGAAGCTTTGCTGAGGCGCAAAGAAATGGATGGGAATGGATGGATTTGGGGGGGAAGGGCAAGCACAGCACAAGCAGCAGCTGGCAGAATCGAGAAGCTGGGAAGAGCAATAGCCACCACGTCAACGCAGCATGACGCACAGCTCAGCACAAACACAGCAGAGCACAGCACAGCACAGCACAGCACAGCTCGGCTCAGCAACGAACCAAGAGCAGCTGCCAAACAGCCAGCCAGCCAGCAACCACCAGCCCGGCCCAGCAAAAAACCTTACAGCAGACTTGGTTGGCACTTACCTGGGATTTAGCACCTTGAACTTCGAACTAGCACCAGCTAGCGGGCGGGAGCTCTTCAGTTCTGCAAAAACGAAGCTGAGCCTAATACCTACTGTACATGTGCTGTAATCAGCCGGTGCAGAACAAGCCCAGAGAGAATGCAGAGGTGGGGGAGGCAAAAGAGAGGCGGCCGGTGGCTCGAGACAAGGGCCCTGCGGAAGCTTTCTAGAAGCGTCGCACGGGCCTCGTCGTCCCCACCCCTTGCCCTCCCAGCGCTGTTCCGCCAGAGCTTCCGCGGGCTTCGGTGCAGGGCTCTAGCAGTGTTGAGCGTGTACAGCTGCTTCTGGGCGTTGCCACTGTTGGACATGAATGTGCCAACGCAGGTACTTTAGGTACTGTGCGTGCGTACATGCTCGTACATACATCCACACCATCCAAGTTGATCAATCTGATGCATCATCATCATCATGCCGGTCTCGTCTCCAGCAGAGGTGCAGAAGTACAGGTACAGGTACAGGTACAGGTACAGGTACAGGCACAGGCACTGAACCCGGCAGCACCAGCCTGCAAAGCCATCAGATGACTCAGTCGAGTCCCTCTCCCGGCATCGTCTCGCCTCGTCAGGTACCCATCAGCATCACAGGCAGACAGGCAGACAGGCAGCACACCATGGGGGAATCTCATCTCTCCATCCCCAAGGAGGGAAAGAAAAAAAAAACATAACCAAACCGTTTCTTCCACCTAGTCTCACCCAAGCCAAAAACCCTGTCCGGTACATGACTAGCAGCAACAGGCACCCCGTACTTGCATGGGCATTCATCTCGTGGCAGTGGTGCTATTGAATTTCCTCATTTCGGGCCCTTTCACGCGCCCTGCTCCTAGTGGGCAACGGCCCTGGCAACTTCTGCCTAGCTCCAGCCTACCCAACCTGACAAGCGTAAATGAGCTTCCTACCTTACTTGTACAGTAATGTTCCTTTGTTTCCCTTTCAGATCAGTGGATGACAAAAAGGCTCGTGGATGATGATTTGATGACTTGTAACAAATCCCTCATCAGCGCAACCGTCTTACTCCTGCATCACCGGGTCTGAGGTACTTCTACTCTACGGTAAGCACTCAATCTTTGTAACTCGAGAGAATTCCAGCGCGCAAAGCACGTGTACGAAAGGTACATTAGTACACATAGGAGGTTTGCGAGTCTTCGTACCGTATTCACGCGATTGGCACGGCGTACTCCGCCAGTCACAGTGCAAATTAAGGCCTTCGCAAGTGGCGCACCCACGCCTCTCTTTGCTCATGTCATGTCCCCTTCGGAGATGACCATGAGACAACAAAGAAGGAGGGCCGTTTACGACGAATAAAATAAAAAACCATGCCATGAATCTTACAAACCGCCTTTTTTATTACTATTTCCCATGATTTTGCAACGGTCTTTTCCCTCGTGATTTATCCATCTCCTGTTTTTTCTCTTCTTTCGTGACCTGCTTCATTCGTCGCTCTCGGGCGTTGGCTGGGCGCATCGCATCACAACCTCCATGCCTGCGCCACGCTTTCTCGTACACGCACTGGGTATCAAAGTACCGTCATCTGCCGGCCGTTGCGTGACGTCGTGGCTACTCGGTGGCGAAAGAGCAAGATTACATTCTTCTCTAGTGACGGATTCAGGAGTAAGAAAGGTGTCTTCCTATCCAGGTTAGCCAAGCCAGCCAATGGGCCAGTTCTGCTGCATGTATCGAACGGCAATGGATGCCTCTCGCAAGGCGACAGCTGCAGTGCACCGGCTCAGCTCAATTGTCAGCGCTTCACGACATGCTTACGGGATGCTGCGCTCGAGTCAGAGCCTGCATCCTTTACAGATGCCACGAGTACAATATTCGAGATATACTATATATAGATACATATGGCTATTCCGTGTTGTTTTATTTCTCGCATTAACACCACCTACTGCTTTGGCACCTCCCAATAAAATACCACGAGTAAGACGCTCACGCCGGTGACCAAGCAAGATGCGCTGCCGCCATTGGACGTGTAACAACCACCTCCTCTGTGCCTCGCTCCCCCCCCCATTCGTCTGTATGTACATGTTCGCTTGACCCCTTCGCCTCGTGGTCCGTTTTGCCTTTTGCCCCCTGCCACTAGGGTATCGTTCCATACAAAATACAATTCATAGTGATGAACAAATCAACCATATAATCCCCCCCCTTGCCTCAAGAATAACAACGCTGTGGTGAAGATAATTGCAGCCGGGCAACGCCGTTTGAATCCCACCGTTGTGACAAATATTACAGAACAGGAAAAAGCAAATAAAGGAAGAAAAAGAACAAGACAAAGAAAAGAAAGTGAAAGAGAAGCAAGGCGACGTATACTCGGCTTTGCCCCAAGGTTAGCCAAAGCCTGCATGCAGCTGAGCTGCTGTCTGCTCCGAGTAAGGCTGAACCCCTGCTGAACCAACCGCGATCCATCCACTCTATTCCGGTGTGGATGTCCTGTCAAAATCCCGGCATCCCATAAGTCATAGGTGCCCTGCCAGCCACTTAATCTATCCAAAGCCGCTTACCCTGAAACCGCCCCTCCCCTCTATCGCGTTTGGGAGGAGATTCTATTCGGCATCGCCGTCAGGGTGTCTTGCTCGAAACGGCAGCAGCGATGAGCAGCCAAAAACGCTCTTTTCTTTTTTTTTTCTTTCTTTCATCATCCGACGGCGAGGCACGAGTCCAAGACGCTATCCAACATATCCATGTCGAGATTTTCTGCCCCCTCCCACCCTACTTCATTATCAAGATCCATGGTATCGGGGAGTGCGCCGTTGGTCAATCCCAAGTCGCCATTGGTCACGAGTTCCTCGACTACTGGTGCGGGTGGTTCGCCGTTGACCCAAGTATAGTCTTTCCAGTTTTCGAGCTCGCCTTCTCGGTACCCGTAGAGAATCTGCGCTGTAACAATGGGGAACTGAGAGATGCCCGAATCTGCCATTTCCAAGGCGACTCGTACGTCGGCTATGCCCAGTGGGCCTCTCTCACTGGCAGCCTTAGACTCGACAGGTAACAGGCCTGCCTTATCTCGGGTGATTTCGCCTCTCTGTGCTGCGTCTTCTTCTCGGTGAAGCTGCCGACTGTACTTGTGTGTCTGGATCCATGTGGTACCTATTCCGTAGCCCGCGCTGCCAGAATCGCCAGGCCCATTGCTCCGAGTGCGACTAAAGATTTGCGTCAAGACTTCTTTAATAAATGTCTCGGTAGCAACAGACATGAGTTGAGACGCATCAGGTGCATGGCCGTTGATAAGCCCGGCTTCATAACAAAAGGGAAGCATCCGGCCGGCTATTAGACCCATATCGGGAAATTCTCCAGATTCGACGGCGAGAGGTTGTGTATATCGTTTTCGAATCTCCAGGTCAAAGTCTAGAATCAAGGTTAGGACATGAGGAGAGGAGGAGAGGAAGACTTTTGGAAGTGGGAGTCCAAGTCAATCCACTTACTCATGTTGTTGATACCGCCGGCTGCGCTAGGGGGCACGTCGGCAGCCAAGGAGGGTTTCCGGTGTGATTCGGTAAACACATTTGCCAAGCTCTCATGAGGATCATACTGTTTTCGAAAATCAGTTGGTAATTAGATAGCGGCCGCAAGTTGAGAGCTGGCGATAACGAACCTCGTTTTGTGTGAGCTCCTTGATGCGCCGTCGATCCCGTGCGGGTAGTTGCATCACCTCTCCCTTTAGTCTCCGTTCTGCTGCGTCACCCGACACAGGTTTGCTGCCTGTCGTTGTCGTGGGCTTGTCGTTAGCACTAACCCATGGCGCAAGGCCAGCATCGGGCATCTCCCGGGTGACATTGCCGTAGATGGCAGCAATGAGCTGGTTGTGTAGGTGGTTCTTCTCGCCCGTTGGCGATGACAGTATCGGATCAATTCGACCAGAGTACTCGGTCTGGTTGAGGCGGCCTGTTTTATCACATGATGAGAACATAGTCCGGCGTGGCGGATAGGGACATGATGGCGGTCTGGTGCCATAGTGGTCGACCCATACCAGTCAGAAACTCCGTCGTAGATTCTTTGTATACAAGCCATTGCTCCGAGCTAATGGCGGCTTTCAGCGCAGCATAGAGCGGCTCAAGGTCAATTCGAGCCGGAATTATCTGGCTCGTCTTAACAGCCTTCTGGGAGCCCGGCGCAGTGAGCGTCAGCGTCTTTGTTGATAGAACCGGTGTTGAAACGCTGACGGATGGGCGGCTCAAGGCCGCGGGGTCGATATCGGGCATCGTGGATCGCGGAAAGACAACTAGAGGTGTCGCGTGCGGCGATGGAGCGGCGCGCGACGCGAGAGCAAAATCATGGGTTGATAAAGAGGATCACAGATACCATGCGATCGCTTCTATGCAATTATCTTGATGAAAAAGGCATCGTGAGGCTAGAAAGTCGATGGCAGATTCGCTGGGCTTTTCGCAGCTGAGCTGTGGGAAGGGGTCAATTGGTTAGAGTGAAGTCGAAATTTTGCCGAACGAGTGACGAATTCAGAGGGATGGTGCTGAAGAGCGGCGAGGCAGGTAGCAGGTACCCCTTGTTGGGCCCAACGCCGCCTGGGCTCTAGGTTGCAGCTACCTGGTGGCCGCTACAGCAGCTGCTACATCCCACTTTATAGCCTTCCATTGAATCGCGTCTGCGCGTGCACTCGATATCCGTTCTGTTGACTTGAGACATAGCAAAAAACGACTATAGCCGGCTCCGGCAACTCTTTGTTTCTCCTCGTTTTTCTTCACTCTCTTTTCTTTTTCTTTTTGGGAAATCCGGATTCGAGTCTTTGCTGGTCACGACAATGCAGCCATGGCACCAGATCGCGTCGCTAATGCCCTCGACAATCTGATAGTCCAAATTGTCCCCCCCAGAGGCCCAAACGAAGGCCAGGACTCGTGGCTGGCCCGGTATAACCTGAGCCATGAGCTCGTCAGAACCATAATAAACACGTAGGTTGGTGTCTGCACAATTGGATTTGTGTATTTGTTCGAAGCTCAAGGCAGCCTGCTAACAACCAGCTCTGCCATAGTCCACCTGATCCCGACATCTTGTCTGACGTCGACCGGGCCGCCGATTCAATCAAACGGAAGCTCATCCAGAGCAACCCTTCCCACGCGCTCAGATTCTCAGATCTCTACTCTCGACTTCTTGCGCTCCCAGTGCTCAAGTCGAAATGGGCAATCCTATATCTGCTATACGCTCTCGCCGACTCGCCAGATCCCAGGGCTCCCCCTCCCCCCCTCAGCATCATCCAGCCCTCGTCTTCGAATTATCGTGAAGCTGTCGCGCGAGATGCAGTCAAGAAGCGTGCTAGGGCTCGATCAAAGTCGATTCCTATGCCAAGGATAGAGGACGAGGTCATGAGAGATTCTCCAGCTCCTGAAGAACTACCACACAAGATACCAAAAGAACCGAAACGCATCGCGGAAGAGAGGCAGCCTCAGCCCGAGCCGGTAAAGAGAGACTTATCCGTCAGGGCGAGCATGCTGTCCAACAACTACGCGGAAATCGAGCCTTCAGAGACGGCCATCCTACGAGACCTTCCGTTTACACTCCAGGGCGTATCATCCACAACGCTGCCGTTTGCAAAAGATGACATCCTAAAGCTTCCGGCTACACTTCCTCTGCCACTCATATCTATTTTGCACACTCTGGCTGAGCCCTCATTACTCTATCGACGCCTCGATAACTTCTGCCAAACTCCCGCCAACGGCCTTTTAGCTCAGAGTCTACGGTCTGCAATCAGCAATGAGCTGCGATCATACCTAACATTAGTCGCAACACTTGAGGGCCAGATTCGCAAGGCACTGTCCTCCTTGGACGAAGCTGCACCGAGGGGGGGCATTGGGAAGACGGGTGTCACATTAAAAAGATGCGTGGTATGGACGCGAGAGGCTACAATGGGGCTAAGACTCATGTCCCTCATTGCTGAAGAGTCGGACAAGAAGAAGGGTGGTCAGCTCATCACTCTGATACACAGTTTTGCTTCTTCCAACGGAGATCCCGTGGTTGCCGCGTTCGCAGAGCGGTTATTGGGCAGTTTTACTCGACCTTGGTACGGCATCCTTCGTCACTGGATTTATGACGGAGAGCTGTCAGATCCATCCCTCGAATTCTTTGTCCGGGAGCAAACCGACACGCAGGAGTCTGTGCGAGTTAGGGGCAACGTGTGGGAGGATCAATACGAGATAGCCCAGGACATGATCCCGACCATTATTTCGCAAGACTTTGCGCAAAAGATATTCCTGATTGGCAAATCGTTGAATTTCATCCGGCACAGCTGCGGAGACTCGCTGTGGGTTGAGGATTATTCCAAGGCCGCTTCGAAGGAGCTGAGATACGGTGATACGGCAACGGTGGAGGTATGGATCGATGAGGCGTACAAGACAACAATGAAGCGATTGATGGATCTGATGGAGACTAAATTCCGTCTCTTCGCTCACCTCCAGGCTCTGAAGGATTACATCTTGCTGGGAAAAGGCGACTTTATTGCCTTGCTGATGGAATCCCTCGCCGCAAACTTGGATCGCCCTTCTGGCGCACAATACCGACACACTCTTACGGCCCAGCTAGAACATGCAATCCGTGGCTCAAATGCCCAGTACGACTCTCCCGAGGTGCTGCGGCGGTTAGATGCCCGAATGCTTCAGCTGTCGCACGGAGACATTGGCTGGGATTGCTTCACTTTGGAATACAAGATCGATGCCCCCATGGACGTGGTTGTTACTGAATGGGGCAACCGGCAATATCTCAAGGTGTTCAATTTCCTATGGCGAATCAAGCGAGTGGAGTTCGTGCTCCTCTCAACGTGGCGGGAGTGCATGACGGGATCTAGAAGAGTGCTGCAAAGCCCTAACCAGGCGGTGGTGCAGACATGGAAGTCAACGCGAGGCACGCTCGCCGAGATGATACACTTTGTGGGGCAGCTGCAGTACTACATCCTGTTCGAAGTCATTGAATCTTCGTGGGGCGAGCTCCAGAAGCGCATCCGCAAGGAAGACTGCACGCTGGACGATGTAATCGAGGCGCATAGGAGATATCTCGAGGACATCACGCACAAGGGTCTGCTGGGGCCGAAGCTTCGCCATCATCCTTCCGATAACAGGGAACAGACGACGTACCTCGACCAGCTCAGCGAGATCCTGCGGTCCATGCTCAGCTATCGCGACACCATCGTCGGGCTCTACGGGTGGACCAGCTCCGAGTACACTCGGCGGCAGGAGGTCGAGCTGCGCAACATGACGCGCCGCGACGACGACGGCGGCTTCTCGACCTTGGACAACGTGCCCTCGGAGTTCCCTGCCCTGCAGGAACGCCTGCGGCACCTCGGCGACAAGTTCCGCAACAGGCTGCAGGTCCTGCTGGGCGATTTGGCGTACCAGCCCGACGTGGACATGAGGTTCCTGGGCGTGGCCATGAACTTCAACGACGTGTACGCGCCTTCTAGGAGGAGGGGCAAGACGGCCTCGACTGTCTCGGCGACAACGTCGGTAATGGCCCCGTCTACTTCTGCGTCGACATTGAATGCGTCCAAGGTCTGAAGGCTTGAATAAGCCGGTGGGAGATGAATGTCCAGAGACACTACTTACTACGTCTACGAAATGGGGGGTGGAAAGGTGTATGTAGCGCTCAACAACTTTTGGTACTCTTGGTGCAAGGTGTGACGATGGCATGACATGATGTTATATGATACATTTGAATAATTTAATGAGACTCCTTGGTCTCTCAACTTGTTGCAAACAGTGAGACATTCGACAAACGCCAGCTTTGGGTAGAGATACGCGCATTGAAAGACATGTTGAGCACAGTAGGTAGCTGGAATAATAATGATGCCTACGTCCAGGAGACCATCCCTTACGCAGTCTCGCTTCTTTCGTCAGTCACTTGACGTCCTTGGTCCCTGGCTGCTCCGTGTCTTGGATGCCTTATGCACAATAAACCCCCGTGCTCTCTGAACGATCTGCTCGTGCGAGATGCGTAGAAAGCCCTGCAGTGACATGGCACCCGCATGTTGGATCTCCACGGCGTGCATAGGTATGGAACGCTCAGAAAAGTGTTGTTGGCTTGGTGTCACGGCAGGGAGAAGCAAGGACAAGGAGGGATAAACAGAGCGAGATGTTGCTCCGTAGCTTCTTCTCCATCCAGCCATAAAAACGATGACGGAGGCATAGCATTCCAAGCTGAGCCGGCTCTATCTACATCGGCCAATGAGCTCCGTTATCACATAGCTGAGATGCCCTCCTTGGATGATGGCTCATCCGCAGGGAAAAGCTTGGTAAGACATGGGGTAACTAAGGCTGCTGTAGCAATATTCAGCAACTCCTAACCAACCAGCAAAAGAGCTGAACACATACATGTAAGGGGGGGCCATTCGAGAAGCTAACTGCTAGCATCGCTAATAGTCCAAATTCGCAAAACCCAATGAGCGCTCTCGCAACCCTCTTGCGCGAAAGCAAGTGAAACAGCGAGACAAGCCAATCCAATAATAAGGCGGTTAGTTTGCGTGATGCGTGCTGCTGCTTGCTGCTAGATATTCTTGGCAGCAATGTAAAGGCCGGACGAGCTACTCCAATCAGTCCCATATGAGGCAACCCTTCGTTGTTGCACCAAATCTTGTTGGGCCCGTCAAATCACTCTTCAGGACGACGATGCTTTCTCACCCTGTTATCGGAGGGAATGAGTACCCGAGTACGACAGGCAAAAAGGTCTCGTTCTGTGTTCGGCTCAGCCTGCTTGCTGACGAGCCTGGGGGTGAACCAGAACTGGTAGCTGTCTTGGACACCGGCTTCGCCATTCGCAAGGATCTCGGAATCGAACACGCCCGTGGCCCCGTAGGAATAGAAAATAGAAACAGGGAAGAAGTGCCATTTTGAGCAATGCCATGAGCAGCTAGCTTCTGTTTGGTCAACACCCCACGAAGAAAGCTTGCGAGGGTGGCCTGCGTAGCCCTTGGCGCACAGAAATCGGGCTTTTCAATGGAGATGCCTCCAGCACGCAAGGGAGGCCAGTGGTTCTGCCGATCTGGATATTCTGTCTTGCAGAGCCGCATCGCTTGAGCTAGTACAATACTAGTAGTTGAGTGCTCGTAACTTGGCAGCAGGAGTAGTCGACATGAGTTGGGCAGATGAATCGATTCGCGAGTACGTAGACGGGCCCTGGCCCCTTGAATGACTGTCGTAATCTTCTAGAAAGGAGGTACTGTACGAGTCCGGCCAGGAAAGATGGCCTGTAGTACATGTGAAGTTGCCGGGGGAATCCAACATGAGGAATCCTCCGCCAAGCTGCCTGGTGCCGTTACAGGTGTACTGTAGCATGCAATATACAAGACGGGCATTACTCGCGTGTGCTCGTGCTGTCCAGAGAGTATGAAGCTTCCACAGGCATTCTCGAATAAAGGTCAGCATCGGGGAAGCCGTGGGAGCACCCCCTGGTCACTCTCTTCTCCCTATTTCAGGCAAACCGGGGTAAGGGGGGGATCCTGGAGCTTGGTGGAGCCACGCCATGGAAGCTCGTCCGACGGGATAATAAGGCTCTGACGACTCTCTTTTTTTTCTTCTGATGCCCTTGCTATTAGACGCATGCACGCCCATGGCTCCGTAACGAGTGTTAATGGAAGACTTCGGACGTCCTTCAACCTGTCGACCTGCCACGTCAGGCCAAGCTTCTGCTGGGCAGCATCGGGAACTCGGGGTGCTGCCTCTGTGGGAAACGAAAAAGAAGAAGAAGAAAAAGTAACTTTGGAGGCAAACAGGCTGGCGGCGACAAAGTCGGGTAACCGAAGTGTCTCCAGGCGGCAGACGCATTAATGCCCTCGGGCGTATGGATGGATGGCTGCCCTATCGGGGGCGCGTTTGCTCTTCCAGGGGGGGTTGTATGTACGTACGTGCTGTTCCATGCCAATCGTACAGAGTACCTTGTTGCGGTTGTTGGGGCCACGAGATGGATGCCTGCTTGTCCGCCTCCCAGTTACTCGTACGAGTACAGTTGAGACACCGCGGACTCGTATTTGCCTTGTACGAGTACTCGCACGTACGGGGCGCTGCAGTGGGCATTCCCGGTACCAACAACAACAAGCAAGGGCAGCGTTGGAGTCGCAAGTTTGTTTGTTTGTCCACCGCCCTCCATGGCTAGCAGCCAGACAAGTCAAGTAGGAGGCCGTCAAGTTGGGCCAAGACAAGGCAAGGCAAGGCAAGGCACCTGGATACATACGTAGAGAGAGAAAGACTGGAGATGTCGCCACCTTGAAGCATTACGGAGAGCCATGTTCCGCGGTTTTGGCATCTGCCCAAAGGTGAGCTCGTACGAGCATGAGCACAGCACAAGCACTAACAACTAGCAGTACGAGTAAGCTTCAACTGTCCCATTGAATGCTCTCCATCCATCAAATCTCCAACCCCCCCCTTGTCGACCAGCAACCCTGCAAAAGCTGTTTCCGGTCCCCACAATACCCCAAATCTCCCAATTAATCGGGACGCCGGGGCTACAGTTTTAGTGAGTCCAGTCCAGCAGCTTTTGAATTTTTGCGTGGCCCGCCCACAAAGAATCCCTGGCCCATGCCGGGTTTGGTTTGCCCAACGCTTTTGTTTTTTTTTGTTTCTTGCAAGGCCGTCGTGTGTCATTTTGATTAGCGGCATTGGCGACGTGTTCAAGCATGAATCAGCCGGTTTGAATCGTTGAAATGACGGGACAAAGTTGCGGCAAATGTGCTACAAGGTACCAGAGTGGGTTGGGGAGTGGAAGATATCAAGTACAAATCCTTGTGTGCAAGGCATAAAACACCACGCAACGAGACAGCACATGTGTCATGTACTCGATCCAACCTTCACTCGTACCTGTGCTGTATGTACATTGCATTTTCGGTTTTATTCCTTCACTCACAGTGGGCCTGTTGATCAAAGGCTGGGGCTTGTTTGCCAGCACTGCTGCACCCCCCCTTTTTGCCGCCTGCTGCTGCGAATGCGGCCTGGTTTCGTGACACCCAAGGAACTGTAGAAACTTCAACACAAGAAAATACTTTTCGTTGCTTTACTCCCGTCCCGTCACCCTGTTCTGCCTCGGTACTAGGTACCTATCATCGCTGCCAGATGCTGTAGAAAAGTTTCTTATCCCATGTGAAACCATGCATTCGTACGAGTACAAGTACAAAAGCATCGGTGCTTACCAGGTACTACTAAGGTTAGGTAGTACTAAATCAACGTCGCACACCCCCCAAGCTCCATGCTATGCAGCTTGCCACAGCATCCCCGGATTCTCACGAGTTTCCCCGGAGCGCCTCTGGTGCGTCCCCAACGGCGAGTTCAGCCCCCCCCCCCGAACTTGAGTCGTACTGTACACCGTACACACCCCCCAAACTCTCTGTCTCTGTCTGTCTCTGCCCAGCGCCGTCCAGGTACCGCCTATGCTGTTACGGCTGCATAAAAGCGGCGGTTTGACGACTGCCGAGGTACAGGTACAGCTATGAAAGCTTCCCGGGTTGATTCGTACTATACGTTAGCCGCACGCCCCCCTTTCTCTCTCTCTCTCTCTCTCTCTCTCTCTCTCTCTCTCTTTCTTTTTCCCCTTCAAACGCACCCTCTGCTTCTCACACGCCCTCCTCGTCTGGGCAACCGCCCTTCCGGCCCCCGGCTATGCCTGGCCTGGCTTGTTGTTTCTTTTCTTTCGTTTCCAGGTTTCTTCTTTTTTTTTTTTTTGCCCATGCAGTTGGTCTAGGGCCTCGATCCCTCCTTCGCTTTTATAATTCAGTCTCTCCTCCTGTCTGTCTGTCTGTCCGTCTCGGCTGCTGCTGCTGCTGCAAAAGAAAAAAAACTCGGGCCACGATCCCTTTTTCCTCTCCCAATCTCTCGCCTACAGCTGGCCTTTGCTTTCCTAGGCCCCTTTAATTCTCACACCAATTTGTTATCTCTGCTGCGATATCAACTTGGCCAAACTCACCACTCTTTTCTCTCTCTTACCTCCCTTTGCCCGTGCTCTTCATCGGCAAAATACCCTCCATCGCTACCAGCATCTAGTCCAACTCGGTCAAGATTCTCTTGAGCCTCATAATTCTTTCATCATCATTCTGCAGATCGACATCGCTGCACGCTGCTTTTGATACAGCTTTGCGAGCCGAGGAAATTGTTCGTATTCACATGTCTCTCTCCGCGCGAAAAGTCAACATTTATTCTAACCCATGAAATAATAGCCTCGCTTTCGCATCATCCAACTTGATCATCATTTGTTCGTCGACTCAAACACACAATACCGACACCATGTCAAGCGGACAAATCGCTGCGCCTTTTGCCATCAAGCCTTCCCAGCGGGCTAACATCCGGCTGGCAACGGCTCAGGACCTCTACTCCACGCTGAGCAGTTGTCTCAGCCCGCTAAAAGGACATCAGCGACCAGCCATTCCTTTTGATAATGCCGCCATGACCAAGCAAGGCGACGGCTCTGCTCATCCCATCCTTGAGGATGACTACACCGTTCCAGCGCCACCTCCGCCTAGCCCTGTTAGTTTCAGGGCCGACCGCTGGCCCGCGCCAGCTTGTCACTAAAGGGGCCGAGAGCGTGCTGTTACACTGCCTTCAGCCTTGCTCCTCGGGGTCGTAAAGGGTCCAGCTTATACAGCTGAATGCACAGTGTGGCCGGGCTAGCCCCGGCAACATTCATCCTTTGTTTCGTTCCGTTATTCAATTAGGGTTTAGATGGACGGCCTTTGTACTGTTTTGCGTTGCGTTGCTCGCCTTTGTTCCCTCTTGAGATATGAAGGAGGTCTTTTTTTGGAGTTGGGGTGTTTTAGGAACGGCTAATGGGCAAAGGGTGGAAATACAAACAAAAAACAGCCCTGTGGATTGCCTGCATCTGCCCAGGCCAAGAACTTGGCAGAGAGCACGGTACAAGTGGCGGCGGATTAATGGTTTTACGGGGTAGGAGTCTTTGTCTGCTTCAGTCAGTTATCTTTGGGTCGAGCTATTCTCCTCCTGTAATCAAATGGAACCTTTTTGTGGATGCTGCACTACCTTGCTTGGCTGAATGTCTCGCTGCACGGCAGAATGCCAATTTCGCGATGCGTGCCAGAAAGGAACTAGCAATGCTCAGCCTTGAAGTGATACAAGACAGTCGGAGGGGGATTGACTCATAAGAGCGGTCAGAACATGTCAGCCATTGGATATTATGCCACCTTCTTCGCAACAAGGATGTAACTGCAATTATGCACGCGCCCAATCAGTTGCTGCTTTGCCACCATCATTGGCTTACACGAGATGCCACAGAAGGAAGCTTGCCGCACAATGCCATTAGCGACGAGGGCCGGAGAGGGTGGCAATTGGCGGCTTCTCTTGAGCGGCGCAGAAGCACAAAGCAGAACCTATTCAGCCGGAGGCCGTATAAAATATATATAGATGAGCTGTATTCTGTATGGTGCACACGGACTAATGATGCGCCAGATGCGTGCCGTTTACGAGAGGTAGCACGGCGCGATGGAGGTAGATGGACGCTGAAACCAGATTTGTTATTGCGATGAGGTACATTTAGTACCTAGGATGAGATGGGTGGGACAAGGCCAACTTATACGGGCTGAAGATTGATTGAGTCGACTGCTATGAGTTGCTTCATCGTGTGCGAAAAGGGCTTGTAATTATATTGCTCGATATATGTTATTGGTGTCGTTTTAAGGTTAAGATATTTCGATATCCTCTGCTTAGACACTGAGGTGATTTCCTTATTTGGAAACGCATCTATTGTTCCTCTTACTATCTCGATGGATAAGGTCGCAACAGCCTTCATGTTCAGATACTCATTATGAGCCATATCTTCAATGGTTTCGCTATTATTTTCTACCTCGTCTCATGAAAGATTGGATCAGTAGCATCTCGCTGAAGATAGCCTTTGCTGCATAGATAGATTCCCTTGGTTCGTATAGATAGCCTGCCTATTTCGTTGTCAACACCAGGAAAGGCTCATCACGACTCAATTAAAGCCAAGATATCCAAGACATGAGGCTGTCATTGTTGCTACCTAGAACGCTGCTATCCTATGATGAATCGGTCATCCCGGAACAATAATCTGGTCACGAGAATCTGGGTCGTTGGTTTGGAGACGGGGAGGTGCGGAATCCAGAAAGTGTAGTTGCCGAAGAAGAGGTCACACGCCGTTTGCGCAGCATCGTGAAGGTTCAGCTCAAAGATGAATCTTTGATCAGCAGATATTACTCAAAATAAAGAAATATGAGCAAGTCTTGGCAGAATTGCTGCTCTGGGCGCATGGAAGAAAAGTATAAGTAGGTAGCCGACGTCCCGAGTTGCAATATCATGAAGAGCTTCAACCACAGACAGATAGACAACACAGCCATCTCTCTAGTCTCTTCACCTTAAGTTATCCACTGGTTACCTACCTCGATTTGATCTTGAATATCCCAAGAACCGCCAATATGCAGCAACTCTCCCAACTTGTGGCCCTCGCCATGCTCGCCACCTCGGCTCTGGCCGGTCCTGTGCAGCCCAGAGCGCCCGCTACCGACTGCTATATAAACAAAGACACCGCCTGGTGGATTCCCCAGGGATCCCCTAACACGGCTCCCACGGTGACCCTTCGGGACATTTGCAAGCAGGGCGGCGTTGGAGGATGCCAGCAAAACCTCGGGCGGTTCTGTGTTCTCGGCGACCTCGCCTACTGCGACAGCCTCGAGGACACTCTCAGCGTCTATCAGGCATACAAGGGTGGCCACTGGGAGTTTCCCTCTGTGATTCAGTGCGGCAACCTGGCTCTCAGCATCGCTGCTACCTAAAGCACAAACGCTGCTTTACGGTATGATCGGGTTGTGTTAAACACCGGTAGGTTGACAGAGGTGCCACCGACCGACTTATACTCGGCCCATCTAAAGCGTCTTCAGACTAACAACGTTTCCAACAAGCCAGGTCATTATGGAAAAAAGAATGGATGGCCTGCTAGGCATAAAGGATATCACTGTCAAGGGACTGTATTTTCAGTTTACTCAACTCAATGCTTTTACATGTACATATCGGAGCGGATGGCTCTTTAGGATCTTGCAGTCTTGGTGCGAATAGCGCTTCAAGAAAATATAAACACCTGACGAGCAGAGATGCTGGACGCTATTCTTCATGTGATTGCGTGTAACAAGCGTTGAAAAGTAGAGGTCTTTCCGATGCAAGGATAATGTGATCCGATATCTTCTCATACCGCCCAATTTGAATAAAAGCATCAATCTCATCAAAACTTCCCATCCAGCGCTGGTGCTCGTCAAAGTAACCGTTCCGTCTCGGGAAAAGCGGGTCCCCGCGGGGCTCGTGTCTTTTGGCCCGAAACCGCGTCGTTGCCGCGTCTGCGGGTCGCGTCGACACGAACAGGCATGAAGCCTTTTTTTTAGAGAGAGAGAAAACCAGCGCTTGGACTTTCCCAACCCTAGCAAATCCGTTGTCGAGGCAATTTGGCTCCCCGTTCCTTCTTTTTCTTTTCTGACTTTGTAGCTCTTGCCAATTTGACTCTGCACTTTGCGTCTTGCTTTCCCGATTTTTTCTTCTTCATCTCTGCAAGCAACTCACTCTTTCCTCGTTGTCATTCTGCAACCGTGATTCTTGCTCAAGCCGGCGCGCATCATTCCTGCCAACTGAAGTTTTTACGTGGTCTCGAGTTGGTACAGGTTAGGCGCATTGCACTGCACAGGAAGGAACAAGGAACAAGAGAAGCAAGCAAGCAACAGCAACAGCAACAGCAAGAACCATGGCGCGAACCACGAGAAGCCGCAAAGCCGAAGCTCCTTCTGCTTCTGCACAGCCCATCAGCAGATTCGCTCGCGTCTCCAAGAGCCAGGCTTTCCCCGAAGCATCCAAAAAGGCCGTCATCGCCAACCCTGAACCGACGAGGAAGAGGAAAGCTGTAGCTGTAGCTGCAGCTGCAGTCGACAATGCCGAGAGCAACCACCCCCGAGCCACCAGAAGGACCGTCTCGTTCGCTCCAAGCAGCGATGAGGAGCCGCAAGCAACACCTTCGAAGCGTGCCTGTCGGAGAGACTCGACAGGTGACGAAGCCGTGACGGTGACAGTCGCAGCGGCGCCTTCAGCCGTTAAATCTGCGCCAAAGACTCCGGTCAAGGGGAAAAGGGTTGCCAAGTCAACGCCTTCACGGGCTGCCGCTGCCCACAAACCCAGCGAGTCGACCATCATCGCAAAGTCCAAGCAGGATGGCAAGGCCAAGACTGTGCAGACAAAGCTCGACGCCTTCCGCCAGAAAAAGACTCCAGCCCAGGGCATTGAGGCCGAGTTTGGCCCCGAGCTCGTCGACCTGATCCGTCTGCACAAGGCGTTTCTTAAAACCGTCACCCTCCAAATTGCGCACAACGGAACTATTGTACCAATCGACATCTCGTCCATTGCGCCACACATCACTCGTACTTGGGGCAAGCGACAGGTCACAGTTGACGACATCCGAAGATGCATTGCCATCCAGACGTCCACCCGGGATGCCAATGTCGTCTCTCCCTTTATTGTGTCCGACTATGGCCGTGGCAAGATCTGTATAGAGTTACACCCTGACCCTGACAATGGTTCAGTGGCCATCCACGAAGAGAGGCTGTGCAGACAGTTTGAGGAGAACCTCCGGGCTCTTTGCGCGAATCGAGCCCACGAGGACATGGCCGATATGGACGTACCTCTCGCCGACTTATCTCTGGACGAGCTTCCCCGTGCCGAAATCAAAAACATGGACCATGGCATCAAAGCCAACCCCATCCTGGCCAAGGGACACGACGCTCTATCCGCTCTCAAGGGAGGGATGCTTGCGAAGCAGCAAGAGAAGGAGACCAAGCAGCAGGCCACCGCCGCAATGATAAACCCCGACGGCACCAAGATGAGCCTTTTGGATCGTCTACGACTCAAGCAACTCGCCAAGGCCAACGAACCTCTTCCCCCATCAGGGCCCGAGCTCCAGCGCCGAGCTGCTTTGAACCGAGTCATTGACGTAGCCGCTACGATTTCCATGCTCAGCTTGTCAACCCCCGCATCTCTGCCAAGGCAAGCCTTTACCATGGGGCTCGTTTCGGACAAGCTGAAAGACTCTCTACGAGTTCCTGTTTCAAAGGAGGAGGGAATGATTTGTGTGCGGTTGATTGCCACCGAGGTTGCACCCGAGTGGCTCAAAGTTGTTACTATTGGCGGGAGGGAAAACGTTGTCATTCAGAGGGGCTCTCAGCCTGTTGATCGAGTCATCCAGGAGCGAGTACAGAAGCTGCTCGCGTGATGGAACAAATTTTTCATCTTTTGCGTCCTGCTTCAACTAATCTCATAATACCTGGATACTCTAAACACAAAGGGGAGGCTTTTGTATTCTTATATCGAGGGAAGCTTTGAAGCATTTTTGATTGTTTTCAACATTGCATTGCGCTGCGTTTTGATGGTACTGTTATATATCTACATCACGACGAGAGACGGTCTACGGGAGCTTCTGATGTACAAGACAATGGCATGCGTTGGAGTATGGAGTTTTTGCATAAAACCATGATTCAAGAAGAAGGTTCGGATGTATACTAGACACTTTGATAGTGTAAAGAAACTGGTGATTTGTTGTTTCATTCAAGTGGCCAATGCCGTGATGGGAATTCAACTACTGCCAGCGTGTAAGATACGTAGAGAGATACGGCAATGCATGTAAAAGGAGATTTTGCCTTAGTACGGATCTTGGCCGATGGGTACGGCACAACAAAACGGCTGTTTGCTCTGCATCGCAATTGGATTGCTGGAGCCCTTTTGTTATCGTGAATGGAACCACTTTGTTGATAGGAAACGAATTCGTCATGCGTATGCATTAGTTCCCGCAACTTGGACGAAAATCACCGGATCCTGAAGAAAGGCCCCTTGCATTTGTAGCCACAACAATGTGAGCTTTTTGGCCCGTTAGATGATTAAGGTAGTTACATGGCTTTCACACCGAAAGCCCATTCGGCCCCCAGCCTCTTTGGAGCGCCGAAGCACGGCCGTTGCCGGAGGACAGAACAAGCCATTCTCTAGATATCGATCAAGTAACCATTACGAGTGCGCTCTTCCTCCGGTTCTCGCAGCATAATGACTGCATCAACTTGCATGTTTTATCATCGGCCACTGCACCAGAAAAGGGGGTGTACCATCGAAGGACCCAAAGGCGGGCCGATGGCGGGCTTTCGTAAAAAGAAAAGGGCTTCAATGTGAAAAGTTACGCCCCTCTGCCGAGGCTTGTAAAGTTGTCCGGCTGCGGCTCCGCTTCCCGGGAGGAGCTTCGTCCGATAACGATGACCGGAGTGGAGAAGCCCGCATATAGGCTTCTTGCTTCGGTTACTAGATTTCCTTGGACGAACATATCGTGATGTGTGAATTGATATATTTTACCAGTAATCACCCTCCCTTCTCCTAGTTATCTGAAGTTTGGCTTCTTAGTCTAGATTTGGTATATCGACCTGTTGTGATATTTTCCATTCTGTAATGAGAAATCCTGCTTTACTGTACGAGGAATTTTTTTTTTGTTTAGGTGCAGAATCAACGACTTTTACCTTGGAAGAAAAAAAACATTCTCTGCGTTTCTCATGGCAGCCTGTGACGTTTTTGCACGCTGCCTCGTTGCCTTGATGTGCTAAAAAGACGTTTCTTTGGCTTCTCGATAGAGGGGAGTTCCTTGTCTTGGTGTTAGTGTGAATCGAATACATCCCGATCCGCAACCATGACGTCCACCGAAGAGAAACAGGCTATACCGACAGCCTCTCCCGAGAGTAACGGCATCTCCGAGCTGCCACAGCCGCCATTGACTTATAAGCAACCCTTCGAGAGGATAACCGAGCCGACAAGGCCATTGGACGTCGTGTATCGATCACCATCTCACGTGTCTGGCCCAGACGTATTAGGCCCATCGTCGGTACCGCCGCCGACACCGCCGCCGTCTGGACCCCACGAAGAAGCAGGAGATGAAGTCTACGACCGCGTGTCGCCGCACCGCAAGCATGTCATCGTGACAATCCTATCGTTTTGCGCTTTTCTGGCGCCGCTGTCAAGCACGAGTGTTCTGGCTGCTGTCCCCCAGGTGGCAGAGACATATCACACGACCGGGTCCATCATCAACGTGAGCAATGCCGCGTACATGGCGCTGATGGGTATATCGCCGGTGGTATGGGGGCCCATGAGCCAGGTGTTTGGCAGGAGACCGGTAAGTTTGGCTATTTCTTGTTTCCCTTTGCGTGTCCCATCGTCCTTTGAAGAATGACAGGGACGGCGTAGTTCACATGCTGATTTTATATAGATGACACAGTTAACTACGGTGTTGTTTTTCCTGCTGAGCATAGCTACTGCTCTTGCCCCAAATCTGGCATCCTTCTTCATCTTCAGAGCTCTCTCTGCTTTTGAAGGAACTGCCTTTATTTTACTGGGAGCAGCTTGCATCGGGTACGTTCACCAATACATCGGTATTTGCAGTAGGTAGCTGACGATGGCCAACTTGCGTATTAGCGATATATATCGCCCTACGGAGCGAGCAACAGCTCTCGGATGGTTCATGTCTGGAACGCTAATCGGCCCTGCCGTCGGCCCCTGTATAGGTGGCATCTTGGTGACTTACACGACGTGGAGGTCCATATTCTGGCTGCAGACGGCATTGGCTGGCACGGGAGCTCTGGGCGTCTTCTTTCTTGTGCCGGAAACCATCCACCGCAAAGCAATTGACGACTTGCAAGACCGCTCCAGGAAAGAAAAGGTCATAGCTATCCTTCACATGACGAATCCGATTCGAGTGATGCGCCTGTTCAGATACTGGAACCAGGTGTTGGTGGCATTTGCCAGCTCAGCACTCGTCTGGAACATGTACAGCTTGCTCACGCCGATTCCTTACGTATTGAACCCGCGGTTTCACCTGGAGTCGCCGTTGGTGTCGGGGCTCTTCTATCTAGCCCCTGGCAGCGGCTACCTCCTGGGGACATTCATGGGGGGAAGATGGGCAGACAGAACGGTCATGAAATGGATCAAGAAACGCAACGGCGTACGCATCCCAGAAGATCGTCTACGGTCCGCAGTGCCGTTCATGGCAATTCTCATGCCGAGCTGTATCCTGGTGTACGGATGGGCGGTTGACAGGGCCGTGGGTGGCATTCCGGTTCCGGTAATCATGCTCTTCCTGCAAGGCGTCGGCCAGCTCTTTTGCTTCCCCTCTCTCAACACGTACTGCTTGGACGTGATGCCCGGACGCGGCGCAGAGGTGACGGCAGCAAACTACTTTGTCAGGTACCTGGCAGGATGCGTGGCGACAGCCGTGGTCCTTCCAGCCGTGGAGGGCATTGGTGTTGGCTGGTTCGAGACGATATCAACTGGTTTAGTGATTCTCTCGACCATCGGAGTCATGGCCACCATTCGATGGGGCAAGGAATGGAGAGAAAATATCGATGCTAAAAAGAAAGGCCCAGCCAATGATGAGGCCGACGAAGTGACGGACGTGGACGACAGTCAACAACAAGAGGAAAAGGCCGTCGAGGGTGAGAAGCCAAAAGAAACTGTTTGATGAGATGTGCTGGCGATTAGAGCATAGATCTTTTAGATGCTGATGGATGAGCGATGAGTATAAGTACACAGCAACATTTATTCCCGATATAAGGGGTAGTGCGATGAGGTGAGCTGGAATATGATGCTCGCATGCAACATAGAGGGCGGCGATACTCTCGAGGCTAAAAAATAGGCTATATGGTCATGATAATGAATAGAGTCCACGAATTGATGATTTAAAGAATCACCCTTTTCACATGGTAAAGGCGATTCACTAAATCCAGAAGAGGGAGAGAGACATATCTTGCTTCATGATGCCGCCTCTACATCAATCGTGCAGTATCGGAGCTGCTACCTGTTGTGGTTCGTAGGTTTGAGCATCGTCGTCGTTGTTGGGTATGTGGAATAGCAGAGCCTCCACTCCATGCAGGATACAGAGTTTACACGCTTCGCGTACAATAAGCACAAAGCACACCTCGTATATCTGACGAGGAGCACTTTGCATGTTGCTCCGTAAAATCCCCGAACGCAGGTTCTATTTTTAACCCGAGCAAGCGCCTCTCTCCTCTTGTCATTATGCTGTAATCCACCTCGTATGAGATGTCTTACCTTGTGATTGTCTCAGATATCGGCGCCAGATGTAGCGAGTCGTACTCGGCAGCGGCTGAGTTGGTTGCGACCATCCCTTTGTGTCCAAGACATGCATGGGGGTGAGCGGCATCCAGAGGAAGCCTCACGTCCAGGCAGCCCGGCCTATCGAATGGGAAGCCAGCCTGGAAGCTTGGAAGGGGCTTAGCGAAGACATGGCGACCGTTGGCAGATTGCTGGACGGGTATTCAATCCGTAGTCGAGTCTTGGCGGCCGACTCTTGTCACCCTCTGCTGCAGACGGGCCACTTTTATGACTTAGGCCAAGAATGCCTCCACGGGGGCTTGAGCGAACGAGATGACAATGGACATCGGAGCTCCACCACAAGGCAATACCTAGTGGAATGGCAATTCTGCTGCTCGGTAATATTTTGATGAAATATTGTGAACCCCGGTCTGGAAAAGGAGAAGCTCACGGCTGAACCGACGCTTTGAACCCCCTAGGACAGTAACAGTAGGTATCACGAAGCCGTTGAGCTGGAGTTTGGGATGGAAGACGTGCGTGTGTGTGTGTGTGTGTGTGTGTGTGTGTTGGATTTCAAGATCCTCCATTCGATGGAGATATCACGCAAGCCCAGCCCAGCCTATCTGGTGATTGATAGGCCACGACGAAACGAAACCGGATTTCGGGAGCCTCGAGCGTGTGCACGCCTATCCCACCCCTGTCGTCGACGCGTGTTTCATGTTGTTCGGCGGGATGGTTGGACGGCAAGGACCCACGCCGCTGCGTCGCTGCTTTTTTTTCTTCTCTCTCTTCTAGCGACAGAGGAGATTCCACCATTAGCTGCGAAAAAGACCGATCTTCCCGACCATGAGCGAGGCGTAAGAGCAATGGACTTACTCAGCAGAGTTGAATCCCCCCCCCCCCAGAGTAACTCTCGAAGATGATGGTTCAAATCGCTTGGCGTTGTCCCGAATGGCTCTCTTTGTTCGTCCGTCGTCTCGGCTGTTACAGTAGACGTCTCCCGCGACATCAAGATGACGCAATGGTTGATCAACAGGCCAGAATGCCAACAATCGAAGCTCGCAGTCGCAGCATGGGGATTCCTTGGGCGGCACAGTCGGGCCAGCCGTACGGGATTCCGGCTGAGGCTGGTGCGGCGCTGATTGGCCCAAGACAGGTAACCAGCGCTAATGAGGTTATTGGGATGGGCTAGTGAGGCCCTAAGCTGGGTGGCTTCGAGGAAATGCGCCATGCTGCTGTGATGGAGGCTATCACGGCCCTTGACGCTGCTTGCGTCGTGCCTTTGGCCGTGTCAGACGAGCGCCACGGTGGTTGAACTCTGTTTTGGACAGCTTCTTTATCTTGTTGACGCTCTGCCAGAAAGCAACTTGGCGGTTCAGTACTGTAGAAGCAACCAGCAGGGGCCATGGCATGTGGCTGATCCAATCCCAAGCGGCGCGGCTGTCTTGCTGGGGGGGTTCAGTTCATTCACCGTTGGACCGGGCCCAGCTGATAAGGCGAATGAAGCCTTGGAAAAGGCCCCCGGCAGGCGGTTGTAGGCGAGGCCATGGCCTTGCTCCGTAATACTGCTAGCGGCACTTGCAATCATTGCTCAATATTATCTCCAGCACTCCGTAGTCCCTCGTGTGGTGAGCATTAGCATGGACAGTGCATTAGTTGCGTCGTCGATGCTGGAGACAGAGAGAGTCGAGAGAGTGTGTGTGCGTCAGTGCGGATGCGCGCGTCTGTACTCGAATGGGGGATGCGGCTCCATCGTCTCACATATTCGCACGCACTCGCGCGGCGATTCGCCAGCCAGGAGGATTTGCTCGGATTTAGTTCTTTGGCAGGGATGTCAAGTCTGGTGTGTTTGATCCCAAAATAGGGTTTGCGCTGTCAGTGCTTTGGGGGGTGATGGAAGCCGGGAGAGCAAAGAGAACATTGGAAGAGCCTGGCTGGGTTCATCCTTTGATGGGCGGGCAGTTTAGTGTTCAGTGCGGGCAGCCTTCTAGTGTCTAGGTACCTAAGGTTTAGTGGACTCAACTGCGTACTGTCCAGTAACGGATCGCTAGAGGCCCAGCAAAAAAAGTTCCATCTGCTCAGCGCATCCATCGCCTGAAGCCTCAACTCGCCTCGGTTCAACCCAACTGTTCAACTCCATGATTTCAAAGTCGAGAGTCTGCGCTCCTCTCTACCAGCCATCTGCCCTGCCCTTGTCCTTTCCGCTGCCTGTCGATCGCTCTTTGCGCGCGCATGGGCTGTCCAGCTGAGTCCAGAGGCTCCTGTCAGTTCCCACTTGGCGTGTCCCTTTTGGGGGACCCTTGGACGTCGTTGTTCTGACTTAGTAGACTCCTGTACAAGGTTTATGGTTATTACAACATCTCAACCCAAACCCAAAGCTCTGGGCATTGTTGCGTCCTGCATCTTGCACAAAGCCCTCCCCTCTCTTATCAGTCTTATTCCGGCCTCATCTCCCCCATTCATAATTCTCACGTCTCTTTTCTCCTCGATTGCCGGCTCTCCACCGATTTCTTCTCTTGCACATCTAGCCCTCTTGCTTCCATTTCGACCGAGACAAAGGTAATCGCCACCATTTGCTGACGGGAGGGGCACTTTACTCGGTTTCGCCTTGGCATTTCCAAGAGGATCTTTTGCTTCTCATTCATTGCGGCGGTCCGGTTACTCTCCCGTGGGAAGAACAAGAAGAGTAAGCCGAAGTAGAAGACCAACGACAACTACATCTTCCTTGCGATTACGCCGCCTACGAAACACACAGTCGAGGGTGTTCGTCACCCTGCCACGCTCCAGCCGCCATGGAGCGCACGGCTTCCCTTCTCAGCTTCAGCAGCCGCTCCAGCTCTGATGCCTCAACGAATCGAAATGACCCTTTACTACCATACGCGGAAAGCCTCTTGGAGAAGAAAGCAGCTCGGGGGCAGTCAGTCTTTGGACGGGGGTTATATCGGAGAATTCTGATATGGACCGTTATCAGCATGATCATTGTGTCGTTTGCCCTATTCAAAACCGGCGACGGCATTGTAGCGGATGCGGGTTCGCGATTCGCACAACCTAGCACAACGCCTTCAACAGGGAAGGTTGCTCCAGCGCAACCTACAATAATTGGTAACGAAGATGGCGGCCCTGTCTTGGTGATTGTGGATAAGGAGGCCAAGGACAAGGAGGCCAAAGAGAAGGAGGCCAAAGAAAAGGAGGCCAAGGAAAAGGGTGAAGCGAAACCCGAGGAGAAGACGGACGGGGGCAAGACAGAATCTAGTCAAGACAAGAAACCAGCAGACGAAGAGAAAAACACTGAAGAGGGTGGCAACAAGGACAGCGACAAGACAACGGAGCAAGACAAAGGCAAGGACGGCCAGCAGAAGCAGGTACCCGTCGACGACAAAGATGAGCTGAGCGCGGAAGAGGACGCAGAGGCACAGAAGAAGTGGGATGAGGACCTGAAAAAGATGCCCTGGCTCAAATTCTCACCGTAAGTCGCTAATTTGTATCCTGCAAGAAGTTCGGGCTGCTGACATGGCCTTTCTTCTAGTTTAAATGGCTACTTCCATGGTCTCAAGGCTCTGGTGGCCAAATCTGAGCACACTCCCGAGTATCCCAACCCCGATCACCAAGCTCCTCTCGGCGAGCCTCCTTTGAATCAAGACGTCCCGACACCCAAGCTATACAATCCCTACTCTTCCGACTCGACTGCCGAGGTTTGCTACCTTGATAAGAACAATACGATTCCGGCGCCTAGCCTATACGCCTATGAGGGAGTCCCGCAATACATGCCCGACCCATCCATTGGCTCCCACTCCATTTTTGGCATTCGAGACGACGTGTGCTTTGATCGATTTGGCCGCTATGGGCCCTATGGCTTGGGTTATAAATTGGTTGACGGCGGCTCGGACGTTGGCATTGATACAGAGAGTTCGGGCAGCGAAGTTGTCTGGGAAAAGACTGGTCAAATCAACTACGGCGAAATTGACTGGGCCGAGGTGCAGGACCGATGTGCTACCGCCAACAAACACCGATTCGCAGAGCCAGACCTGGACACCGATAAGCTCAAGCTCAGTGAGGGAAAGAAGGGTCGGATTGCCGTCGTCATCCGCCTGTACACTGGCTTTCCGTGGACGCAACTGGTGGTGCTGAACTTCCGGGCCATGATCAACGAGCTGGCTCTCAAATCTGGAGGAGAGTACCACGTCCACTTTCTGCTGCACGTCAAGGACAATAACTTGCCAATTTGGTCCGACGACACATCGGTCCAGCAACTGCTTGACTCCAACGTACCCCCCGAGTTTCACGGGCTGGTGACGTTGTGGAGCGAAGCACAAATGGAGCTCTTCTATCCCGGCAAATTCGAAGACCCCATCAGCAAGCCTCCCATCAACAACCCTTCCATGAGGGGCGTTCACGGCGTGTTCCGCAGCGCTCATCTGCCCCTTCAAGTGTTTGCCCTGCAGCACCCAGAGTATGAGCATTTCTGGAACTGGGAGATGGATATGCGGTATTTGGGCAACTGGTACGAATTATTTGATCGCCTGGGCAGCTGGGCGGACAAGCAGCCGCGTAAACTGCTATGGGAACGAAACGAGCGCTACTATATCCCATCGCATCACGGCACCTGGGAAAACTTCACAGCCGCCGTCGAACAATACACCAAGGACTCTGGCAAACCTGGTGTCTTTGGCCCCGTTAAATTTGACGAAGGAAAGCAGCTACGCTTCGAGCAGCAAGGAGAGTCTGCCATGCCCAGCTCATGTGTCGACGATCCAGAGGACCCGGAGTGTGGTGTCGGCGAGGCAGCAGATCTCATCACCCTGAACCCGATTTTCGACGTGCATGGCTCTGCCTGGGTTTTCGCAAACGATGCGACGGCCTATGGCAAGACTCCGCCAAGACGATGCGCCATCATTACGGCATCTCGACTGAGCCGTCGTCTTTTGCTGGCGATGCACGAAGAGGTGTGGCGCCACCACCACACCATGTTCTCTGAAATGTTCCCTCCCAGTGTGGCGTTTCACCATGGCTTCAAAGCCGTATATGCGCCTCACCCCGTATACTTGGATCGGGCCTGGGATCCCCTAGGCAGTGCAGTCGACAAGGTCTTCAACGGCGGACGCGACCACTCGACCTCGGCCGTGGGAAGCCCGTTCGACCTGCGCAACGAGCACAACCACAAAGGCGCTACGTGGTATTTTAACAGTGAATTCGCCGGCCTTCTCTGGCGGCGATGGCTGGGATACGCTCAGCGAGACACCAGAGGAAAGGACGGCCACCGCAAGGGTGGAGGCAAGATCCTCGGCGGGAAACGAGCAGAGGAGAGCGACAAGAGCAGCGGACGCATGTGCCTGAGGAGCTTCCTCGTGCACCCAATCAAGTTTGAAGCCCCTGGTGAGAAGAAATGACGAGAGAGAGTCCCATGAAACGGGTCACAAAAGGAGGTTTTTGGCGCGCTCATTTTCGAACCAACGGATGCATACAGGAACGGCGTTTTTTTGCTTCTGACATATTTTCGTTTCTTTTTATTATATTTGGGGTGGTATCTGTCTCTCTCTCTCTTTTTTTTATATATATACATACATAGATGTGCCTTTGGACAGTAATTACAACCCGAAAAAAGTCGAGGGGTTTTGTTTTCACAGCGTTGGCTTCTACGCTCTCGTGGGGGGCTCGCTGCGTGAGAAAGAGATGGATCAAAGTTGGCTTTTGTCTAGAAAATCGCCTCGACAAAGTGGTGTGTTTTGAAAGAATTAGAAATGTGGAATTTAGCCGACATGAAGGGAATCAATCACGTACAAACATTTGGGAGTCATAGAACATGGGGTATTATAGCAATTTTTGAATATGACATGGTACAATCACACCTTCTCTTGATGTGTACACGATAGAAACTACACTTAAACTTCCTTTGATAGAAATGTGGTACATGACATCTGAATAGCCTCCAAGCATCTCCGATTAATAAAAAAAAAGCATTTCATTTCACTCATAGCCTAGCTCATCTCTCGCCGTACTAATCCTATTTCCTTCCCATCAGCATCAAAGCTGCCAACCCGACCCAAAGCATAAAATGAGATCCCGCAAAACTTTCCCGTTCTCCCTTGCAAAAACCCCACGATAGTTGATTTCACCTTGTCTGCACCCAACGCAATTTTCAAACCCCGTTAAATACGCCGCGACGAGAGCGCTAGGCGAGCAAACTGAACACTTGTCGTTTGAATTGCCCCTTCCGAATGATGAATAGTAGATGCCGATTCATCCCCTCTACTCTGGAGAGTGAGATGAAACGACCCTCAGCAGCCCTAAAAGACGGTGCTACCCAATGAACACATACTCCATAGAGCTGCGAGATATTCTTCTTCCAAGAAGACTTGAGAAAAATAAAAGATAGGGAAACAAACCCGATAAAAGAAGACGGCAAAGAGGTAGCCTTCGTCGCACCCAAGAGACAACAAGGCCAACTTCATACCCAATTATGCTTATTGGCATTTCGAACTGGTAATATTTCAAGACCGAAAATAAGGGCATGGTATCGAAGAAATTCAATGCGAAATCAGAACCAAGAATAATCAAGACGAGGAAAAAAAAGACGACAATGGAGAGCCGCGCTTTGACGCCATCGACACCTAAACGCCGCTTTCCCTCCGTTTCCTTTGCCACACTAAACTGTAGTTGTAGTGGCAGTCATAGCAAGTTTTTCATGCGGATGAGAATAAGAGTAAGGTATTGGTCGAGTTTCGGAAGTTCTCATTCCTCAACAACAAAACTTTTCCTCTTTGCTCGATTATTTCTTCAGCACCGCATCGTAAATGCTAAGCAAGCCAGTAATGGCGGTTCCGGTCACCATGCCCTTGTAGCCTCCGTAGACAGCTTCGTTGAGCCGTTCGATGGCTGCTTCGGAAAGGAGGCCGCCGAAAGTGACGCCCTGGCCATAGACAACAAACGAAACGAGTGCCTTGACGATGCTGAAGGTCAAGGGATCGACAACAGTCTCGGGAGCCTGAGCACGAGAGCGAGTCTTGGGTCCGCTGGAGCTGTTGGTGGAGCTAAGATTGAAGAAATAACCAAACAGGCTGGGCAGGATGAAGCTGGTGAAGGCCCAGGTCAGAGCAGGGGACCAGAAGCTCGCGGTGAGCAGGAGGAACATGTCAGGCAAGTAGACAGGATAGTCGGACGTGCCGAGGAAGCCAAGAGCGGGGACAGTAAAGGCATAGCGGTTAGCTAGGATCTCCGGCCGGATGTACCAAAGTTCGAAAGCAGAGACAACGAGGAGAATGCTCTTGACGTTGCTGAGAGTCTCGCGGGTAGCATTGGAAGCCTCGCCGATGCCGCTATCCTGGTAAAGGGACGAGACGTGGCGGCGCACGGCCAGGGTGGAGCGGTCGACGGCTTGGGCAACGTCGGCCGGCGTGGCGGGAAGAGGAATGCGCGCGGCGACGCGGGACAGGCTGCGAGCAGGAGTCTGGATGAGGGCAGTCGAGGCGGCGCGGACATCGTCGCTATCTCTAGAGAGCGGGTTAGACAAACGAGAAAACACCTTGGGGCGCAATGGCTCCTAAGATCCAGAGGCAGAGAACATTGGCGAGAATACGTACGCAGAAATCAGGTCCTCGGCAGTCTTGGTGACCCTCCGCTTGGCTGCCTTGAGGCCCTTCTCCAGCTCCTCCTTGATGGGCTCTTTGGACTCCTTGGGCTCCTTGGACTCCTTGGGCTCTTTGGATTCCTTGGGCTCCTTGGACTCGCGCTTGACGGGAGAGCCCAGCGCCTTGGTCCGGCTGGCGAAGTAGCTAGACAATTCAGATCGGGAGGAAAGGCGGCCGCTGTTGCCTGCAATGAACTCGTCAAGAGCGGACTCGAGCTCCGTCTTTTTGAGACCATCGTAGCTAGTTGCCGGGGCGAGCCCATGTTAGCCTGGTTTTTGTTTTGTTTTGTTTGTTTGTTGGAGCACATTGGAGCACAGAATGCGAGGTGGGCAATGCGGCGACGCGCCAGAGAGGAGCGGGCAGCGGTGGAATCGGATAGAAGGAAATGAAATCAAGGAGATGAAGGTGAAGATGAAGATGAAGATGAAGACGGAGAGAGAAATGGCACAAAAAGGATTGAGCGTGCTCTTGGACATCGCGGTTTCTCTCCGACCGCGCCTGCCGCAGCAATGAAATGCGCGCGGCGCGCCACCGCTCACGAAGGGCGGCAAGTGCACACGATGAGAAGGAAAGGGGGAAGAGAAAAGAAAGAGGCCAAGCAAATCAATGACGCAAGGGAGAGCAATGCGACACGATGCAGCAAAAAGAAAAATAGATTAATTGCGTCGCGATAAGGTCATCGGGAGTGAAGGAGGAAAAAAGAGAAAAAGAACGGGCAAAGAACAACATACTTCTTGAAGCCGACGCTGTCCGCCAATTCCACCAGGTCGCTCTTGCGCTGGGCGCGCAGCCAGCTATTCGTAGGCCCGGTTGACATGGTTTCTTTTGTCTTTGTTTTGTTGTTGTGAGAGAGAGGGAGAATGAGAATGTCGCGATAGCGATGCGATGCGCGATAGCGATGATATCCGTCGCCCAAAAAATAAAATAAAATAAAAGGCGGCCCTAACAAAGACGGGATAAAATCGAGCTATAAAATAAAAAAAAAAAATAGAAAAGAAAAAAAGAGGTTGTCGAATCAAGAAGGATGAGAAATGATTCGATGCCCAATGATATTCTTGCGGTGTGTGTGTTGCGTTCCAAGAAGAAAAAAACTAAATTAACTGATTGGTTGATGTGATCAAAGCTTTCCCGTTGCTCTTTGGTCTCCGTAGTAATCAACGCTTTTTTTTTTTTCTTGCAGCTTCTTTTTCTCTTTTTCGCTTTTGTTTGCTTCCTGTGTTTCTTAAGATACCGTAGGGCTAGTACTTGTAGGCCTAGTATTGGCTATCGTGGCGATTGCAAAGAAAAGCGGGATTGTTGAATGTTTTCTCTCTTCTCTCTTTTTTTTTTTTTTTTTGCGTTGCTGGGGGGGGTGCTCCGGCTCACAAAAGTAGATTCGCGCGGGGAGGGGACCAAAGGCGAGCTATTTGTCTTGTTTATGTTGTCCCGTTCGGGACTAGGCCCGATTGTTTTTCCTCTTTGCCCACTTGCTGCTGCTTTTGCTGTGGCTAAACGCTCAACGGGGGGCAAGGCGGGGCACAAAAGTCGCCTGAGCTTGTTGCTGCGTTTGCGAGGTGCCACGCTGGCAGGCGCTTAAGTGCTGCGTGCCCGAGGTACTGCACTAACAGCGCGGTACCTTTGGGAAACCAAGCTTCGGCGCGCGTGGCTGAAGCATGGGCGACGAATGGGGCCGTTTGCGCCGCTGATGCGGGTTTTTAGCCTTTTTGCTGTGCCAGAATTGATTTGATGCGGTTGGGAACGGCGGGAGAGTTTCGAGGGAATCCGGGCGAGCAGAGCAGAGCAGAGCAAACACCATGGCTGGGCTGTATCGACACCCCTGTATTTCGGGGAGAGTGCGAGTGGCATCGAGGATGGGGCCGTTGAGAGTGCAGAATGCCACTGCAGGGTTGCTCCGCACTTGATGCCCGGCACAACGACAAGGTAAAAAAAAACAAAAAAAACACGGGATGATGGGGTGCTGCGTTGTCCTCTTGTGAGATGAGAATCAGGTGGCAGAGCAGGTCAATTCGGCTGTCTTTTTATTTTTGTGTATCATCATTTAGATTTTCTCTCTTTTTTCATGTGTGTGTTTGTGTCCCTTTTCGAGAGGAGATGCTCATCCTCAAGGTACAATAAGTAGTAAGCTGAGTTCTCATAATACACGGATACCCAAGGTAGGTAGTATAACCAAACGCTTCTTTGCACAATGGCGAAATCACTCCTTATCCACCCAGTCCACAAACTTCTCCTCTCCCCTCTTCGCAATCCGCACAGGTACATGCATACCGTCGTGCAGGTTCAGCGTCAGCCTCGACGATGCCTGTCCCACCGTCCACAGGCTCTTGTCCTGAGCCTTCTTGTAGACCCGAGCCCTCTCGTCCCGGCTCATCTCGTCCACCTGTTCCTGCGTCGCCCACTCGTCCACGGCGAGCTCGATGCTGCAGCTTCGGAAAATGACCGCCAGCGCCGCAATAATCTCCACGACGGCGATGCGTCGTCCCAGGCATGACCGCGCTCCGTCGCTAAAGGGAATGTAGGAGCCGCGCTCGGGCTTGAAGAGCTGTGCGTTGATGTCCGAGCCTTGGAAACCGCCAAAGTCTTCGGAATCGGCGCCCGCGACGACTTCGCTGCCCTGGCCGTCCTGCTTCTCCTTGGTCTGGAACCAGCGCGAAGGGTCGTAATCGAGAATGTTGGATTTGCCAGGCGTAATCTTGCTGGGACGCGTTGGCCAGTAGCGCGGGTTCACGTGGGTAGACACCGTCACCAACGCGATGCCCGTGTCCTTGGGGATCACGTACCGAGTGCCGTCCATAACGAAGCTTTCGTCGGCGTCGGGCGAGATCTTCTTGGGAATCTCGGCCACGGCGGGGACCAACCGCAACGTCTCGTACATGGCGGCGCCAATCATGCTGGCCGTCATCGGGTTGATCAAGCCGTCGTAGTCCCAGTCCTTGGGGTCCTTGTTTCCGAGGATGTCGTCAATGTCCTTTTGCAACTTGCGCTGCACCTCGGGGTGGGTTGCGAGAAAGATGATGGTGAAGTGGATGGCGTTGGCCGTCGTCTCGTGGCCGGCCACGAACATGATAAAGGCATTGCCGATGATTTCCTCGCGCGTCAAGGTGGCGTCCTTGTTGTCGGTTCCAAAGCACGATTTCGCAAGCTGGCCCATGAGATCCATGCCTTCCGCGTGCTCTCCCTTGCGAGCGTCTTCAATCTTTTCATCCAGGAGCTCATTCATGTAACCAACGTACTCATCATAAGATAGCACTGCTTTCTTGACCTTCTCGGAGGGAATCAGTTCTACAGTCACGCTGTGTTAGCATCACACACGGTACGCATAAAAATGTATGCAAGACTAGGGGAGCGAGACTCACTCAGAATCCATCGCGGAACAATGAGAAGAAGCAAGAGGTATTCCAGAAGAATCTCCATAGTGTCCGTGAAACTCAGTTTGTGCCCGTCTGAAGGCTCGTGAGAGCCGTACTTGACAATCTTGGGATCCGTCCCTGCAGGATGCGCCTCGCCGGGCCACAGCAGACGCATGCCGAATCCAACATAGCTGATGATGTTCAGAGCCAGCTTCATGGTGTCACGCTGAAGCGATTTTAGCGGCTCCGTTCGGGTACCCGTAGGGCCCGTCCACATCCGCAACATGCCCTGCGTCTGAGCAATGGCTTCGCGGAACACCAAGGCAGCGTTCCTCTCGTTAAAGGAGGCAGACGTGACCTTGCGATGCATGCGCCAGATGCTCCCCTCGGTAGTCAGCACATTCTCGCCAAACTGCCTCAGAATACTGTAGACGGCGGTCCACTTGGGGAACTGCTCCCGCTTGAGCGTAATGGTACGGATGGTTTCCGCATTGTCCGTCATCATCACCAACCTGCCGGGAGAAGCCAGGATGAAAGACTCGCCGAGCTTGTCGAACCACTCGTGGCGAGTCCGGTACGCAAAGTTGGGGATCATGATCCTGAGAAACGACAGCTGTTAGTCGATTTTTTTTTTTTAAATATAAGTTGAACCTATATTTAGAGAAGACTCAGCCGTACTCGAGCCAGCCATCCCACCACGACTTGGGGAGTAGCTTGATGATGGGCACCCATAGCTTATGTGAGACCTGCCAAGGCAGCCAAAACGGGGAGCACGCTTTAATTCCAACGATTCCAAGTCAGCACAGGGAGTTCTAGATATTCCACGAAAACGAGAATTAGGTGAAAACGCACGAGTGACAACATAAGGCAGACCACTTCTCTTGGCCTCATTGACGTGATATCGCAGGTTCACGGCCCAATTGATGATGCCGTAGGCGACCAGCACCGCAATCGCAATGGGAATCAGCGACATGGCTGTCGAACTACAACGCAACGATTCCCCCCACGAAACTCGAGGCTGTATGCAGAGATTACTAACTAGACGGTTAATCGGGAATTCCAAAAAACTGTGTCCGTCCTGGCTGGAGGGGGGGCGAAAAGTTTCACCACCGGCTTGAATCTGAGCCGCTAGCAGAGCCCCTGAACGAAGCGAACATGAAGGTAAAAGGAGAGAGCAAGGCCAAGCAAAGAGGAGAGATGAAGAAGAAAGAAAAAGAGAATAAACAAGACGAGACGAGAGAGAGGAGAAAGCTAGTGGTTCATCGAAGGGGCAGGGCAGGGCAGGGTAGTATAAATATACAAATATCTACGGCAACTAACGTCAGATCTACTGTAGGTGCGTGTGGGATGGGCCGGCCGCAGCACATGTTCCAGAACGGGGTCCTCAATGTCGCCCGCCCCGTGTCAGTCTAAGTGTTTTTGGATGTTTCTGGCCCCCCGCATCCGAATCTCGTGCAGTCATGGCGTCCGTATTAGAAGCCCCGTAGTGGGTGGGAAGAGTCAGAGTCGCTGCCTCTCTTATCGTAGCGATCTAGACTGCAGCTCCTCCGGGTTTGTCGTTTACTCCGTTGGCCGTTGTCTTCTACCTAGTTTTGCAAGTTTGTAAGCATTGCCAATTGGAAGGATGCCAAAAAAAAAAAAAAAAAAAAAAAAACCACGCACAGACAGAGACAAAGCCAGGCCACCAAGGTTCTAAAAAACGATGCTGGAGGCTGTCACCCGCGTGGGAGGCCAAAAAGACCGGGATTCCGTAGGGCTAGCGGAAGCCGCCCCGTCATGGATGCAAAAGGGCAAAACATCCCAAGGAAAATAACTGCCAGGGGCCATGACGAACCGCAGCAAGAGCAAAGAGATGCGTTTCATTGTGTTGTGTATGATATCCGTTTGATTTGTTTCTTGCTACCGCTATTTTTCCCGCATGGTACAAAGGAAGCCATGTCCATCGGATGCCTTAGTATTAAATCCCCCCATCTGAATCCTCAGATCGCCTGCATTAATTACCATACCCTTCAAACTCCCATCCCACGGTTCATAAGACGTAATACCCCATATATTGGCATCTTGTGCAACCCATGTCAACGTCTACAGCTAGTAATACGTGTATTCCCTACATCACATGCCACCAATTCAGCCTTACCACCTCTGTCTGTCCACGTACGAGCAGCGGCCTGTCTCAGCCTCATGAGCCATCAACATCGTCTCTCAGTTTTAATCTTCCGCGACATTCCAGTGCAATCCCGCTTCCTCGTTGTCTTTGTCGCGTCCATGGATCGATATTTCACCTTATTCGTTTCCTTTTGTGCTCTCCAACAGCATTGCCCTCTGTTCGGCCGAGAGTTCCTCCGAATCCCAATCCGGATCAATTCATCCAACCGGCTCAATCTCAACTAGCTGCCTCTTTGTTACCCACCTGTTCGTCGATACGACGCCTGTGATGCAATCTGGGTGCAATCTATTCTAACAAATCCACCAATGCAGGGACAGATATTTACTTAATCTCATCGGCTATTAGTCCAGGGGCTGCTTGTGGTGAGCTGCCATGTGCATGATTGTACAGTACTTCGTAAATACGTTGCAACCGCCCACCTCGGGCATTGCTAGAGGTTAAAAACAACAAGAAAGGAACAGAAAAAGGTGCTATCCAAGCAATTCTATTGTATGCTCTAACATCTCTTGTTTACTCTAAACGGGTCATTCATCCAAATCATAACCCGGTACCTCGCATGCCTGCGCCATATGTTGAAGATGCACCAGCCGTCATAAAATCCAATATTCCATACATCCTTCTCGTGCCCCACGTTGAGTCTCTGGGTATATATATATGTGTTTTCACCAACATTGATCCCTGCATTGATTGCCAAAAGAAAAGAAAGAAAAAAGGAAGAAGAAAAAAGAAGTGTACGATGAATTTAGAAAAGACCGTCAATCTCGCCAGTCTCAAGATCGACGTCGACGTTGAGGTAGCCAGGGGCGGTGGGAAGGCCGGGAATGGTTTGGATATCCGCAGCCAGAGCATACCTTGAAAAGGAATTAGTACAATCATTTCAGAAAGGATATTGGGCAACATCAACTTACAGGTAACCTGCACCGGCAGCCATGCGGACGTCTCGGATGGGCACCGTGAAGCCAGTGGGCGCACCCTTCAGGTCAGGGTCGTGGGACAGAGAGTACTGAGTCTTGGCGACGCAGATGGGCAGGTTGCCGTAGCCCTGCTTGGTGTACGTGTCAATCTTCTTCTGAGCAAGCTCGCTGAACTCGACATTGGCAGCGCCGTACATCTTCTGAGCAATGGCCTCGAGGCGCTGCTCGATCGAGCCGTCAAGGCCGTAAGTCAGCTTCAGCTCCTTGGGCTTTTCGCTGGCAGCAATGACTCCCTTGGCCAGGTCAACTGCACCTAGACCGCCCTTGGCCCAGTGGTCAGCAAGGATGGCATCTTCGGCACCAGCGGCAATAGCCTCTTCGCGAAGGACGGCGATCTCAGCCTCGGTGTCGGTAGCGAACTTGTTAATGGCAACGACAACGGGAATGCCAAAAGACTTGGCGTTGGCAATCTGCTTCCTGAGGTTGACACAGCCGGCTCGGAGGATTTCGACATTCTCCTGCTTGTAGACGGCATCGAGGGCAGCGCCGGGAGCGATAGGGGGGCCGCCACCGTGCACCTTGAGGGCACGGATGGTAGCGACGACGACGACAACGTCGGGCACGAGGCCTGAAGTGCGGCACTTGATGTTGAAGAAGCGCTCGCCACCCATGGTGAAGTCGAAACCGGCCTCGGTGACGACGAAGCCCGCCTTCTCGTTGTGATCCTCATCGGGCTCAGTGCCCGCAAGCTTCAAAGCCAGCCTATCGGCAAGGATGGAGCTCTGGCCAATGCTGATGTTGGCAAAAGGTCCAGCGTGGACGAAGACGGGGGTGCCCTCCAGCGTCTGCATGAGGTTGGGCTTGATGGCATCCTTCATCAGAGCGGTAAGAGCACCGCCAGCACCAATGTCGTCGCAAGTGACGGGATCGCCGCCGCGAGAGGTGCCAATGACCATGCGGCCCAAGCGGCTGCGCATGTCTGCGAGGTCGGTGCTGAGCGCCAGGATGGCCATACACTCACTGGCAACAGAGATGTCAAAGCCCGTCTCACGAGAGTGCCCCTTCTCTGTGGGGGCGGTGCCAACAGTGATGCCTCGAAGGTGGCGATCGTTGACGTCCAAAACGCGCCTCCAGGTGATCGTCTCTGGGTCGATATCCAGGCGGACGAAGCGGCGGATTTCGTCAGGAGTCAGCTCATCGGGGTTGGTCTTGTCGATACCAAGCTTCTTGAGGCGGCCCAGCATAGCGGGAAGGAACTTTCTCACGCCGTTCTTAGCAGGTACCAGGCGGCGGTACAGGGGGCCATCCTTCTGGGTGTTCTCGTGGAACATGCGCGTCTCAATGGCGGCGGCCAACAGGTTGTTCGCCGCGGTGATGGCGTGGATGTCGCCTGTGAGATGCATGTTGAACTCATCCATGGGGATGACCTGGCTGTAACCTCCACCGGCAGCACCGCCCTTGATACCGAATGTCGGTCCTTGGCTGGGCTGTCGCACGTTGGCAAAAGAAATTCGGCCAACGTGAGCACCGAGGGCCTGAGCCAGACCCATGGTGGTGGTGGACTTGCCCTCACCAAGAGGTGTTGGGGTGATGCCAGTGACAACGACATAGCGGCCGTTTTGTCGGTGCTCGAGTCGTTTGAGCAAGCCGAGGTCGACCTTGCCCTTGTATGCTCCGTAGGGCTCCAGCTCGTGGGCCTCGATACCAATTTCCGATGCGACACGGGTAATCTGCTTGGGGGCTTGGGCACGGGAGATGGCAATGTCTGACGGAACGGGAGACTGAAGGTGAAGCGGGAGGGGCACAGTCTGCCTAAGCTTCTCGTTCGCGAAAAAGTTGTTTGCAGCCTCGACGACGTTCTCCAACAGCATGGCAACGGTCATGGGGCCGACGCCGCCTGGAACGGGGGTGATGACGGAAGCGACCTCGGCGGCGGAGTCGAATTCGACATCACCTACAAGTCGCTGGCCAGACTTGCGTGTGGCATCGGGAATGTAGTTGGTTCCTACATCTATGACAACAGCACCGGGCTTCAACCACTCGCCCTTGACAAAGTTGGGAGCTCCAATGGCAACGACAACGACGTCGGCGTTCTTGAGGTAGCCGGGGAGATCGCTCGTCGCGGAGTGGCACATGGTGACGGTGGCATTGGCTCGGTTCAGGAGCTGCGTAACAGGGCCACCGACGATGTTGCTGCGGCCAATAACCACGGCATTCTTGCCAGCAAGCTCAACGCCAGCTTCCTTGAGCAGAGTGATGACACCCTTGGGAGTGCAGGGGGTGAAGATGGGCTGGCCGCCGCGCTTGGCAAGCTCGCCAATGTTGTTGGTTCCAAAGCCGTCAACGTCTTTCTCGTGAGCGACGGCAGAGGTGATGCTCGGCTCCGAGATGTGTTTGGGGAGAGGCAGCTGGACGAGGATGCCGTTGACAGCATCGTCGTTGTTAAGACGACGGATCTGGTCGAGAAGCTCGATCTCGGTAATATCCTCTGGGAAGTGAAGCAGCTTGCAGTCGATGCGGGCCTGGAGACGGCATGTTAGATCTAGAACATTGCTTTTGGCAACTTGGATTCTCAAGGTATTGTTCAATATGTCTTACCTCCTCGGCGGCCTTGAGCTTCATGCGCACATAGGTAGCTGCGAGAAGAGTCAGTCGCGGTTCGAAGATGAGCCGACACGGACATGGGTAGCGATAAGGATGAGGTGGGGAGCAGACGTACTGGAATCGGAACGATCGCCAACTAGAAAGAGAGGAAAAAAAAGTCAGTTAGCTCCTTTTTCACGCAAAGCAAATGGAATAGAGAATCAATGAGAAAAGAAGGGTTTCTCTTTCTTCTTTTTCCTGGCTTCTTCCCCATAAACAGCGCTCGTTCGCATTGTCGGTCGTACCTTGGATGATTCTGAGGCTGGGGTGATAGCGGGGGTTCTTCTTCTGCTTCTCAGCAATTTCTGCGCCCAGCCGTTCGCGAATGGCCTTGGCAATGCTGTTGCCGTCAAGCTTTGTGGCAACCATGGCGGCGGCTGTCGTCCCAAACAATCGCTGCTGCTGAAGTTGCGAGGGCAGTCTGCCAGTGCCGGTGGAAAGGAGAGGCGAGGACAGAGACGAAGAGGTAGAAAATGAAGAGAGAGAAGACCGAATAGTCACCGATGCTGGAGAGAAATGGCCGACAGTGTCTGCGGAACCACTCCAGGGTTAGTGGACAAAAGTACTGTGCAGCCGCTGAGGGGCTCAGAGTCGCCGCACCTGGGGCCCTGGGGCTGCCGGAAATAGGCGGCAAGCGGCGGGCGATGGTCGCTGAACTCGCAGCCTCGCCTGTGATACAGCGCATCGAGCCTCTGAAGACAGGCCGTGCCGTGCGCAGGCGTTGATGAGGCGCCATCGTGATTTGATTAGCTGTTGGTTGCGGTACGTGCGTCTCTCACCACATGCAGCCAGATCCTATAATCGGAGCTTTGGGTGCCGAGAGAAATGCTTGCTCAACCAGGATTTTTGCCCTCGTGAGCATGCACGTAAGAATCACCGGGTACGGAATGTGATGCAATTGCAGAATCCGACCGGGTTGTCAGTTTTGAAGGCAGCGCAGTATTTGCGTCCTGTCCTGCCTTGTCGCTTTGCTTTTTTTTTTTTTTTTTTTCCCTCCGATAGCGCCTAGTAGCGAGATGATCACACGCTATGGCGTTGGTCCCTGCGTCGACGGATCAAGGGCCCCAACTGGATGGCTGAGATTTTGGTGGCACGCCCACAAACAGCGGATTGTGTAGGTTGTTCAAAGATGTCAAGAAAGTACAGCGCCATAACAAGAGAGAAGAAAGAAAAGAAAAAAGACTCGACAGCAGCTGACAGAAATCGGCCTTGGCTGGGCTAATTCGCCGACTTGTGGCGACGACCCGGACAAATTTATAGAACGTCAACCTGGCTCAACTACTCGAATGTGTCGAATCCTACCATGTGGGGATTGGATCCGAGCCCGTCGAAAAAGGCTTGGACTGGACTGAATCTATCTCTACCAGGACCACGAATTCACGCTGAGAACGCTATCCATGGCCAAATGGCGGACTTTTAATCTTTCAACCAAGCAGGTCTGTCTTGGCAGCTCCAATTTCGTAATTACATTGCGTTTGTTCTCCTTATCAGAGAGAGCGGTCTGGCCAGATCGGATACTGTAGCATCTTGCATGCTGATCTGGCCCAGATGGAAATCGGCGGTGGGTGTGTCGATGGCGTAGAGTGAGATTCCATGGAGGAAAGCAATTCATCGGCGGGTAGAAGATGCAAGGATATCTGTGGAACGAATTGTCCAACTGATACGTTGCTTGCCTGCATTGTACGTTGATTCAAGAATAGCCGCCTGCCTCTTCGAGCAGGTATGAAGTGTATGCTTGATACGCTTACCGCTTTCCTCTGCTTCTCTGCTTCTCTGCTAATCTTGACGTGATGTGCCGGATGCAATTTGTCTGAATCTCATATGAAATAGAAAGAATACAATGCTATCTTACTGCATGCTATCGACTAGCACAGCGTTTGAGAGGCCTCGGCTGAGGGTTGACAAAGGAAGAAAAGAAAGGGCGGGCAGAAGAAAGACTTCAGCTTGTCCAGCTTGCTGCTGTGAGTGCTGATTCAATATGATTAATCTCTAATAGTAGTTGCTTGCCCTCTACTGGAATAAATGGCAATAGAGAGGCGTCAATGGGCTACCTTGTCTGACTCCAATGTTGAAGATGACTCAACGTAGAGCATGACTCACTTGCAATTCCTCCAAAACACATCATGAAGCAAACCACCATCCTCATCTATGTTACAGATCGTAGTCCTAGAGTATTAAATACATCTGCCACATGGGTTGAATGCCAATTAAATGCGGTACTAAGGCCTTGATGAGTCTGTTTCTTCTAGTCGGTACAACGTATATGAAACCCACTGCAGTTAGTTCCTGGCGGGTGCCAATCAAGAGGATCAAGCCAACATCCACACGTGCTGAGCTCTTACTCACCCCCAACTCTTCCCCTTTGGGCCACGCCACCAATGACTCCCCGCGCCACAACTTCAAGCCCCACCAAGACGCACAATTATCGCCAAAATTTCAAAGCACCACCATCTCCAACCTCGTCCTCGTGCTGGCCCATATTATAACCCCCCCTCTTCCCTGATCACTTCCTCAGCCTTCCAGCATCAGGATCACCAGCCAAAATGAGACCCATCCTTCTTGCCGGGCACGAGCGTGCGCTCACCCAGATCAAGTATGTCGCTGTCCAAGCAAGAGAAGCAATTTCGACACCATCTTCTCTTCCCATCTGTTCCAAGCCCCTCCTCTTCACGATGCTGCTGCTCCCCTTTTTCTGCCAACCACCAATAGGAAGCCTCAGCTAACCAAATTTTCCTGCGCATCAGATATAACCTCGACGGCGACCTCATCTTCTCTGTCGCAAAGGACCAGCAGATCTGCGTCTGGTTCTCTCACAATGGCGAGCGTCTAGGAACCTACCACGGCCACGTCGGTGCCATCTGGACCGTCGACGTCGACCCGACCTCCACCTACATTGCCTCTGGCTCAGCCGACAACACCATCCGCATGTGGGAGGTCAAGACCGGCAAGTGCCTCAAGACTTGGGAGTTCCCTACCGCTGTCAAGCGCGTCGAGTTCAACGAGGACGGCACCAAGCTGCTGGGCGTCACCGAGAAGCGTATGGGTTACCTCAGCAACATTGTCGTTATCGACATCAACCCGGATATCACCGCCGAGCAGACCGACGAGAAGTCCCTGACCATTGTCTGCGACGAGAGCAAGGCCACCGTAGCTGGCTGGAGCCAGGCTAGCAAGTACATCATCGCCGGCCACGAGGACGGCAGTGTCAGCCAGTACGACGCCAAGACCGGTGAACTGCTGGACAACGTCCCCATCCACGAGCTCGACAAGCCCATCGTCGACCTGCAGTGGTCGCCCGACAGGACCTACTTCATCACTGCTTGCCGAGACAAGACCGCCAAGGTACAACCTCTTCCACAACCCCCCCCCCCCCCCCTTGACATGATGTTGAATTCTGACATGAAATCTTCACACCAGCTCATCTCCGCTCGCGACCTCGCCACCCTCAAGACATACACGGCAGACACTCCTCTCAACAGCGCCACAATTACCCCCAAGAAGGACTTTGTCATCCTCGGAGGTGGTCAGGCCGCCATGGAAGTCACAACCACTTCCGGTCGCCAGGGTAGATTCGAGGCTCGATTCTACCACAAGGTCTTCGAAGACGAGATTGGCCGTGTCCGTGGCCACTTCGGTCCCCTCAACACCGTCGCCGCCGACCCTACCGGCCGCTCCTACGCTAGTGGAGGTGAGGACGGTTACGTCCGTGTCCACCACTTCGACAAGGGCTACTTCGACTTCAACTACGAGGTTGAGAGGGAGCGACTGAACCGACTTGACGCTTAGAGGAGGAGACGAAGCCACACCGAACCCTTTTTTACTCTTTTTTTTCTTCAATTTTGGTCTAGATTTTGAAACCAAAAGAACGCGAAAGGGAGGAGAGACATGGAGAAAAGGAGACGGGGGGAGACAAAAGGGAAAATGACCAGTCTGTGTTTTGATTATTGCGGACTGCTTGCTTGCTTGCTTGCATGCGTTACATATTGTACGGCGTTTTTGGAAGGGCGGAAAGGGAAACAAACAAGTTCTTCTTGCGGGAAGAGAGAGGGGATATTCAAGGCCGGGGGGGGAGGACGACTGATTCCCGTATGTAATCCATACTAGGTATCTCCTTGTGTTGTAGTAGAGAGAAGAAGAAAATATTGTGCCACTTCAAGATGACGAGTTTCACTACAAGAACAAGTAGGGAGAAGTGACTGTCATCCCGTCATCTACGATTGCTCAAGAGAGGACACAACTACATTCATCACACAATTCTAAGCACACATTAATTCGGTTCGAACATCAATTCTAAACAGCGACAGAAAAGAAGTATATATCCGGTATTATCTGTCGCCAGGCTCTCGTGGTTTTTTCGAGCCCACGGCCGAGAAAACAAACCGGCCGCTACCTCAGAATGCCAACCAAAAGAGGCGTGTATAAAACTTTGTGATAAATCTCCACGCACGTTTAAAAAAAAACCCACGTTGTCTTCCCAGTCCAAAAACGCCTTTCCATGCCCTGCCCAACGTGACAAGAAACATATACGTCCAGCATAATCGTACAGGTCCCTCCAAAGCCCAAAGTCAAAAAGTCATACAGGGGGGCTGTAGTGGCCGTCTTTTTATGGCAACCGAAGCATAAAAAAAGCATCACTTGAGTGATGCCCGGTATTCAGAGAATTTTGTCATCCTTTCTTTGTTTTTTGTTTTTTGTTTTTTTTTAAAACCCTCCCATGACCTCCCTTTAACCAATAATCTCTTGATCCTGTGCCATCTCTTCCTTGTGCCCCGTCTCTGGCTGAATCAGCTGCTCTTCAGCATTCTCATCCACAAATTTTCTCTCGCTGACATGCTCCTGTCCCTGGCCTGGTGTCCAGACCTTGTCCTTGAAGCCTCCTTGCTGGCCCTCCTCGTGGGCGAAGGCGCAGGTGGGATTTAGGCAGGGAGTGTATTTGCACTTTGTCGTGACATGTGTAAACTTGCAATTTGGTGTAGTGCAGTCCGCACCGTTGCGGCAGAGAGGCATCGAGGGGTGCTTGAACGGGCATCGAGGGTTTTGGCAGTTGGGGAAGAATTTGCAGTCTTGTTCGCTCTGGTGCGCAAGTCTTGCGGCCGGTGAGGGATGGCGTCCGACACACTTGCGGTTCTTGCAGGCGGCGCCAAAGCTGCAAACATCGTTGACATCGACAGAAACTCCCGGGGGCGCTGCTGGCGACTGATGTGCAAATTTGCAGTCCTTGTTGGTGCAGTGAAGGTTGTATTTGCAAACAGTCTCGTCTGGGTTCGGAGGCTCGCGCTTGCCCATGTCAACATCTTCGCCTTCGGCACCCGTCTCCATGTTCGAGTCCTCCCCGTTGGCGTCAGCCTGACCCTGACCTTGGCCTCTGCGAAAGTTATTCTTGTGGCGAGGGTCCTGAGTCCTCTCAAACAGAGACTTTCCTCGTCGCTGATGGCCAAAACCTCGGTTTCCATTGCTCATCATCTGTTGAGACAGCTCCAGCATCATTTGGCTCTGTTGTTCTAGCATGGCCATGACATCGATCTGAGAAGGTTGGCCTTGCATCCCCCATTGCGGGAACGCGGGTCCGCCAGCAACAGCAGGCATTGCGCCGGCCTGCATGCCTCTGTTGTTGTTGTTGTTGTTGTTGTTGTGATTCCGCATCATGCCGCCGCGACCTCCGCGTGGGCCAGTTGGGGGGGCACGCCCGTGTGTGTCGATTCTTCCACCGCCCGATTGCCCACGAACTCGGTGAAGCACGTTGTCGTTTGATCGGTCCATGGCTTTGGACATTTGCCCAAACATTCGCTTGTCCCGTCCTCCCCTGAAGTTGCCGTTGCCGTTGCGCATTGAGCGGGGACCGGTGGGCCTACAAAAGAGCTCCAGTTAGCTCCAGCAACACCACAGACGAAGCATCAGAGCTTCAGCCAATGCAAACAAGAAGGAAAAGTACTTACGCGTTCAGTTCGGGCGCACCGTGAGAGCCCATATCAGTGTCCATATCTCCACCTGCGGCATCGCCTGAGAAGTCGCCCATGGAGTCACCGCCGTTTCCTTGTCCGCCATGCGCGTTAAGCATGTGAACTTGGTCGAATAGCCATTTGGAGAATTCGTGAACGACAGGGTCGTCGAGCGGCAGATTTAGGAGGTCTCCAGACAGCTCAGCGGCAATCTGGTCTTGCGTCTTGCCGTTGACAAGCATCAGAATGATGTACTCGGCGAGTGCGGAGTCGTCGCTGCCGCCTGTGCCCCATCCAACCTCAACCAGCTTCGGCGGGATCGCAGCATTCAGGGCGTCCGCCAGCGGCGTGCCAAGGCCAATCTCAATAGACATGGTGTCGAGGTAAGGATCGTTGTGTCTGGACGACCAGTGCGACGGTGGCCCTTTGCCCGTGTCCGACTTCTGAGACGCGTTTATCTAGGCGGCGGGAGGTGATCGCGCGGCAGGGAGTTTCTCGGATCTGGGGCGCCTCTTGAAACGGGCAGATGAGCGTGGAAATGTCGCAAGATCGTGAGTGAATGCGAGGGAATGCTGTAATGGCGAAAATTGGCCTGCTCTGGCTCACATGTAGCAGATGATGTTCACAAAGTTCTTCTTGGCTGCTGGGCGACTCGAAAGAATGGGTCAGAGTGGTGTCACGTGATGCGATATCACTGGTGGCGAATAGGTTTGTCATCAGCTTTGCCGGTGGCTGAGCATACGAGTATGTGAGCCACCGGCTCTAGTTGTAAACTGTAATCATAGCTTTGATTTCATTGTGAATCTGGTGGAATTTTCTGGTTCCCTGCGGCTAACTGTTAACTTTACCAGAACTGGGCTTTGTGCGTGGCCGTTTCCGTTGTATTACAGAGCACTTTATTGGCTTTTCCCCTGGAAAAAAAAAGCCTTTTAATGCTGCAGTTGGAGTCCCACGTGCCATCCTGCGGCCTCCTCAAAGCAGTGAGTGCCAGCGCTCCTCCATTAATAGCATCATCGGTGCCTGTACTTGGCATAGGGCTTGAAGAATTAGTGAAGTCTGTGCTTTCACTTGCAGGTTCCGAGAGTTTGTATCAACGTGAATGATCTATTTTGGGAGCGCAATCTTCAAAGAACAGCAAAAGAACAGCCATGACAAAGAAACGAGTGCTCTTTGAGACATTCTTCAAAGAGAAACAGCCTTGTCTATATTTAGCTATTTGTTTGTTTTCTCCCCCTTTTCTTTACCTGTAATAGGTGCCTTATACCCAAGGTGATGGACTAAAGATCTTCAACGCCTCTAAAAAAGACAAACAAACAAGATGCCTTGAGGTTGTCTCTGCGGAGCCAGCAAACCCAAATACTGGGTACCTCGTATTAGGATTTGGCCCCTTCCAATTCGGCAATCTGGGGTTACGGACTCCCCCACAATGTCCCAGTCCTCATCACGATCTACCTACTGTATGTAGATGTCTTACATCTTGGTAGTAGTATTAGTATACCACTCGCGCCAGAGATTGCAACGGTTGTCCCATTTCACCAACGTAGACGTGTTCTTGTATACCTTGGTCGGAATGGAAGCTCTCGGTGCCAGGCCTAGACGGGGCCCCTATGGATATGGCAATCTAGAGCAATGTACTGCCAGATTACAGTCCGGCACACTTGAGTCCGTGGAACAACAGCCATACAGTTATGCTTTATCGATAGCTTGCTGCTTTGTGTCACAGAGGCGGGCATCGGTTTATAAATGAAACGCCAGCTGGTACTTGGCATCTCTCGTCTCGCAAGACATTTCCAACTGCAGAGCACAGGCTCTCTACCAACACATCAATAATGCCTAGGTGCCTAGTATGTCGTACTACCTACACATCAAGCTTCAAGGCTCCAAGCTCAGCTGGTTAGTTTCTCTGCATAGTGGGGTAAATGCATGCGTTCGGATGGCCTTCCAGGCGAGAGATGATTCGAATTGAGTAGTAGTAGTAGTAGTATACGCTTGGTCATGAGATATAGTGGCTGCAAGGAAACCCTGGCGATGTCTCCAGATAAGATTGGCCGTGGAAGCAAGCATCCAGATCAGGCTGGCTTGCATTATGTATCATCGCGTCCAGCTTTCTCGATTGTCTCGCAAAAGACGGGACCTGAGAACCATCCAGACTTGACGCGATACCACGAGCCAGTGTTACATGCCGCTTCGCCGGAGATGCCCATGTCTGAGCAGCGCTATGGAGTGTAACCTAGCGAGATGACCTGTAAATCAAGCATCGTCGGTTGAGCAGCAGTCTAGCCTCCCAAGCCTAGCGGCATGTCCTGCATGCTGGGTACTACTGTACGAGTACTACACGCCACAGGAGGGGCCTGGAGAGGTGAGGTTACAATCGTGCCAAGGGTACGGCCTGTTATATCGTGCTTGCTAGAAGTAACGAGATAGTCCATGTACTAAAATGCGAGTACGGAGTAGTGCTGTTTGCAAACAGGTACCCGTACGTAATACAGGGGTGGGCCATAGTAACAGTTCAGCACAATAGACTAGGTAGTTGTACTACCACTCTGCGTACGTATCTCTCTAATCGTGACGACCTTGTGTAAGTAGAGGGACGGCTCGATATCAAATCTCTACCTATGGAGCCGATGATATGGACGGGACCCTTTGTTCAACATGGCTCTCGACAGGGGCCATGATAGCTGCGATTACACGTAGTAGGTACTGTGGTGTAAGTACGGGGCAACTCTGCTCCGCAAGTGCGGCTGCTGGGTCGTGATGAATCAACTGATCCATTCTCGTATCATTGTGAGCCATGTGCTGTATGTAGCACTTATCTTGGTATCCCACCAGGGGGGTCCATACCTCTGAGCAAGCATCAATACAGAGGATGACTGTAGAGCACTCGTACGAGTACTTGCAGTAAGCACCATAGGCGATGGTAATTTAACTCGATTCCCGGCACGGCGGCGATGAAGACAAAAAAGAGCACGGATGAAGCCCCAAATGATCGCTAGCTAATTAGCAATGCAACGCCTGTTCTGTCTGTCAGCTTCACACAAGCAACAGCGCTGTCGATTCGACTCAACTGGACTTCAATTTCCGCCCACGGCCCAAGGCCCCGCAAAATCACCCGGCAAACCACCGAACCGGCCATTGACAGATGCCTGATGCAGACTAACGCCTCATCAAAAGGGCGGCCCCCGGACTAAGGCTTATCCGCCACTGATTGGCTCGCGATAACGGGCCGTGGAGAGGCGTCCCCGCATGATGATCGCAATCAGGGATTCTCCAACCATTTGCCGTTACAACCACACAAAAGAACGACAGAGGGCCCTAGCCAGCTGCATTAGCGACCAGAGAAACAAAGTCCCGGGGCCGTTGCGGCATCCAGCGCCACTAGCTGATTTCCCGGCCGGCGAAAAAGAGCGGCTTTGGCCTCTGTGGCCGCTCAGTTCGATGGCGACACGGTCGAGGGCTGGGACAATGGATCGAGTGACCTCTGGTGCAACAGCACTGCAGCTTCAGCTCTTGGCCTCGATCGGTCCATCGGTGCAAGACGGAGGCTGGTGAACCGCTTGGCCCTTTGTCGGCGCTCTGCTGGTGCTGATGCTGGGGCATGGAGAGTGCCAGTCCCATTACCACCGCCCAGATCTCTCGTCAGATCCCACCCCTGTCGAAATATCATTGACTGTGTTTCAAGTTGCCAGCGGCATTCGGAGTACGGAGCATATCGTACTTGCAGGGGTGCTTCTACAGCAGCTAATTTGTCCGACTTGCCTGAATGATGGAATGATGGACGGGCATGTACGAGTACTCGCAGGGAGTCGCCGTGGGATGCTCGCACCTGGCCCGACTCGACTTGTTCAGCATTCGCCTTGATCGTCGCCTTCTTTTTCTTCCCTTTTGTTATTGGGCATCTCTTGCCAAGCATTGTTTTATGCAAGCAAAAACATTCTTAGCGAAGGATATGCGTGCTGTTGGTTGCTGGGCGTGGGGAGTGCGTCCAATTAACACCACCAAAAAAAAGGTTGACTTAAAGTAACGTTGCCCTCACAAGTTACCCAAGTCAACTCGGCCCCCGGCAGAACGCCACAGCTTCACCATCAACAGGGAGGTCTCCTCTATGTCTGGAGCACATGCTCAGCCTCAGCTTCTGCCCAGCAGTCAGTCTCCCTGCTGCCGACCTGCCGAGCCGCTGGGATCTGGGAATGGACAGGCATCAGCTGCCTCTCTACACGCGTGCCATGTAGCATTGGCCTCTGGATCGTTGAATTTGTCTTGCCAGTCGCGTGTCAAGGGTCGTGGCCCATCCTAGCGCATAACGTCTTTTTGGGGGAGGCATGCCCATTTTAGAGATCCGCACATCCCTTCAAGGAACCGTGTGGCCGGCCAGCTATTTAAATATTCGGTTGGCCCCCCGTGTCCGAGAGCTGTAGCAGTGCTGGCAGGACGACATCTCCACCAAAGAGTCGACTCATTGCTGGCATACGGAGCATTCCAATTCTACTCGTAGTAGTGCTATTGCCATCGCTCATCATGCTGCCCAAGGCGATCATCGCGATTGCCGCACTGGCCTTCAGCCCAGCAAATGCGCTGTGGCCCATTCCTCAGAACATCTCGACCGGAGACAGCGTGCTCTTTATTGACCAGGCTGTCAGGGTGACTTACAATGGAGTGCCGGTATGTCGATGAAGATGGAGACGAAGACGCTGATGCTTGATATACCCATGCATAGATCTCAGAGACTAACACTTTGGCAATAGATCATCACCATCGGTTATAACCCACCGGCGAGCTCCAACTTCGACAGCAGGCAAATCGTCCAGGGCGCTGTCTCGCGCGCTTTTCAATCCATCTTCAGCACCAACTATGTGCCATGGAAGCTTCACCCGCGTAATAGCAACTTTGAGCCCAAGGTGGCCCCTCTGAACCGAATCCAGTCCATCTCAATTCAGCAGACTGGCAAGGATACCTCCAAGACGTTCAAGCCGCGCGCCGGAGACGTTGATGAGTCGTACTCTTTGACCATTTCCAAGAATGGACAGGTCAACATCAGTGCCAAGTCCTCTACCGGTGTGCTGCACGCCCTCGAGACCTTCTCGCAGCTTTTCTACAAGCACTCTGCTGGGCCTTTCTACTACACGACCCAGGCGCCAGTGTCCATCACAGACGCTCCCAAATATCCCCACCGTGGCATCATGCTTGACCTTGCCCGTAACTATCAAACCGTTGATGACATCAAGAGGACCATTGACGCCATGTCGTGGAACAAGCTGAACCGCCTGCACTTGCACATCACCGACTCTCAGTCGTGGCCGCTGGTGATTCCCTCGCTGCCCAAGCTGTCCCAGGCCGGTGCCTACCACCCCAGCCTCGTCTACACGCCTGCAGACCTTGCTGGCATTTTCCAGTACGGCATCAACCGCGGTGTTGAGGTCATTACGGAAATCGATATGCCTGGCCACATCGGTGTTATTGAGCTCGCCTACAGCGATCTCATTGTGGCCTACGAAGAGATGCCTTACCAGTACTACTGCGCCGAGCCCCCTTGCGGTGCCTTTTCCATCAACAGCACCAAGGTGTACAGCTTCCTCGACACCCTGTTCGACGACCTTTTGCCTCGCGTCGCGCCCTACAGCGCATACTTCCACACCGGTGGTGACGAGCTCAACGCTAACGACTCCATGCTCGACTCCCATATCAAGAGCAACGATACCTCGGTTTTGCAGCCCCTGCTGCAAAAGTTCATCGACTTTGCCCACTCCAAGGTCCGTGCCGCGGGCCTGTCGCCATTTGTCTGGGAGGAGATGGTCACCACCTGGAACCTGACTCTTGGCAGCGACACCGTTGTCCAGTCGTGGCTGGGTGGCGATGCCGTCAAGAACCTGGCTGAGAGCGGCCACAAGGTCATTGACACCGACTACAACTTCTACGTAAGTTACGATCTTGAAAACCGAGATGTTACCTGAATGATAACTAACGAAATACGCATGTGTAGTACTTGGACTGCGGCCGCGGTCAATGGGTCAACTTCCCTCCCGGAGACTCCTACAACACCTACTACCCATTCAACGACTGGTGCCAGCCCACCAAGAACTGGAGGCTCATCTACTCTCACGACCCTGCGGCGAACGTGTCCGCTTCGGCTGCCAAGAACGTCCTGGGAGGAGAGCTTGCCATATGGAGCGAGATGATTGACGCCAGCAACTTGGACAACATCATCTGGCCTCGTGGCAGCGCTGCCGGTGAGGCTTGGTGGTCCGGCAATACCGATGCCTCTGGCCAGCAGCGCAGCCAGCTGGACGTTGTTCCTCGTCTGAACGAGTTCCGAGAGCGCTTGCTTGCTCGCGGTGTCAGCGCGTTCCCCATCCAAATGACTTACTGCACTCAGCTCAATGCGACTGCTTGCACACTATTTTAAGTCTAGGATGACTCTGGTTTTCTTTTATTGGGCAGGGTTTCTTTCTATTTTTCACGTATCATCATTAGTGTACAGTGGTTAAAACAGGCATGGCTTAAGAGGAGCCGTGAGGGTATCCGGCTTGGGGGCGGTATATTATTAACTGTATATAATTCAAATTCAACTACATATATGTTATGACGAGCCAGATTCGGCAGGGTGACTCGTATCTCTCTATAATTGCCGTGACAAGGATGATAGTATCCATGCAGACCGTTAAGCGCAGCACTTTCACGTTGTCCACTCCTCTTTTGAGATGTATCAATACACTGAAATAGACTCTTCAAGTAATTGTATCTTTCCAAAGACAGTTCGGAGGCACAGAAGCTTGATTATTAGCGAGACCCGGGTACCTGGATCAGGACCAATTTAGCAAGGAGGCAATGGTACCAAATAATGCAAGTTACCTAGGTACTTTATCATCTACGGCATGCCGTCATACTTACCTACTGGGTAGATTAGACGAGGGGTTAGTAGATCAGATTTAATAGGCGGTGCGAGATTCTATAAAAAAATATCCTGTCATCTTTTATGAACTACCTTTGATCCCTTCAAGACACGTGTGACACCTTGAACCATCTTGATCATAACCACGGAGCTCATCTCGACTACACATGATACTATTTGTGATGGATCAAGACGAAGCAACGGCTGATTCTGTGCCGACAATTCGATTTACAAATATCGAAGACTTAGTCAGGGAAAAGTATTCCCAGCAAGGAGATGCATTGCGCGTAACAAGTACGTCTGTCCATAGTTTATATCTCTTCTTCCCTTTTCTTACTTATTCGGCAGACGTATCTCTTGCGGATTTCAACAAGATAGACGAAGAGTCCGAGTGGAACAAAATCCGCATCTCGCAGTATTTGGAGTCCTCCCAATGTATGCTGGTGTCCATCCCCACAGCTGCCCACGAAGTGCTTCACCTGGCGCTGGATAGAAAGATTAGCCGTCGACTCGATCGTATGGGACTGGATGACGACTGGAACCCTACGGGAGCGGTGACCTGTTACAGCCAGGGGTTTCGTTCCGGCGGCGGCAACGGCGGTGCAGGATCGGCAGACTCGTCGATGAGGCCGTATAGAAACGGATACAGAGGTTTCCCTACCCTCATGATCGAAGCCGGATGTTCTTGGCCTTTGGTCCGCATGCGGGACAAGGCTGAATGGTGGTTTCAGGTCTCGAATCACACTGTCAAGACTGTTCTTTTGGCAAAGCTCGACGAGAGTCGGCTTACCATCGTCTTGGAGAGGTGGGAGGAGAGACAGCAGGGGGGAACTAACGAGGAAGAGGTCGAATGGGTGGCGGCCTGTCAACAAGCCATTACTATATCCGATACTGGTTCGAATCCGCCAGTGTATCGAGTGACTGGTGGTGATTTGATGCTGAATCTCAAGCTGCTGCTTCTGAATAGTTCGCTCGAGGAAGAGGAATACGTTGCTGTGACTGTGGACGATTTTGAAGACTATGCGCGACGAGTGTTTGAAAATGCTCTAGGGAGACATGTTGGATCGAGATGACCTATTGGGCTTAGAGTAGCTGTGACTATTTTGATATATATTGCTAGTATAGCTGCTTTTATCTAGTAGAGATTTTTGTATCTAGTAGAGCTATTTACTTCTAGTGGAGATATTTATGTCTAGTAGAGATATACACGTCCAATAGAGTTGTCTATATCCAGTACATCCATCTTTTCGAGTACTCATAAGCAAGCTAGACACCATCTTCCAAAGAAATGAGTTTGATCAATCCTCTCCTGAATACTGTCTCCCTCTAGTCCTCAAGAGTTTCTTCCCAAACCATCTCCGCATAGTCCTGCAAGCGGTCAGCGGAAATCACCACATCCCTCCCCCCCTCGCCCGGATCCCTCAAAAACAACAGCCGAAAACTCAACACCAAGTCACCGGATATCTGATATGCTAATGGATCGTCGCTAGTCTTTATAATCGTAACCACTTGCTGACAGGACGGCACTCCTTCAGATCCCCATCGAGTTGTTGCCGCCCCTTGACGAATCTCTCGTGGCCTCTCTTCCCACTTTTCGACAACTGTCATCTGTCGTGCCGGATAAAACTTTGCCAACAGCACAATCTTTACATCGTGGTGGGAGATTTTGAACCACCACTTCGCCTTGGCCTGCATAATCGCCAAAGACCGAGTACACCCGGCCTCGATGACAACAGTGGGAAATACACCGCGGCCACGTCGTTCTGGCCACGGTCCTCCCGAAGAATCTGGCTCTCCACTACTCCCTCCGCCATTACCATGACCGACGCTGGTATTTCCAAGTTGTTCGTCCGAATCGAGACTCCCGTGATAGAAACTCGTGGCTCCCATAGGATTCCAGTTATCACCAAGGCCCATGCGCCAAAAGGCGTATATGAGCTCGTAGTACAGCCATATATGAAGTTGCACGTAGAAGCTTGCAAGTTAGAGAGAGGGCAGCGATGGATTCGGGGGACGAAGAGAGCTGAGACCCAATCAGTAAATCGATCTCGATCGGCAGTCTTAGGAGTGATGGTAGAGGCGGAGGCGGAAACAAACGCCTCAACAGAGAAGAAAGAAACTGGCCCATTGCTCAGATACATGAAAGAGTTCAAGGGGGAAAGAATCATGAGCCACATACAAACGTCATAAGGGGAGGGCATCAAGAAGCCCTGCACGCGATGTTCGTGCCGCAGCAAAGTCAAAATACCTTCAAGCCGATCAAGTAGAGTAGCCAACGGCATCAAGACACGACAAGTCAGCCTTGCATGATGCTTCTATTATCTGCGTGGGTATGTAACCTGTGTGTATAAGCCGTCCACAACATCCTCCCACACACAACCTCTCCTCTTCTCTTCTCTCCCTCCCCCTTTTCCAATAGAGCCGTCACCTATTAAAATGCCGTGCAACACCTAGAACCACATCAAGGACAAGAAAGGAAAAACAAAAATAAAGAAATCCCATAATCCTTAATTTCATCCCAGCTGACCAAAGAAAGAAAAAGAAAAATCCCATACATGCTATACACTACGCAGGCCCAACGACGCTCGCGTCCCCAGTCCCAGTCTTGACCGACCACAAATCTCGCGACCATCCCATCTCCCGCTGCTTCTTGCTGCCAGATCCAGATGGCCTCTTCTCCCCGGTGGCAATGGCCAGCGCCTTGCTGCAGGCGGCAAAGGCCTCGACGAGCTCCGTCATGCGCTTAGCGTCGACGAAGACGTCTTTGAGGTCCGAATCGCGTTCGGCTACCAAGGCGGCGAGCTCCATGCACTCCAACAGGTTCTCCCGTGACAATCCAGTGCCAGCGAAATGGAGAGCGCTAATGTATGCCAAGATGGTTTCTGGCAAATAGGCAGCTCGAATATCCTGTAACTCGGCATCACCAGCTGTAAGAGAAGATTAGTTAGCAATCATGTATGACGGATATATGCAACATCAAGGCCAAGTACATACCCTTGATTGCTGGCATCAGCCATCCCTTTAGCAAGGGTCGCATAACATCCTTGACGTTCTTGATTGTCTCCCCCGCCGGACCCCAAAACTCCCGGTCTCCATGTGTTACCCTAGCCAAAATGTGTCAGTCAATCCAGCCTTTTATCCCCAAGAAATGGCAGTTACATACTCAGTTGAAATAACCATCAGCGAAGCAATTGTCTCCAGGCCGTCTAGAGCCTTGACGAGAGCTTCAAGTCCGCGGAAAATTCGTGCCTCTGCCTGCACCTGCTCGGGGCTCATGTTGGAGACTTCGCTGCGCTCCAGCAGCTTAGCCCAAAAGTCGGCATCCTCATACCAGATATCCTCAGTATCCTCTTGTCCCGATATCCCCTTGATAATATTTTCAAATGAAATCCTCTCATAGAGCCGTCGGGCAGCTCCCAGGCGTCCGGAACCTGTTAAACTGTCAGTCACATAATCCCTAAATTGCATCACAACCGGGACTGGCGAGTTAACATACGCAAGAAGAACTTGTAAACCTTTGTTCCCATGGAAAAGACGTCGGCCCACTTTCCATCCACCATCAAGAGCCACTCCAAGGAACGGATAACGTGGTCATCGCCGCTCTGCACGACACCCTCCTCATAGCCAAAGAAGTCTGCCTTTATCAACTTCCCAAACTGCGGTGTTGAGGGTCCATCGCTGATGATGCTAAAGGCAGCTTGCTGAGGGGCCCTGTCGCCCAGTGCCTCGTAAAAGAGCACAACCTGCCTGTCCACAAACTTCAAGACGTCGATGCCGGCCTTTTTTATCAACTTCAGCTGCAACAAGCGCTGTTCGGGATCCTCTTCGTGTATCAGATTCCAGCTCAGAACGTCGTATTGCCTAGGCGCCTCCAGTATTGAGCAGTATAGAGGGATAAGCTCTGGCAGACCGGCACGACGCAAGTAATCCGTGTACCCCGCCAAAATACTCTCCTGAGAAAATGTCAATTGGGTTGGTGGTGAAAAGCTAGAGACCTTTTTCTGTGCACCGCCAAACTTCTTCATCAGGGCTGTGAGCACATAGACGTGCGACACAATGCGAAGCCCATCATGCTGATTCAGGCTAAAGTACTTCTTCTTCACAACACCAGAGTTGATGGGCTCAGATGAGGGCAGAAGAATGGATTTGCCATTTGAGTTGGCGTCCGCAATCATGACAAGTCCTTGTTCGTACAAGTGGCGCTCGACATCCCTGGCAACAAACGCGGCTTGCAGAGCTTTACTAGGCTCCGTCGCCTCGTCATGGGTCCTTGGCTGAGACTCTAGCGAGCGAACAAGGCGCTTTTCAACTCCATGTGGCTTTCCCAAGAATTGAACGGCGTCGAAGGAGGGGAAGTTCTGAGTCAACGTCGAGGTCACGTTTGGCGGACATCGGCCCAGCACATAGGCGTCAAACTGGGTTCGTAAAAGTGCGTTGTAGTTGGCAAAGAGGAAGTCGTCCCATCTCCGGGCAATCTTTTCGACACTGTTGATATCACCAGAGAGTAAACCATACACCGCACGTTCGTAATCGTCCGAGCCCCCCTGTCGAGCCAAGGCAAAGCACATACGTCTCCAGAGAGCCAGAGACTCGGGCTTCAAGTCATCAACGGGGACAGTCTGGTCCTCAACGGAGAGAAGCATTGCAGACATGGAAACAGCCCGCCACATTTCTGTTCGCTCCTGACACCACTCGCGCAGTTCCTCGAGGCTGCTACCACGGCGAAGATGTTCAAAACAGCCTAGCCAAATGGCACGCTCAAAGTACTCGTCCGCAGGCTCGAGCTTTCGTCCCTGGCGGGTGATGGCGTCGGGGTCCAGCTGCGTAATCAGGGGAGCACCATCCTTGTTGACATGAGATTCCATGACTCTCGGTTGTTGGCGATCCAGCAGCCCGTTCCACGCCGTCAAATTCTTCCGCAGCTTAATCGTCGCTCGCGTGTGAAGCCAGCCGTGCGCAACGATATCCCCTCGGTCGGCCTGTTTCAGAAGATCCCGGGCCAAGTCGTCAATATCCGGGCCATCAGCCGCGTTGCTCTGAAGCCACTGCAGCACCGCATGGCGCTCTCGAGCTAAGGGATCCGAAGTAAGAAGCTCGAGCAGCAAATCGGACTGCGTCGAGCCTGTTTCCATTTCTATTGACGGCCGGTCGTCTGTCTTTGCTTCTGGAGTTGCGTAGCGTAGGGGGAGTAGTCGTCGGATAAGGTCCCAGGTCTGCACTTCTTTTTCCAGCTGCTTTACCTCGTCAGCCTCACCAGAGAGACCATCCCCATCGGCCGTCTCGATCTCATCAGCATCCATATCTACATCTTCGTAGCCGCTGCGAGCTCGCTTCGGCCGCGCCTGTTGCAGTCGTCGGACCGCATTTTCGTAGTACTTTCGAGGGAGGTCGAGGATTCGGGCTCGTTTGTCTTCCTGCGATAGGAATGGCGAGAGACAGTTGTCAAGGGCGTTGGCAAATTCTTCCACCTCGGGGCCAACATTGAAGTCGAACGACAGCCCTTGGTCCATGTTGATTTCCGCGTCGCGCACAGAGTGCCTATGTGATGCTAAAGAGGATGAATAGGGCAAAATACACGTCCAGGGCTCTGCGATGTGTCGATCTCGCCGTCGAAAGATCCAACCAGACGAATCCGATAGAGTCTGGCTGGGCGTCCAAGTGCCGAACTTTCAGGGCGTTGACCTTGGCCGCATAACCCAAATGTGAGTTGCAATTGATGGCCCGGGAGGAATCCGTTGTCGTAGCAGTGATCGGGAGGCTCCTCGTCCGCTGAGGGAATTCGCTATGTTGCCTGGCGAGATCGTTGGTTTGCCAGCGCAGAAATTCAGCACCTTCAATATTTTGTTGCTTCAAGGCGCGCTTGAGCTTGCACACGAACGGCTTCTGGACGCTAAAGGCAGCGCTAGACTCTGATGGGTTCGTAGTCGAGTGTACATGGCCCCCAGCGTATTGAGACGCCTAGAAGAAAGTACTCGGTACTAGCCACTCGAACATCACAAGCGGCAACCAAAAGGTGGAACTTTTCGGCATACTGCGATATGCAACAAAACGGGCATTCCGTGCGCTGGTGAATCCGACTACTACTGCAAATTTTCATCACGCTCTTTTTCTTTTCCTTTTCTCTTTTCTTCTTCATCATAATGTCATCGGCATTCGTATTAGAGTCTCGGAATAAGCGTTCAATGCTTGTTCAGGTCCTATAAGGATCTCTTGCGTGCTCAACGATCGCCTAGAAAAATCGCTCCTCATTAAGTTGCCTGAAATTCTCTACACTGGTTGACACACCATACGATGAGCGTACATATCTTCCTCTCGCCTCTCCTGCCTTTATACGGTACATGGTACATTTTACATGGTACATGATACATGATACATTTCTATCCAGGTATCTCGTAAGACGTTTCGCGTCTCTAAATGCGCCGTAGAAGCAGTCTGTGGTCGCAAAGCCCGCGTGTTCTTGCCCTGCTGCGTCCTCATTTGCCTTCCTTCTGCTGCTGGATCTTCAAACGAAGCAATTTCGGCGCTGGGCAGCTTGGAGAGGTAGCGTCGTCGCCGTAACGCTGGTAGAAGGCGTCACAGCATTCGTAAAGCGCCTTGATGGCATTCTGGCAACGCGCCTCGTTGTAATTGTTTTTGGAAAGGCAATCTGTGGTCATTTCAGCTCTCAAGCGGTCTTTGGGCGAATATATCCGAATTGTGTGGTGTTTGCCTACCCTGGATGGCACACTGAGAATGCGAGCAAAGCCCATCTTGTCAGTGTCTCAATGTTCAGAGTAACACCTATTGCCAAAACTTACTGCTCGAGGATGACACGGTGGGCGTGCCTCCACGTCATCTTGCGGAGATGCCTTCAATACCAATGTTTGCGATTAGTTGCCGAAATGACACACCTGCAATTAAAGACACCAAAGCGGGAA